TGGCGTCTCGTAGAAGCGAAGACTGATGATTAAGGACATAAATCCGGTGGGATAAACGATTCCTCCCTTTCAGAAAACTATTCTCCATCCAAACGCTGAACCAAGGATCAAGAGATATCTAGTAAGAACCCGACTCCTCACCCACCACTGATCTCAAAAATGTTCCCGAGCCCAGATGCAGTGAGTCTTCGGGCTCGGCCGTAAAGCCATCACATGATGGACTGCCAAATTGGGTAACACGCATATAGCTCTACTCCGACGACACGCAACGAGCGAAAGGAGGGACCGAACAAGCTGTTTGCAACGATTAAAACTAGCGACATCGTGGTCCAATCTCACCTCGTTTTCCCACATTCACGGAATACAAGACTCTTTCATTCCATCAAGGTTTGCTCTAGCAATTGCAGGCTAGACTCAAGTAGTTCGTCCTCTCGCTGATGTTTGAGAACATACCCACATGCAGACGCCGGGTATTCGAGCAGCTTCAAGATCCGCGGGTCATCACTATGCTCCAAGAACATGCAGAGAGCTGTGCACTCGGCGTGCATTCGTGGGTATATCCACCACTCCTTCTGCTCGCACATCTTAGCCATCCAAATCGCCAGAATGAGACACGCTCTCGGTTCCTTTCGATGCAAGAGATTGGTGTATGGCGGTAGGAGTCTGCCCATAAAAGTGCAGAATTTGCTAAAATGTTCGCGAATCATCGGTAGGTTGAGCAGCGGACTGAGCATTCTCAAGGGCCAGTGGTATGGGTTATCATCCTCCGTAGTCGTTTCTCCAATATCACACAGATCTGCGAGTTGTGGGTCTAGGCCAACACGACCAGGGCGATGGTCGTCGAACGTTTTGTTTTCGTCATCGGACTCCATGAAAAAATCCCACCAAATACTCTGCCGAATCCATGGCACGGCAGATTGGATGAGATATCGAAGGCCGCCTTGAACTAAAAGCCAATTGAGGTCCGTCGGGCGTGACGAGAAGACCCAAGAATCAAGGGGGTTGTATTCTTTTTCGCAAAAGGATAAAACTCCCATCATCATGCAAGTTGACATGAGTGCGTCCATGTTGTGTGCTCCAACTGGATTCTGGATTTCCTTTTTGTATAATCTGATGGCGACTTCCCAGTGATACGCTTCCGCAACCTTGTGTGATTTATCATGTATCGACATCTGATACATGGATGTGCAGGCTACACCTAGAATAGCATGCATAAGATGTGGTGTCTAAGTCGGTAAACGGTAAGGGGTCAGCCGAAGCAATAAACGGGAGACAACAGGGGGTGGTGGCACGGACACGAAATGCCAACCGCATCATATCCCCCCTAACTACCTTCCTCGACGAATCCGTCATGGATGCTATCAGGCCCACTGTCTGTACAAAATGATTCAATGCTAACGGTGCATTTTTCGCTGTGAATGATGGCAGTGGTCCGGGGTCAACGCCTGATAACGAGCCTGAGCGAAGCACCTCCAATATCCTATTGCCGAGATCCGTCACAGACATAGAGAAAGCCGACGCGTCGATTTGGCGAGAATTAGATGCACATGCGGTTGCAAGCGTTAATTGGTTGTCTACGGCTGTATAGTCGCAAGATACACCATAAGCTTCACACCTTTGACAGTGAGGCTTCGTTTCGTCACACTACGATAAGCATCATTAGGACCCAATTTCAAGAAATGCCCACATACTCAGACCACTCATGGGAGGCGTAAGAAGGCGATTAGCTCAGTCAGCTTTGGGGTGAACATGATTCTAACCTTGACTCTCCGTTTTTTGCAGTTTCCGCATCCTGTTCGAGATTTGCGATGTGACCTTCGGGGGCGGAAAACGGGTTCTGCCGGGGTGCCGCTTTGGTCCTGCGTCCCGAGGCGCCGTGTCCGTGTCGTTGGCTTACGAGAATCTTTAATCCGAAAAACAATTTGATTCTTAACAACTCGATTGGTGCTGGTCATCGAGCCATCCCTTGCGTCTTGTAGAGCTTGGCGAGGAAATGCCAATGCGGAAGAGGTATCTGCCTGTGCGACTGGCAGAGCTGGCAGGCGGGATGCAGGGGCATTACGAGGATATTCCATTATTGGAATAGTAAATTCTGATCAATTTCAGATTGGGAGTTCGATTCTCCAAAAGGGGGAGACACCACAAAATATAGCTCTCATCAGGCTCCCCTGCGCTACTTCAGGTTCGGCACAGTGCTAAATTGCTGGCGTCGCCAGAGATTAGTGAATCCGTGGGTTGGAAATATAAGCCAAGCTTGAGGCGATGACGAGAAAGTAACGGCCGAATGTGGAGGAAAAACGGGCAGGTGTGCATGGGTGTACCTCAGACGAACGCTCGACCTGGCATGGCGCTCTCCAATCTCTGGGCAGATCCAGCCCTACGGTGAGCCTTACCGATGATCCGATCCTTGGCGTACGATGACTAGTCCGAACGCGGGAAAGCCTCAACCCCCAGGCCGCAGTCTTGGCATGGCTCGCCATGAAGCTTCTTCGGTGTGGCAACGGCGAACGACCAACCGCTGCTTGCTTGAGCCAAAGGTTCAGCGAGGACGGACCCTGCGTTTCCCCGGCCGGCTGCTCCACTCCGGGAAGCCTTGAGCCACACAGCCCGTCTCTACATATGGAGTTTCCGAGATGGAGTACGGAGTATCGAGCTTAGCCATGGGATTTGGGTAGCAATCTCGCCATTCCCACGAACCAATCTTGCCGAAATTCTGCAAGCTAAAAACAGCCAAGGAACTATTTATGCACTTCCGCCTGATTATCATGCGATATCTCTTGGACAGGCTCAAATCTTCCATTGCGATGATATCTCCGAACTATACTTTAGTCGGAGTTCGCCGCATAGTAGGGGCTGAGTCGGTTACAGGCCTTCCGGTGGTAGTGTCTCGCCTGAAATAGACGTTTGCAGTGAGTTCCCCGTCATTGCAAGAGTCGTGGGGATCCTTTGGCACGTTGCCCTCCGAGGAGAAGGCTGGGCGAAAAGCATGGACTTTTAAGCAGCGATGGGCCAAAGGCTAATTTGACGCAAGAGCGCTCTATTTATGGAAATACAGAAACAAATGCAAGTAAAAAGAGACTTTCCGTGTGCCTCGTTCACGTCTGTCTGCGATTCTTCATCCATAGTATACAGAAGTAAGTCAATTGGTTTCGCCAGATTAAGCGACAAAAACTCCTGTTAATATACACAGCCTGGCGCCACTTTCAAACAAGAGGCTTTGCAGGTTGGCTCATGTGAGTAGAGACCTGAGTGTTCTCGGTTTCGACGAAGTCCTCGTCGTCTTCATCCTCATCACCTGCAATTCCCATGGCTCTGTTCCAAACCCCATCCCATACACCCTGCTTTGCAACTAATGTCCCCGCCATCAGCAGGGGCAAGTGCCACACGCTAGCCCAAAACAAGCCTCGTGCCGTCCCTTTCGCACCTTGCAATTTCCAGAATCTATATGCTTCCTTGCTGAGCCAGAAATTAACCAGTGTCCCACCAATTAAAAACCCTTTGTTCACAACGCCGACCCACCAGAGCCCAGCGCAAAGAGGGAACATGAGGATTGAATATCGGAGGGCAACACGGCCATTTCGTGCCGGGTTCGTCCACGCAAGCATCTTGTACCCAGCATTCTTGTATTCTTCTCTAATCGTGTGGGAAAGGGCATTGAAATGGGGAAATTGCCACGCGAAGAGAACTCCAGCAAGAAGCCACCCACCGATACTGTCTGGTCCCAACAAAAGATCCCTCCAAGTATCGTGTCCCGTTGTCGCCGTTTGACCCGCTGCAGCCGCCCAACCCATTAACGGGGGGATTCCGCCAACAATTGCGCCAACCCAAGTATTGAGCACCGACATTCGTTTCATGGGAGTATACACGAAAGCGTACAATGCTATATTGAAAGCGGATAGAGCTGCAACGGTGGGGTTTGTGCCGAAATATAGAGCGGTGATACCAGCTGTAGCAGTGCCAAGTGCAAAGAGCCAAGCAGCGCGGGAAGTAACGAGCTTGCGGACAAGCGGTCGATTGCGTGTACGGGACATTTGGGCGTCATACTTGGGCTCAAAAAGCATGTTGAGAGTATTGGCGCTCGCAGAGGAGAGAAAGGTGCCCACCGTAAGGTATAGACATGTCAACGTTGACGTGGACAAGGTGGGAAGCGGAGCGATGGAAGGATCGAGGGCGAGGAGAGTGGGCATGGGATACAACCCAAACCCGGTAGTAGCGGTGAGGACGACGAGGAACGATAGCTGGGGCTTTGTGAGAGCTAGATACGATGCCAATTTTCGTCGCAAAGAGCTTTTAGGTAGTGTCGATGAGAGAGTCGAGAGGCGTGAGGATGCGTCTGGTCGTATGGCAGTCTCCGCGGAGATGTTTTGTCCATCATCTTGTGCATGTTGGGTTTCAGCTTTTAACCGCTGTCTCCGTCGATGGGGTAGCTCACCAACTAGCCCAGACTCGCTTTGCTGGTTGGCGACTGTATTGGATGCTATTCCCCTCGATGTCGGAGCGGCAGAATCAAAGAGCGACGCTCGATGTGCAGGAGAGGTGGTACGTTTCGACCATGGTAAGAGTCTCGATCTGAGGAGGTCTTTTGTGATCGGGGCTTTGGAAGAAAAGTATGCTTTCCTTAATATTCGTGGTAAGGCTCGAGTCTGCGACAATTCATTCTGCAACGTTCTTGACGCTGTAAACATCCGCCGAGGGGTCGCATTGGGGCGGGATAGGCAGCGGAATAAACATTCGCTGCAGAGGGTGGCTGGCTCAAACGTGGCTCCAGGCCTCAGGTAAATAGCCCGGAGGCTCATTGCCAGGGAATTGTGCGTCCAAAGAGGGATTCAAACCTGTGGAAGCATCGCAATTTCGAAACTGCGCGCGGACTGCTTGGGAAGATTTGGGCTGAGTTTAGCGGAACAAAGTTGGACCTAAAATCTTAGTCAGCCAATGAACACGTGCACTTGACCAGGGGAGCTCGGCTGGGCTGCTCTTTTCGCTGATAACTCGCTGGGAATCGCAGCTGGTGGTGGTCATCTTCGTCAACAGATCACTTTTCCCACGCAACCATGGAGTCAGTTCAGCAATCCATCCAGTCCCTTATTCTGGATCCTCTTCAGCCTTATCTCCGGCCCATCACGACATCTCTTCCCGATCCAGTTAGCAACGCCCTCATCTCCCTCCTCGGCGACAAATGTTATACCTCCCTAATCCTCGCCGTTGACATCACAAAAGAACCGGCCTGTCTCCCACTTGCGATCTCCAAAGCCTTAGGTCTTGCGATCGTTGCATTCAGCGCAATCGTCAAAGTTCCTCAGATCCTTAAACTGCTCTCGTCACGATCGTCTGCAGGCGTTTCTTTCACTTCGTACGCACTCGAAACAACCAGTTTGCTCATCACCCTTGCGTATAATGCACGCCAAAAATTCCCATTTAGCACCTATGGCGAAGCAGCGTTGATTGCAGTACAAGATGTTGTGGTCGGGGTTTTGGTCTTGGTTTTCTCCGGGCAGGCTGCAAGCGCTGGCGCCTTTTTAGCAGCCGTAGGCGGAGTCATCTATGCGCTTTTGTTTAGCGGAGAGACTATTGTGGATAATAGCATGATGGGATATTTGCAAGCCGGCGCCGGTGTCCTGGGTGTGGCCAGCAAAGTACCTCAGATTTGGACCGTGTGGTCTCAAGGTGGTACAGGTCAATTGAGCGCCTTTGCGGTACGGATTCCACCGTAGACCATGTTATTAGCTTTGCTATGTTGTGCTGACAAGTTGTTATAGGTGTTCAATTACCTCCTTGGGTCCCTCTCGCGCATCTTTACAACTCTGCAGGAGGTCGATGATAAGCTCATTCTCTATGGCTTCATCGCAGGATTTTCTCTCAATCTCATCCTCGCTATGCAAATGGTTTACTACTGGAAATCTCCCACCGTCGCTTCGGAGAAACCGTCGGAGAAGGCTCGTCCAGTACAACGAATGGAAGAGGTGAAAATCCCCGTTGCAAAGAGCACTGGCATCTCTCCCAGTCCCTCTGGAAAAGGCCCAAGTACAAGGCGACGGGGATGACTTTCATTCGTCTTTTAATTCATTGGAATTCTCAGTTAACTCCGTGCAGATTAATGCCCCTATATGCAATGTAAAATAACAAAAGTATTAATATCACCTTCTAATCCAGTTTGATCCCATCTCACATCTCCGGTAAATATGCAATCACGGCATCTATTCAGACCAGTCGTAATCATGGTATCATATTAAAAAGAGCTCCTTGAATGGTAATAACAAGCTCTTCCACAACTTCCAGCAAATCAATCCGGGTTATCTTGGCCTCGGCGGCGCACCCGTCATCATAAATCGGAAAATGTCATCAAGTGGCATACCAGGCGCCACAGGTTTCGAAGGGATGTGACTGCTCCCTCTAGCAATATCAAATTCCACGCCCGAACCCCCACCAGCCTTAGTATGTGCGCCCACGACCACTTCCATCTCTTCGCCCTGCATATCCTCCTCCTCCTCCTCCTCCTCTTCATCCTCCTCGTCACCTTCATCAAGTTGTCTCTTCAGCCCCGTAATAACATTTTTCACACCCATTTCCTTTTCTTCCAGCGTATAGTCGCCACCCCAATCCCTCCGTCGAGCCTCCATATTCGCTGCGATGGGGGCCCAGTGCCACAGATCAAGTAACTCATCCACGGATAGGCGGACAGTCTCACCTTCTGCCGCAGCCCCCTGCTGCGCCCGGATTTGCGATGAAGCAGTATTATGCCTGGCTACATTTCTTCCTCTAGCGACCCATTCTTCTACGCGAGGTTCTAGTTTCGTGCGCATTAGCTGGTGCAGGATGGTCGACTCTGTGCGTCCTGGGAAGTTGGGCGTTGGATAGGCGACGATAGAAGAGAGGAGCTCTTGGTGTTCAGTGAGGAGGTGAGAGATGGAAAGTAGGTTGTTGGATATGATCGTGGCTTGGGATTGGAGGGAGGACCTAAGAGTGTCTGGATGTCAGCCTTTTGAAAAAATTGTCTACTTTCATCTTCATAGCCTGAAGGAGGGAAATGGGTCCGGGCCTACCATGGCGGCAACGGATCGCTTTGGTTGATGCTGTTTGACAGCGAGCCAAGGGATTGCGTCAGATGAAGAAGCCGCTGGCGCGTTTGTTCCAAGATTTTGAGCTGCTCCTGGTTTAAGGACGCCATTATGAAGATGCATTCGAAAGATTTCTTCGTGCTGGGAATGAGTTTACGCGGGGGTGCGTTGTTTGCACAGATCTTCGCTCGTTGCTTTCGGGGACGATGGACACTGTCACGATCTTATCTGATTGATTGATAACATCCTGGTGGCCTGGCCAGTGGTCGCATGGACACCTGTTTCCCCAAAGGAGTCGCCAAATGAAAACAATAGAGTTAATTTATCAATAAAGAGAGACAATAATTAATCATTGCATCTTTGATAACCTACATATTTCTTGGTCAAAATGACTTAGCATCCACCCACTTCTTGTGGTGAAATGCATCTACTTGATAGCGATGAAGCTCAAAAGATCGAAATGGAGGAATGCATGCTACCGCTACACCTCATTTCCCTTGCGAAGGACTATATAAGTTAAGCTGGTCGAACCTGGGAGCCTGAACACATGAACGAAGCACAGTTTGCATTGAATCGGAGGAAGCGACGTTTCAATCGGTTAATCTATCATCTGAGACAGCTACTCAAAGATGAAAGGCATATTACTACTAGCTTGAAATAGCCTGCATTAATAGATCAAAGGGGTATATTCGCGTATCAAAATAATGATAGTACAAATCAAGGGGTGCTAGATGACAGCAGGTGGAATATCCAATATTCATATTCAGAGCCATCGGCTCATAAGACAGTTAGGAGTTTCGGAGTCTTTTCGTGCGGAAATCAAGAAACATAGAGAGGTATTATTGGTTAGTCACTGATTAGTAGAGAGCGACTTGCGCCCCGGAGGAGGGGCCGAAAGTGTTGGTACTGTGGGGGTCACGAATTCTGCTCTTTTGGTATCATCCGGGGGAGAAGAGACCGGGCCCATCTGATACACCTCGGGTGGGTACTTGATATCTTGTTCGCCGCCATAATACCCGTTGTGAGATGCCGGATTATAATGATAAGCTTGGGCTGGATGCATCTGAGGTGACGTCTCATCCCAGACCTGTCGGAGCCCGCCTCCAACAGGCGTCATGATGGATGTGTCATTCCATCTTTCGTGGAGGTGGCCCGCATGGCTACTTTGGCGGGCCTTCCGACGTCGTCGTCGGATATAAAAGAAGCAGCAGAAGCACGATACCAAACAAAGCAGTAAGAACCCGACAATCGGGAGAACAATCACAAGGACTAGATTTTTTTTCCCTTTGGGTTCAGTGCCTGGAGGAGCAATGGATTCAGTGCTCGGAGGAAGGAGGGTAGTATTAAAGATGCGATCAGGATCGATAATGAATTCGTGTCCCGATGGTACTTTGGAGTGACAGCCTTCTCTTATAGCTTCAATGACTTTAAACCGCTGTCAGCAAAAGATGCAGCATCACGTCGAATATTGCAAATGTACGTACAGTTTCCTATCAACTTCTCGTCATCGGTGAGCGAGTAACACAGAGCGCATTTTGTCACGAAATCGTCTGAAAAACTATCCATGCCGCAGAAATCATAGGCTTCCTGAGGAACAGGATTCAGCAACTGGTACTTGACAGCATCCATCAATGAATCACATGTCACTTGACATGGTGTCGACAACGACTGCTTGGATACTGGGAAGGCATATATGCAACTCGAGAATGCGTAACGGAGGTTGTCTAGGCATTGATGAGCACAAGTGGTTGACTCTATTTCAGAAGGAGGGCGGGTTCATACACAATCCCCATTTCAAATCTGATTGGTATGATCTTCTATGCTCGAAAGTGCTGCGCAATTCGCACTTAACACAGTCTTGAAAAACAACTCCTTCCGGTTTGCGTGAATACTCATAATCACGGCAGACAACGTCAGCGCCCGTCGTGTTCGTGGTTACCGGACCACATTTTTCTTCGCACGGAGAACCAGGGGTTACTCGGAGGCCGAGGGCGGTAAAGACAAAGAGGTAGAAGAGGGCGAGAAGCCTGTAAAACATGGTTGGGTCGAACATCAGGCCTCAAATTCGAAGCGCAGAAGTCTTTCAGCTTATGACATCCAGCCTCATTCTCGTACGGATATCACTGGTTGACTAAAAGTTAATGTGATTCACGCTCGGCCGCGATGTCGTAGGGTAGTCACTCTCTCAACTGTTCAACCATCTGAGCATTAGGAAAACCCCAAGGCGTAAAGGGTACAAGGGAGGATCTAACAACAGTTGTCAATCGGAACGAAATATCCAAACGCACATACCAGCTTTGAGAAGGTAGAATTTAACATTTAACTACCCCACTCTGGGGATAAAGGTATTTAAGATCCGTGACCGTCGGCTAGTTCAAGAGCTCCAGGCGGTTGAGCTCACCACTGCGCATCAGAGGTCGCGTTGGAGCACGGCGCTTAGAGAAGCGCAAAATGAGAAAGGAGTTAATGGGGCGGGGAGGAACCCAAGAGGCAGAGAATTGATCCACGGCCTGTCCACGGTGATGTATGCTCGACCTGGCCCATAGCTGGGTTCCCGAAAGGTGATATTGAGCGCTCTCTCATGAAGAAACCTCAAGGATGCAGGTGACCAACCATTTGTGCCATTGCCTGGGCGGACTGATGGTCTCAACCTGGCCTCTCCACCCGCCAACGGGATTGAATGGGGGGGGTTCGGGTCCTTGTTCGTGCGCATCGCAAAAGGTGCATGGATCTCAGCGCGAGCGAGGTCTTGAGACTGCTAATTGGGGGCCGCCTCGGGCCTGGGCGATGTCACTAGCTGCAGTGGGTTAGAAAAGAAATTTCGCAGGCGCATCATTGGTGTGATCACATCGCATTCGTCTGTGATTGCCGTTTCCTTCGGTGTTGACAAACTATTTGGTCGGGAAGAGAATTTTTTTTTTTCCCATCGACAGATTTTGCTGCTTGGTGTCGGGCTGTGGTTAGAACTTCGAAAAGACCTCATTGCGGACCATTTTTTACATAGAATAACTACCCGCAACACAGCCAACAGAAAGTCAACAGCAAGGCGGGTGTCTATTGTTAACAGACTCTGTTGTCTAAAGTCTCCTTTCATCTCCCAGCCGTTAAAAAGCCTTGTACAACATAAATCGCAAAATGTGCACTGGATCTCGGGAACTGACCTCATGTGGCCTAGCAGTCTCTGATCCCTCACACATTACTCCGTACACAAATTCAGGTTGCGCTTCCCGGCTGCAAACCTCGCACCCTCCCCTGCAACCATCCCAACCACTCCATAAAATGTCTGTATGGGTTCCCCATGCACAGTTTTCACAAGCCACATAACCCTACAAGCAAGCAGCCAATCACATCACCATCCGAGCGATCCTCACTCAGAGTGCTCTGCTTCAGTCGCTAGTTCTTCAAGCCTGCCCTGGCCCCAAAAAGGGAGGGTGTTTGGTCTATCACCCGTGAGGGACAAAGAACTTGCCGTGTTATGTGACTTCGTGCGTCCTGTGTTCATACATGGTGGTGACGAGCGGCAAGCAGCAGCATTGACTGAAATTTAGGAAATGGAGCTGTTACTCGCAATCTTGAGGGAACATCGGTTGGAAGATCATCATAAATTTAAGCGCTGGAGTGTGATTGGAGCATCCCTTCGTCACTCATCCATGCACCCCTGCTCGCATTCTCCTTGCAGGGGACTAAACAGGGCTGGGGGTAATAACCAGTATACAGAGTACAAAGTACAAAGTACAAAGTAGAGAGTATATCTGAAAAATTAAAAAAAAAAAAAAAAAAAAAAAAAAAAAAAGGGGGTAAAAACTGGTAATTTTATGTTTGGATGGGAGTTTGGCCAGCCCTCATTAAGTAACTAACCACTCAGTACGGAGTACAAACTTATTTTTGTGGGTGTGTTGTGAGCACAGTTGACTGAAGTTCAGTTTAGCTAGTTATGTGTAGTAACTACTCCGTACAGAGTTAAACATTATCAACCTGGTTTGTAGGCAGTAGAAGACAAAAAAAATAATTAATTATATTAGCGTTTGATAGTGTGCATTGCTCTTTCTCATGCTACATCTATAAATCTTAGCCACTAGTAAAAGGCCTAAATGGAGTTTACAAAATGAATCTTGGAAAAGATAATAAAAATACCTAGTTTCAATGATTCGAAGCCCAAAGAAAGCATGTCATTGCAGTAGTTCGCCAGCAGAAACACTATCAACAAAGCAGCTGATAGCCCCTGGGCCCAAATGGTATGCAAGGCCCACGAATTTCACCATCATAGATCTGCAATAAATGTCGCACATCTATCAAAGTCATTGTTGCTGTGTCGGGCTGTAAAAGCTGCCATTTTGCCTTGCAGTAGATAGAATATATCCATTACATAGATATGCTTCTGGCAGAAGCTGGAAGGGATGACAAAGCCACCTCCCATTCGCATGCAGTAGTTATCGCGGGCTATTTTGATAGACCTGTGTTCCCAAGCCTGTCAGAAAGAATATCCCGACCAATAGACAAAAATTTGAAAAGGTGTTTGAAGCTATTCCGCCAGCTAAACATACCATTCTCTATCAAGTCAAACAGATATCACATTCTTGCAGCCATCATACCCTGGTCCAGTAAGGACAAAGACGTTTATGATGTTGCTAATAAGTTTGGTGTTTGAAATGATGAGACTGTAATTCTTGTAAGTAGTGATTCATGTTTCACCTTAACCATATACATACCGACTTTCAGCTTCCATGATCTTTTAGAGATCTCCTATGTTTCTAGATGCCTAGAATGCGATGTCAAGGTCGCGAATTTCGCGAGAATGTCCCATCAGTCCGTATGGGATTTCAGTGCGGTCGAACAAGCCGACCACGAACAAGGCAACAGATGCCAAGTGGTAATGTTCTCGGTCTTCGTCTGAGTTATACTCGACAAGATTGTATCAAGAAGCCATGAACAAAGAGTGCAGTGGTTGGTTGGTATATGGGCGTTAACGAAGCGAGGAGTTATAGGGAAATAAGCAGGAGGAAAAGTTTGCCTAAACAATATCAAGAGGAGAGATCGTGATCAAACTAGGAAGTAGAGATGAGAGATGATAGGGCAAAGCTGCAGCATTATGTGTACTGGGCACCACGAAAGCTGAAGGCCTGGGGAAAATGGAAGGCCTAAGTAGGGAAGCCGTATCGGTGCGGGTTGACCCCGGAATATTCTCTTAGAGGCAGAGGTCGCAACTTCGCAGGTGGTGGGTGACAAATTCCCATGCCTAAACTTTGACGCATATTGTTGGGAAGTCCCGCGCGCTGGGGTTGTGGGGCATATATCGCACGTCTAGGCCGCGGAGGTATAGTTCTGGGGGATATCGCAGAATCGGAGGGGCTAGGAGGTTCAGAAAGATACTGAACATGTTGAGGGCTAGAGTCATGGTGGGCGGCCTGCGTCGCGGGGCTTAAGGCGGGCTGAGAGACAGGCGAGGGAGGATGGCGGGGCTGTTTAGTTGATCGCATGAGAGTGCGATATACCTCGACTGGCTGGTAATAAGAAGTCAAAGGACTTGGAAGGCCTGGGTGGTACGGACAGGTCTGATAGAGGGCGCCTTCCGGGTCGTAGAATACCTGCAAGTTGGTTTTCGGTGTCCCTATGGAACGCATCGATTCATGATGTCGTCTGAAGGTATTTTCTGGCTGTGGACTTCTGAGATTCCTTTGGGTACCTTTGCGCGTGAATCTCAATGGGATGGCCCGGTACCGCTTTTTTTGATACCGGGCGATGACCAGGATACTCAGAAGAACTACTCAAGAAGATATCAGCCACACAGTTTCTCGTGACGTAGAATTCAAGCTCACCACACAATCCACCAATTCCCGCAGCAAGGCCGATAATTAGCTTCTCGCGGCTTGACAAGCCCTGATGCTCACTCTCTAAAGCCCGGGCATAAATCCGGTGCACATCCGCAGCTGCATCTTCACGTTTGTTGAAGGAAGCACGGTTGCCAGGGAAACTGAAGAGAGCGAAGTAGGATGTATCACAACGCCCTGTAGTCGATGGCAAAGGGGAGGCAGGAGATCCCCGATTTTCAGTGGCCGCTCCTGGTCCAGAGAAATACGGGTCAACTGGTTGGCCGGTGACTAACTCCAACAATATAATGACAGATATCAAAAGGATGACGAAAGCTCTAACCGAAGAGCATGTGGACGCCATGATGAGTAGGATATACAGAAGAGAAAAGACAATGTGTCGAGGGTTGGCTGACTGTATGCTCCTGGACTGGTGGGAGAAACACCACAAAAAAGGGATCAAGTTGCGGTGGGAGCAGCTTGAATTTATAGACGAGAGCATTGCTCCTGGAGAATATGCCGAAACAAAGCCATGAGAGGACGATGGCAAACGCTCCCGGGAGCAAAAAACATGAGGGCGGTATCATGAATGACCAGGCGGCCGGCTTGCAGTCGGCGCCAAACCGCTCCCTTTGCCCTGTAGGGCTGGAAATTCTTCTAGAAGGCTTCCAAATCGGGAAACGTGCAGCCTGTGGCTTGCAGCTCGGCGAATGACACGGCGCTTCTATTGACGACCCCAGGCAGGAGAAGCCGGGACCCTGGCCTTCTAGTGGCCTTCTAGAAGCCTTCTAGAAGTCTTCTGGTTGTTGCTGCGCCGCCATTTAAGTGGTGCACTCCGGAGTCGTGACTTTCTTGTTTGGACAAGACCAGACCCAAGTTTACTCGCTGGGAAGCCACCTTCTCGCCAGCGCGTCGAACACGGGGTAGGGACGATCTTGGTCGGCCCGACAATCTGGTCACTGGCGCGCCAACGTAGAACGATTGGTTTAAGGACCATGCTTGGCGGGTCTATTCGGCCCTGAATTGGGCTTAGCGTACCATGCTTGGGCTCTCAGATATATCAAAATTCCGACCCCATCGCGACGAGAAGAGCGCGTGGATGGCTAACATGAAACTCGACAGTGAGAGCTGACATCCATGGCTAATGCAGCTGGTGGTTTAAGACCCACAACGATCAGCTTGCAGAGAGGAGAGAGAGAAAAGAAAGAAAGGAAAGCGTTCTAAAATCAACAACGGCTAGGATGGCCCCCTTTCCAGTCTTACTCCCTGCCCGACCACGCTTTCCTTCACCGATGATCAAAAATTGGCGATCAGAGCCATCTCATGAAAAGAAACAAACATCCTAGTTTTGTCTGCCACTAGGCTGATTGGCTCCTAGGCCACCCCTTCATTATATCCCTGACCGACAAAGTCTCTCTCATACCAGCATGGAGGATCGGGCTGGCTTGGTCATGGTGTGAGGGTCGCCAGTTGCATAGAAAACCTAAAACTCCTTCGCCTATCTTGCCGTTTCGTCAGCGCCTAACTCAAAATTGTGGTCGTTTCGAAGGTATTGCCATGCGCTAGATACACGTATCGGCAGTATGAACCTCGCAATGGCCCAGTGGCGCAATAATTAGTTCATTGAGGCCATTGGCAATCCTGAAAAAGTGATACTCTGGAATTCGACAAACAATCCTTTAGTCATATTGCTGGCTTACGATATATTTCAAACGAGACTCGGGATATCTGCCTCGAGCTTGACACAGCCCTCTGGAAACAACTATTACAGAATTTTCAGATAAAAATATCATGACTCCAAAGAGTAATTCTTGTTACACATCAAAAAGAAAAAGGCCAACCCAATACCCCATACAGATTAAATAGTTCCAGCGACGCTTGTAGAGACGTATTCCCAGTATTTGTCCCTCGAGAATTTTCTCAGCTTCTTGCCCCAGACTGTCATAATTAAGAAAGTAGCCGTCGTCGCGAGCGAAACCATACCCACCGTGATGAAGCAGTTACGGAGACCCTGCGCCTCAATCCAAGGGGTAATAGCATAGCTAAACCCGAATCCGAGGGTGTTGCGAATGATGATTACAGACACCATCGATTCACCACTGAGTTCCTTGAAGCAGTCGATGTTGTAGGAGATGGCGATAGAGCCTCCTGTGATGCAGCCAAACGCAAGCATGCCAAGGCCGAACTCAAGACCAACCCAGTGTACTCCATACGAAGCGCCAACGCCCCATATAATCAGACCGGCAGTGGATACGACACCGGAGACAACAAGCGGCCACAGACGGTGCTCTGGTTCACGGACACCCTTATTACGTCGAGCAAGATAGATCGCAACCTTATCAGCGACGATTCCGGACCAAGCGCAGGCAAAGATAGCTCCAATGATAGGTGCCGCATAGGCGGAACCAACAAGCGCCGCAGTCCAGTTGTACGGAGCTGCGGAGAGGACGGGGGAGGCGGTGGCGTTTAGCACGTTGTACCAAGACAGGTTGATACCGTAAAGGAATCCTGCCCACGAGGTACAGGGGAAATAGAGAATGATCAACAAGGGCCGGTACATCATCGTGAGCATTTGTTTGATGGTTGGTCGTCCTTGTAGAAAGACGAAGAGGTTTAACTTCTGAATATAGGTGCGTGCAAGCGGGAATGATTCGACGTTTTCGGAGGTGGATGCGGCGTGGACCTCTCGCTTCTCCTTCGAGTTTTCTCGATTAAGGGAATTCCCATCACTTGATGAGACGTCTAACTCTTCACCTTCGACGGTCTTTCGAAAATACAGCGTTTCTTCCATGAAGAAAAAGATAATAACTGTGGCAACTGCACTGATCATTGCCCCGAAATGCATAACCCATCGCCACCCGTAGGCGTCGTTGAACCAACCCGCGATAAGGGGAGCAATAAAGTTCGATCCAAACAAGAATAGCACATAACCGCCCATCCATCTACCACGCTCGTGAGCAAAGAATATGTCGGGGATCGACACTTCTGGGAGAGATTCGATGGGCGAGGCGGCCAGACCCATAATAATTCGATGCGCATACCATTCTCCATAGGATTTGGAGTATGCCGTCCAGACCATCATGGGAACGCAGAAGAGACATGAAAGGACGTAAACGCCGCGACGGCCGTACGTAATTGCGATAGGTTGCCAGAGCAGGCATCCCCATCCGAGAAATAAGAACATGAGCCCGGTACCGTTGACCAATTGAGCAGTAGTTATACCGGTATCGCGTGTAATATCCGCGAGCACACTGTATTGTAAGGTCGTTGGAATACCCACGCCGAGGGTATAGATGAACAACATGGCCATGTGTAATAATTTGCGACGACGACTCCAATTCAGAGGATCTTCCGGGTCTGCGCTCGGTCGAGGAACTAAAACAATATCTTTTTCGCGTTTCGAATTTCCTGCCTCTCCAGCGACGTCCACCAGATGGACTGTCCCTGGGACGAGGTCCGAACGATCGAGGTGGTTGGGCGCCATTTCGACCGGCGGCGTCAGATTTCGTCTTCGGTGAGGCCCGGCAGGGAAGGAAAGGGTGGTTAAACGCAATAGAGTAACGATATCACTGGATAAAGACCAACCAGGACTTCGCGGTCAGCTTTGTATAAGCTGCTGATAATACGCCAAACCTGTGGCAGAGTCGAAAAGACACAGATTTTTGCGGGTGAAAGCAAGCAGCTCCAAGTGGGATTACCCCGGATATTAAGTACGGGGCCGTACCTGGGTTTTCGAAGCTGGAAATATAAAGCCAAAACCACGGCCACGGCCCAACCCAGAAAATATCTGAAGAATTTCGGATTCTAGCCAGCTGGATTCGCCTCCAGTTTTTCAGTCAGAGATAGCGCACTGATGATTGGCGTAGAGCTCAAAGCTGCCAGCTCCAGCTCTACGTCCCGGCCAAAGGGACCTTGGCCGTGCGGAGAAGGTGGAGCTCGCTATATCCGACGATTTATCATCCTCCAATCGTGAAACAAACAAGACGGATAGAGGTTTAATTACCCCACGAGTCACCAGGTGTCCACGATAGTCTTTCGCGCCGTTATCAGCTCTGCTTTGCAACTCTAATTCTCCTTCGGACTGGCAGTGTTCTCAGATAATAATCCTTCCATTCGCAGGGGAAGTAATTCTCAGGCGTCAGCAGCCATAGCCCTGAATATGCTTCAAACCGTAGCTACCCCGCATTATTGTTCTATCATCCTGTCAGTAGTGTGGGCTTTGTTCCACGGTGGAAATCGCTTGTTCCGTACGCTCAGTGCCCGGTGGAGATGGGCATCTCAACCAAGCCTGCCTCCGCCGAATACATCCCATTACCCACACACCCACCAGTATCCCTGGGGTGGGAGAGTAATATTTGAATCCAGAATACTGGCCTAGTAACCGACCATCCCTAATACAGCCTAGCGCGTATTAGCGTACCCGGCCGGCTGGATCCCTCGGCAATGCGTTCCCCACGGGTAGACTTTCCGTTCTTCGCCTCGGTGGCAGCCGCCTTTCCGCCGCCCACGTTGCCAGTCAATCTGATCTCGCTTACAAGCAACAGGTTTCGGCGCGATGAAGTCCCCGTGCGCTACCCTTCTTATCGGTGACAAGATCCGCCCTTATCGCTGCCGCTTTCGGGACTGGGTCGTGAGCCGCGCGCCTGCGCGGCCTCTGCCTGCTTCGCGTCTGTCACGAGAGACAGATACATTTCTCCAGAAAGCACGCAGATAGCGATGCAGCGATATCGTGATGAAGCTATCGATGGGATCAGCGTTACGCCAGAGACACAGCAATCAATACCCTATGCCTGGAGGAGCATCCGCTATCTCTTTCCCCGATTATAGACGCGAAGGCTGGACTGACTCGTGTAAATTTATTTGGTAGAGTGGATCACTGCGGAGAGCTATACAGCATCAACCAATTGCTTTGATCCAGAATAACCGGCTCCGAGAGACCAACGGTAAACTTCAGCCCAGAGCTAAAGGTGGACGTAATGGGCTGCAGAATGGCGAGGCGGACAGGAAGCTCTAGCTTCGCGACCAGAGGCTTCTCACCAGTACGAATGCATTGCCAGACGACATGACAACCTTATATTATGCTCCTTTCCCCCGGAATCACTAGCCTGCGCGAAGGGTGCGGGTTCCGAGAAAGGTTTGTCACCCCACGGGGCAATGGGGATCAGAAGACGATTTAAAGTTCGAGAGACGGCTCATCCGATATATCAATGTGTATTGGAGTAGCAAGGAGCGCTTACCCTATCTGGCCCTTCCTTTTATCCGTGAGTCCACTTTGTCTGAGATATTGGGTGAAAGGAGGTTTGCCCCTGAAGGCTGGTGTGAGCAGCCGCCACCAATTGAACATGTCTAACTGTTGGAGAAAGCGGTCCTGAAAACTGTATTTGAATAGCTTCCGCAGAGGTAGTTATGGATGTTAGGGTAGTCATCACTTCACAGACTGGAGGGTAGAAAGAAATTTTCCAAGACATTGACCTAAAAGCAACCTATCAGCGTTGCACGGCCGGACAAGACACGAGGTTTTATCAAGCTGGGCGCTGGCAGGGTCTCTAAATTCCTCGAACACCTGGAATCCATCATAAGCTATTGTTTTAATCGACAGGCTCACCTCAATAAAGTCCAAAAGCATTTGTTCACGAAAAGTATATTTATGTGTGGAAGGCCGAGGGTCAAGGCTAAGTGTCAGTCTGTCTGGCGCTTTAAGGTGATTTTACACCTTGATGTCCATTTACCTATAAGAAACCCTTGGTCGCCAATACTGAGCGTGAAAGCCTCTTGAAATGTTGACAGCCAGACATGTGAGATAGAGAAAATTTTTGCTCGTGTGCATCCTGTCCGCAATAGACACAAGGTTATCAAAACCATTATATCTTTGTAAACACGGCACAGCTTCCAGGTTAATCTAGTGTAACACTTGCTTCCGGGAAATCTGGGTTAGCATCTAGACAACCCAGTCCAGCGATAGTGACAGCGAGATGTTATGAAAAATGCGGTGAATCTCTTTCAATGAGGCTGCACCACCTACAAGGTAGGTCATCTCACGTAAGGTGTTCCCTTTTCATTGGAATGTTCCGGACCGCTGCCGCAACGACCCACCTCGAGCTCCTTTGCCTTGTTGCGTATTACAGTTCATCGTACGAACGGGCGGCGAACATGTCCAGCTTTGACTAAGACATCAGAGTAAGCTTCCTTTCGCACTCCTTATTGATACCCTCTAAGCGCTGATGGCGACTACGTACCTAAAGTTGGCCCTAGTAGCATATGAATTGCTTTTGGTCTTTCTATCCTGGCGCTATCGCCAGAAAGTCCTCCATCTATGGTAGTCTCACTTTGGCAACCAGGAACGGTCTTCCAGCGAGGCATCTGAGCTCCAAGTGCGATGAGCTCTCCGATCCAGGCCTTTGTCCCTTTTCTACTATACCTCGGGCCACTCTACAACGAAGCCATTCGACTCCGCGAGAGATATGTCGAGCTCAATGTTGCAGGGCACAGGAAAGTTGTGGGCCTCCGGAAGCTGAGCAAGGGCGGGTTCAACCGTATGGTCCTTGCCATGCTTGAGGATAGCATCTAGGTTATTATCAAGATTTCATATGACACCTCCGTGCCAAAATGCTATGCAACTGCTAGTGAGCTGGCGTGGCAACACTTATGTACCTGTGGTTCAAGAGAGTCCCTATTCCCAAGGTGTATGGGTGGTCATCAACAACAAACAATCCTCTTGGGGTCAAATATATTATCAAGTTAGAGGAGGAATACTCTGTGTGCTTGTCATTCACTAAAGCTACTCCGTACTTCAAGGACTATTTCATCTAATCCTATTTTTGGTCACGTGAGTGAGGTGCTGCTGAGAACAAAATTCACTCCACAAACAAAACTTGGAGAACATGCGTCTCCGAAGACCGTTTGTTTTACCCGAAAGAGAAAAATTCGGATGCCGAATCACAAGCAAAGAAGGTTGATGCAAGGAGACGATAGAATCAAACACCGGTGTTGTTTCAAAATTGCAGGTAAAACATTATGCATACTGGGCCTCCACACAGGCGGCTAATCCAGATTTCTCATTGCGCCGCCCTCGCTTCCCAGATTGCGTTGCAATTTGCCATGCATTTCTAAACGGCCCATTGTGGTTAGAAAAAAGAAATCAGGAAGAAGAAAAGGAGCAATTGTGCTATTTACGGACTCTTCTATGGTGAAGTGTAGACCGCCTGGAGACATCCTGATGAGCCCAAATTGAAATGACGAAAACAAAAATAGCAGAGCTAACTCTACTCCGTATAGCTGCGTGCTATTGAATGGCCAACCACAGTAGGTGATTCGTTGCGTGAAATATTAAGCGGACTGCCTGTTTGTTACCTGTGCATGTTATTACTACTCTCAATAGTTTATAGGTCTCCATCTGATAAGGAGTTCAATGACATTCTGTGTTCTCTGCCAATGGCTGAAAGTCTGTAGAGTAAACAAAAACTCCTGAAATTAAGATTCATTTGAAAGACCAGGGGTATTGAAGGCATTCAAACTAGGGCCAAAACATCTCCAATCTCAGAACCAGCTTCATGATATCATAATGTTCACACAATTTGGCGAAAGAAAAGGAACAAGTACTCCATCCCGGCAGTAGAAGCCAGGTTCACCTAACTCCTAAACTCCAAAAATATAAAACTCCTTCAAAGGCCGCTAAAGTGTAAAATGCAACGAGGCAAGGAAAAATTTTTAGGGATATCATCCGAAAAGTTCCATCGTAGATGGCACCAATTCTTCTGTAACGGCTCGCCGTGACTTCTTCTGCTTCTTTTTGGTGCTCAATGGTATTGTAGTTAGGACTCGCTTTTCTACGTCCTCGTCCGTAATCTCGTTTGATCGCGTCGACAGCGCGGGGCTGTTCGCTCGACTGCATTGTGCAGGCAGCGGGGGGCTCCTGTGATAGCCAGAGCAAGAGCTGCCGTGTGGCGATGATGTGCGTATGTTCCTCTGGTAAGAGGGATGGCAAGGTATCTCTCCAGCCGAACTCGGGTCGAGAGAACTTGCACTTCGCATTGAGGTTTGCCGCCGATGTTTCTCTGTGATTGTGGAGGGGGGTGCTGAATATTTCGGTCTGCCGATTTTTGCCATATCTTTAAAGAATGCCTCACTGGCAGGTTTGTAGACAAAATCTGGCGGCTTCTCGTGGGATGGCCTTGCTGGAGTGTCATAGACCGACTCGCTGATGCATACGAAGGGTTGGGCCCCCGTGTGTGCTCTGAATTGAACGTGTCCAACACCTTGTCTCTGACGTCTTGTGCCGCTTCGTGATACCGGCACGGAGGTCGAGCGTTTCTCAGATGGGAACGAGGGAAGCTGGTTCCATCCTCCATCCATAGGGCCACTGATGTCCATATCACCATAACGCTCGTCTAGCTGCCTGGTCCCTTTCCGATGCCGTTGTCCCAAACGACCTCGCTCGAAACAACATTTCACCCATGTCGCCATGACCGCGTCCAAATAAAGAATCGAGCTTCCAAGGTAATGACGGCCGTAGTCCTTTAGAATATCCTTGACTGACGATAAGGTGTGCTATTAAAACGTATCTTCGGTAGAACTGTTCACTTCCAGCTTCCTTTCAAGCACTGATGAGGGTGGTATAGTAATAATAAGAAGAATGTAAAGGAGGGAGATAGGCAGTAAAAGAATGGAAGGGAAGGATTCAAGCCAAGACAGACACGCCGTCTCGGGCAGTGCATATCCAAAGGGTCATGAAAATCTGGCGGCACGGCTGCTGGAGCCAGGTATAAAATTCGGTTCAGGAATTGAAGATCAAAGGCTTACTCCTCGGGAAATGAAGTTGCCGTTGCACGGCAAGGCACACTGGATCGCTGAACGGAGGCGCGACTGAAGTGTATTAGTGGCACCCGAAGCAGCACGAGAGCGCTGGGAGTAACAATAAAACCAAGGTGATAGCAGGTAACTAGCCAGCCCCGAGAAGGGTAAGAATGTTTGTTTCACAGCATGCGGCAGATCCGCCCATGATAGAGAGAAGATAATAAGCGTCACACGGGGCACGGACAGCGGCCAAAAAGCGCTTCCAAGAATATCGCATCTCCACGACAGCAATGCATAATGTGGAGCATGGAGTTTGAGAAATGACATCTGCCTTAAGCGCTGCGATTATCGAATTAATGGCTGCATCTGAAGTATGGAGTAGTGTACTCCGTATAGGCCAAGCAATATGGCCGGTTTCGAGCCGGCAAACAGCAGCTGGGGGCCAGGGGTCTGAACGACCCATGGTGGCGCACGACCAGGGGGTGGGCGGGATCAGTTCCGACTGTGGTCTCCGGAAATGGCAAGCTTGGACGACAGGCACAGTCCGATTGAACACAAAGGGCGTACTCCGTACATTGAGCATAGACTTCCTAAGAAGATCATCGCCTAGATTTTGACTACATTTTGAATATCTCGGACCAACCTGTCTTAAAGCTTCTTTAACTTTGGTAGCTGCCTTCCAGAATTCTCTGGTCGGATTTGAGGCACAGATGGAAGACGTAACTCTTTCGACTGTGAATCGGCCAGTCTCTCTGTAAGTACGAGCAACGAGATAGTGGGAGAGCGCTGTATTCTGCTGCGTGTGGCCGCTGCGCCGGACGCAGGAGTTCGTCCAAGCAAATTCAGGGTCGTGAGGGCGGGGCAAGCTTCTCTCTCACAAAGAACAGATCCAGGGTAGTTCATCAACTAACCAACGATCCACCTAGTCGAGAATAGGATCAGAGAACTTGTGAAGAGTCACAAGAGCGAGCTGAGCCCCAACAGCTTTACTCTCTGGGCTGATTCCCGGGCGAAAACGCTGTGAAGCTTGTGTCTGGCCTGCGCTCCGTCGCTCTGTACTTCTGGAGTTCAGAGGGCGCAGCATTTTGATCGAGCAGACGACACCATCAGCCATCTATTCTCTGGATTACCCCGTCCAACCCCATCGACCTCGTCCTTCCACGAAGCAAGGCGAAGAGGTGGTGAGCAGCGCGGCCTCTGAGTGGTCGGCATCTCGCGGCTTGGTTCGCCGATTACGCGAACGGTGCGGCTACTGACGCGCTGATTGGTCAGATTCCTGGCTGGTGTGTAACGAAGCCTCCAGCCAATCAGCACGCGTATTTAGCTGTTGGCGCTTAACTTTCCTCCCACATCCTCTTAGTCATCGCTTTTCGGCCAAAACAGCGAGAATCAGCCTGCATCGGCCTACATACATCCCACGGAGTGCCCCCCTTTAGAGACGTGTTTCGTGGTAATGATAGCAGCGGAGGTTTGCCGCTCTGAACTAGTGTGCACGACATACGAGAGACTTGAATTGCCGGAAGAAGGATTTGCGCCCCTCGCTGTTGGCAAATTGTGGAATGGCGGAAGAACGCACCGGACATAGTGTCACAGGGCATGTCGTATCATGCGCACCTCCGTTGCGCGTCTACCCTGGCTTGACATTCTTTATTCTGCAGACGGCATACATATTCCGCGCCCCTGCACCATATCATGATGTTCCCGAGGCCAACCCATGCTGCTTAGTGGGAATGCACATCTGTATTTTCTACTTCTGTTATCGTAGACAGAGATGCCCACGCCAAAGAGGCAAAATTTTCCAGCCTGGTATCGCTATCTGCTTTTGAAAGAGCCGGGATAGCCAGCAAACTTGCGAACTGCTGTTGTTCTTTGTTTGTATTGACGGAACCCGCGCCTCTTGGATTACCTGCTACAGCCATGTCAGCAAGCCTCCAAGCATCCCTGTCGGCACGGCCATCCTTTTGCGGCATTTTCAGTATCGAATGCCAATGGGATGCGTGACCTTACCCGAAAATGTCGAAATTCAAAGTCCAAGATGCGATCTCAGCGCCCTGATTCGAGTACCGACAGCACGGTTGCGGCGTCAGGGTTGTGGATCGCCGTTCCCTGCTGCCAAGTCCCACCCTTGGCCTAAGCGAATGGGCCTCGTCATGAGTGATCAGGGAAATATTTCCGGGACTTCTCACCTGCACCGCAGCCAGTCTCAATTTTTAGGCAGCGTTGCCCAACTAGCCGCATCCGACACAATGGCACAAGTAATGACGATGATGTGGCAACTCGAGCCAAACGCTCTGCCGTCCACTATGGAATAATTATAGAATACGGAGTACGGAGTACTCCGTACATCTTTTTGATTTCGGTGAGGCTAACTGCGTCCCACCCAGAAAATCCAAAGTTGAGAGATAAGTACAAAAATGATTCGCGCGTTCCAAAACCCTTCTCAAAGAAACCGACAAGATCAACATTAGGGATCTACGAGAAAACACATGATCTGTCCTTCCATCTGCCCTGGAGAAACGAATAATTCGACAATGCCACTAGCTCAAATGTCGGGGATAAGAACATGGAAAACGCCGTCAACATCCTTGTCCCATTGTAGCAGGTTGGTGTACCCCAATTTACCCACGGTTACTCCGTACGCGCTTGTGAATTCAGATCCGAGCCTGGCCTGAAGTACATCTAGATCATTATCGACATATCTGCCGCCAGTGTTGATGGCCACGCTGATTCATCGAAAGAGGCTATCTTTCAAAATCAATCCACTTTCCCTCAGCTTGTTCGGGCGCGACCTCTCAGCCCCAATACCCTTTCATCCGAAAGAAGCGCTTATCCATATATATGTATTCTGAATGTATATACATCCGTATGTTGACATGCAGGGCCCAAGACGACAGGGTGTATTCCTGTTCTTTTTCTCGTCGTGTCTCACTTGGACCAGCCCAACGGAACCGGCGATGGCTCCATTTACGTTGCATTTTTCATCTGGTAGCACTTCCATACGAAAACAGGCAACACTTCCTCATGTACCAGCCCATCAACCAATGTGGTGCACCAGTCCATACCGCGCAAGTATGGCTCTCCCTGACCCCTCGAAGGGGAAAAAAAGTTTCCACAGGGTTGATTCCGCCGTTTTGCGAACCGGGATGTGTATATCAAGGTAATCTTATACTCTTCTAGGTAGTGGCGGAGCGAGAGCCCTCTATGGCAAAGAACACTAATTTCGCCCATACCAGGTAAACTACGGGGTAAAGGCAAAGTCATAGTCCTCCATACGGAGTAGTGTTTTGGCATCACTTGGGACCACAAAGCGCCCGCGCCCGCATGTATTACAATGGAAATTGCCAGCTTTGATTCCAATTTCCAATCCAAGTGCATTGATAACCTTTCCCTTGCACGGATACCCCACAGAACCAGATATGCCAGGGAAACACAATGATCCTGAACTGGTGATCAAAATCTGATTGGCAAAGCACAAAACTCAGGAAAAGACCCCAAAGGGCCATCTTGAGATCGACAGGAGATCCAGTAGGGGAGGGAGCAATGAGGCTAAGTGCATACGGATTGAAACTTGATCAGTGGTGTATTCCCTATCATTTCCACAGCAAAAAGGCAGACTCAACTAGTTGTTTATTGCATTCTGGATCCATACTAATGTACATCAGCAAGGACAGTATCAAGCTACCCCCTAATTTATGATTGCAGGACAACTAAAGTGCTTTCTTTACAAAGAACCATATTATAGTCAGTGAGCCATTCCAAGGTCCGGGAGTCATGTATAACTAGACAGCCCTCACTTGCTTTGAGAAACAGTGTGAGTGTTTGGACTCAACCTGCTGAGCTACCTAATATTAAATTTTCCTTTGAAATGAGCCTACATGAGGACCGCACGGGATCCCTCTTGCAGGGTCATGGCATAGACATCGGGGAAAACACGATGGCTGGTGCTCTATCGTCCATTTTATCAGGTCTTGCTACGCCTTTGCCCCTCTGGTTACCCTTTTAACTACCCTTTCCCTCCTTATTTGATCAGACTATAACAGGCATATCTCGGTTCCTGCTTAGAAGTACAGAGTGGGCTTTCAGCATTATTTTTCAAGTTTAGGGTAGCAACTTTCACAAGAAAGGAAAACCCTGCGCGTTTTGGCGGTGACCTAGTTAGTGGAATCAGGACAAGCGGGTAGGTGGTCAGGTAGGGGCGGCTATATTGGGTTCGCAACGTAACCGACAGCGACATCTGAGCAGAGGCATGTTTCGGGAGCCTATTTGTTCGGTGTCTTATTTATATCATATCGATCTACTCAGTGGCATGGCTACCAGATCACTAGATTCGCTATGAGACGTATCTAAACCACAACCTATTACACTTTAAAAAGGGACTTAGTATAGGAATGCGGACGAGAAGTAGGCATCCACACATAGTTACGCTTGAAATCATGCCCAGTCCTTAGCCCCAATTCTTCGGGGGGGGGGGGGAAAGGCCTGCCTTTTCCATGATCCGACAATGGCAATATCCAACGATACCACGTAGAACATGCCCCTAAAGCGAGTCCCGTCAACAATTAACCGCCCGGTTAGAATTCGAATCGCTCGATTGCCTTCGAAGAAACTTATAGTGCTCGTGTTCACGCACCGGCGATGGAGGCCCGGTTTGAACAGCCATGATTAGACGCGGAAGCGAGACAGTTGACAGGGATGCTTCGTAGGTGTTCGCACGGCGGGCCCGTCGACGCTGGGTTGGAAGGGCTGTGCTCTGGATAAAAGATCCGCGACGTGATAGAGTCATCGGTGTGTGCCTCTCCGATCTGGAGGATACATATGATAAAGATGGTCGTCTGAACCTCGCGGACGCGCCGATACCTGATTCAGGACGCATGTGACGAATTCTCTCCCCGGAGAATGTGATTGCTGGTATCCACGCCGAACTTGACCGCTTGGCCTTAGTTGGTATACTGTGATATAGCTGAGCATAAGATTTGAGGCCACGCCGAACTTCTGGCATGTGAAGAGAACCTTTGACCCTTTGAAGCTGATAATTTGCGTCGAAGTGAGAGTGGGCGCGGATCGGCTTTAGTCTATCTACCCCTTTTTTCGGCGGTGCTAACTGCTGAACTTCTGGCATATCCTCTTCGGTGTAGACGTTTTCCTCGATGTAGGATGAAATAGACCTCAAAGGTATATTAGCATTTCTTGCAGCAGCGGCGACCTTTTCACGCATAATCAAAACCGCTGCGTCCAGAGCAAACTCGAGAGCACAGTGGTTTCTAATGCGGCTTAGTTTGGACCATGTAGCGCGCTCGCCACTGAGACACGCTCGTAACATGAAATCGGGCGTGGGGTTCCTAAGCATACTGGGAAACACCTCATAAGTGATCTCTGGAAGGATATTGATGTCACCATAATATTCCTGTCTCAGGACAGAAGCAAATTTGCTCAGGGGGTTAGACAGCACTCCGAGTTCGGACAACATAGTGAACTTTCCAATTGTCTCCTCTTTTATCAGCATCTTGGGAAAATCAACCGGCTCAGGTTCCGGTTCCCGCGGGCGTTCGCTGAGTTTTGCAAATAAAACGGCTTCTCCCGGGGGAACAAATGGTATCACATGAGGATTGACTTGGGACACGATGAAATGGTTAACGTTAAACATTTCTGACAGGCGAGCCATCGGTAAATCACTATCAACGGACCCGTCGATCCACTGGACAAGGGATTCTCCCCATTCTAGTATATTTCCGGTAGTCGGGTCTTTCGCCATTAACGCGGAGGTTGAAAATATAAGTGGAGCAGAGCACGATGTAGCGCTAAGGCCGTTAGTTCTCTGTTGACGTTTGAGGTTATGGGTACTTACATTGCAGACCAAATTATGATATTTGGGGCAGTTATGTAATTTAATAACCGGGGCAGCTCATGAGTCTCTGCGTGGGAAACTGTGATGTTGAGGATCCTTCTCGTCCGATTATATGCTTCTAGGAATGTCACATCCCCTAATATGTCTCGCATAACCCGTGTTAGATGAGCGATATCAAAGAAAGAGCCTGAAATAAGAAATCTCCTCAATCGGTGCCACAGGGTCTCCACGCCGTCGTTCGATTCAAAAACGGAGAAGTCACCGTTTCCGAAAGACGATAAAATTTGTGGGATCTCATCGTCCATATGAGCACAGAGAACGCCGGCAACGATGCTGCCGGCGGAAGAACCAGATATTACCCGTGGCAAAAGCCTCATCTGCCAGAGAGTCTTGACAACGCCGGTATGATTCATTCCAAAGGTAGCACCACCAGAGAGCAATAATGCTGTTCGTCCAAAAGCTTGGCGAGTAGCTTGCAGTTGCTCCAAAAGAAACCGAGATTCGGCAATGTTGAATTCCAGCTTGTCTGCCATTTCCAGTGCCACAGATACCGCGTTCGTGGCTGTTGTGACATAGAGATCTATCAAATTTTTGGTACCGATATGCGCACGTGTATAGAGATCCGGATTTGTCATATTCGCAAGATCTCGACTAAAGGAGGTTCGAATAATATGGACGATAGCGCCGAAGTCGTCAGTACGCAAAGCCTGCTCCAGATCATCCAGTCGCGCCCGGAGTAGGGCATGATCGTACTCGTTGGATTCATCAACCGACTTCCACTCTTTATTCCCTTCAAGTTTGTCCAATTCCCCCGCTATCTGAAGCCACTCATGCAGGGAAGTCGCCTGCAACAACTGTTAGCCGTTGATATCTTTTCGAATGTCAAAGACCACCTACGGCCTGAAGCTTGAAAGAAAGATCCCGTTTTCTCCTCTCAATCTGCAAGGATCTCTCGTATTCATCACGCGAGAGCCCGCGCCAGAGACCGAAAGCGATAAAACTCGCATGCGCGAGGGAGTCCCATGCAAGTGATGATAGATATGAGATTGAAACGTATTTTCGTAGGGCGCCCAGCCGAGACTGTTTCGAGGGGGTTAAACGCGACACTACTGGAAACGTAGTGTCGGTGATCAAGGACATCGCGAGTCTGTTCTGGAAGCCATTAAAAACCAAACCTCCACTCGCGGTTCTTTGACAGCATGCGCCAAAGGTCCCATTGACGCGACCAATAATGAGAAATGTCTGTGTTCAAGCTAATGCTGCAACTTGGTGCTGGTGCATAGAACATATAGCCCAGTGAGAACAGCTGAGGATGAAAAGACTGCCGGTGCAAAGCATATCGAACAGGTTCCTGTCTAAATACCGTCATTCTGATCGGGGCCCAACCCAACCAAGGCATCAGGTCATGCGCATAGGCGTGGGGAGAAGGTACCGCCCTGTACCGAATTGGATCTGACGAGTTTAGGGAAGAGCTTTTCTGCGTAGGAGGCGAGGAACGGTACATCGAGGTACACCCATGTGGGGATGCGGTACCCGGTTCATGATGACAGCTGAACCAGATCGTGATCTGTGGCGGTGAACTTTCATGATTCAGTTCATTTGGTAAAAATTCCCGGAGAAAGAGAATTCAGAGTGCGCCTCATGACTTCAGTTCTTGGAAGCTTCATTTTAGTTAAATGCCCGCCTACCAAACATAAATCCTGCTGGGCCACGAAAGTTGAGCTACCTCGCCAACGAAAAGTCTCGTATGGCGCTTTTCAATAAAAATTCTACTCCGTTTTCGCGCCAGAAGTGACCTGCTCCTCGGATTTCTAAGAACTCGAATGACGAATTGGGTTTACTCGATAGTTCACGAGACCAATCTCGTAACTTTTTGATCGAAGTAAAGAAGTCACTGTCCCCGTAGATGGCGAGACTTCGATGACTTGTCAGCGCTTCTTCAGGTAGAAGCCCAGTGATCGAAGACCCGTCGACGGTTGTGCTAAGATTTTTATGTGAAGCGAAAAACGACATGGTCACGAAAAGTGACACCGGAGGTAGTATCGGGGAGACCAGGAGATAGTGAACATCCGGAGGCGACGGATTGATTTTCTCTACTCCCTTGCCTATCCGCCCTAATACCCGCGATTCTGGTTGATAGTTACATGTTCCAGAGGGAGTAGCGGGTCTTCTTGCATTTAGTATTCCTTGAGAGCGTGAGAAGACAGGGAGCAATGCGTGGAAAGCAACCTCGTACCTGATGGATAAGCTGTGTTCACGCGCCAATTCAAGGGCTATTCGCCTGATCTTCATAGCCGAGCTATCATCCTCGGCGGATGAAAACGTCTCAACAACTTGAACCGCCGAAGGAAGAAGGGTGGCCAACATCGATCCAAAGGAATATCCAGATAGGATAAGCTTCATATTATCATCTTCTCCCTTTACAGAGGGATAATCATCCTCTTCAACTGGCGAACGGATTTCTCCAGACAATTGGGAGCCGTCTTCTATGAGAAGATTGTGCATATAATGGATCACGAACCCATAGAAAGAGATGTAATCCGCCAGCTCCGGCTTAGCGGTCCAGCTTGTCCGGCCTTGCGATTCCCCTGCACCTCTAAACCAAGTATGTTAGAGGCATTCAAGTAGCTAATAATTTGCTCCATCTGGAGGAGAAAAAGAAAAAAGAATTAAGTCTTGCCATGACATAGTTACCTTAAGTTAAAAGTGCCTACAACATAGCCTGCTTGTAAAAGCTCGTCTGTAATCACACCCACAATGGGGTCATCAAAACATCCTCCAAGTGGGGCATACGGGTGAGCCACAATCGCTGCTTTCTTTTCTACCTTGCGTTTCCCACGGGCGTGCACTGACCTCGGAGAGTGAAATAGACGGCATTCGAGATGGACAGCATCGTAGAGGGAAGGAATAGTGAACGAATAGCTTGGCGGTATTAAGTCCATGATGCAAAACAGGATTCTACTTTGTATCTGATAGCTGTGATTTTCAAAATCTGTGCGTGATGCACTGATGGGTGGCTTCTTGATGCACTTTGTGGCGAGAAGTTTTGTGGTTGATGGATCCTAACAATTAACTAATAACTTGGCGCTGCTCAAAAACAAGACAACAGGGGCTACATAGTAGTTAGGGAGCAGTGACATGACAGAAAGTGAAAGGCGGATAATACTAGTTTAACATTTATGTCATTAGGCAATTATGCCTTCATCTATGGGCTAGTCTACCTTAGAGAATAGAAAGACTTGATCTTGCTCATCGTCGTCACTGGGTCTAATGGGGGAACACCGAGGCGAAGATTTCACAGTGTCACTCACATCACTACAAGGTGCATTCGAAGGAGGTTCAGGTTGTGGCGTTGGCGACGGTGATTCGGTTACCCTCAGCAATTCTTCTGGAACATTTCCAACGGCAGTGCCACCCTGGTCGTCCGTAGCCTCCTTGTCATGATAGTCAAACATTTCCATGAATGCAGATCTACCTTGACGAAAAGCTTCAAGCTCGGCACCAATGCTGCAAATGAGTAGATTCCAGCTCTTCTCCTCGGCAACTTGCAGATTGGCGGCTAACTGTCCAATCACATCATTCATGTCTCGCACAATGCAATCCTGAATAGACCTATCGCCTGTCTCAAGGCGACTTTCTGAAATACGTGACATTTTCTTGCGTATTGATGTTTCGAAAGTTGATATTGTGGATATAACTTCGTGCCACACTTTTCCTCCTTCTTTGAGCGCACCGATCTCATGATCAACTTTTCTTCTCCGTTTGCGAAGTTCCATGCTTTCGTGCTGCCAGTGTTCCTTTGCCATCTCTAGTGTCCGACGTTTCGGCTGGAGCGCGTAGAACGTCGGTGTATCCGGGAACATAGTCAGAAGGGGCTGAACCGGTGGGGATCTCAGATAGTTTTGTGTGTCCTTGTGAACCAGTGCTAGCGACTCTTTGTATGACGACAGTTTTGAATCAACGGAATTTTGGAGCTGCGTTATCTCATTGAAAATTTGCCTGTGACGTGCTTTCATCTCGGCGAGATGGTTCTCTAATGCCATGATTTCCTTTTGAAGAGCACGGGACTCATTTTTGAGAGAATCCATCCTCAACGTTTCTCGGTCTCCTTGCATCTGGGATAGTGCTATTTCCAACCCGTTCTGCTTGCTGACAAAATTATCGACCTCCCTCAAGGCTTCCCGCCGGCAACCGAGCTCGAAGCCAATGACACGGCGTTCTTCTTCTTTCAAAGTCAGAAGCCCGTCCATAGCTTTCAAAATACCCCTCCTAGCTCCTCTCAAACTAATTTTCTTCTTGGGCGGCTGTCGAACAGGGATTGTCATGGTCGCCTTTGGGCTCGCAAGGCGAGACGTGGAAGAAGTAGAGCTCGTAGTCGAAGTGTGATCGTTCGAGGACGCTGACAGTCCGGCCGACAAGCCGGCACTTTGTACATCGAGAAGCGCCTGTAAGTCATTCTGGAGCTGTCGTGACTGCCTCTCGATGAAGATAAATGGATCCGAATGATGAACAGAGGCAGAGAGAGGCACCGGCAGGAGCTTGCCGCTCTTGTCCAAGGGTGACGTCGCCATGACCTGGACAGCGAGCAGCTTCAACCACGAGTTGTGAGACGCACACCTGGCAAAGAACAGGATGTAGCTAGAGCAAAGAATCGATGCGATGGCTCGATGGCCATTTCAGATCGTGCGTTGTCTCCCCATTGTTCGATCTTCCTAACATCGCCATTCTGGCCTCCTGCTGGCGAGCCGAAGGTCGTGTGACCTGATTGGCTGGTCACGCAGTGAGGCTGGGGAGCTGGTTCTTTGATGACTAAGCAAATGTACGAGCTTGTTTGGCCAGCCAATCAGTGCAGGGCGCCAGGTTCCCAGCATCGCCAACGCATTTGACGTGCGTTCCGGCCTGAAGCTCTCTTCATCAGTCAGTCAGCCCTCATCGTCTTCCCTCCATCAAGTCATCCATCCCTCATTCTTGGTTTTACTCTTTCTAGACGTTTACCTGTGAGTTATTTTCTACGTGCAATCTTGTCTGGGGGGTCTCTAATAAGCGTGCCTTCACCGATAGGTTTCCTTTTCCCAAGGCCACCGTGACAGTTCTGCGTTCCACGTCTGCCTTGATATAGAATAGATCAGTCGGAGTGCAATAGACGGCGCAATATGGTCGGACTCGTTTCAGCAGCCGGCCTGGTGGGCTTTCTATCGGAGCCTGACACCGAGCTCAAGGTATTCGCCCTGAAGACTTTGGACACTCAGGTGGACTCGTTATGGTCCGAAATTGCTGGATCCGTCGGCCAAATGTAAGCAAGAATCTACCGGTCGCCCATCCTCACTGCATTTGCCTTCCTTTGTCCCATATTTTTAGGTTCAAGCGTCCATTTACGTGTTTATCTTTTGCCTAATGCGTCTATAGCGAAGCTCTCTGCGAAGACGAATCCTTTCCTGAACGTGAACTTGCCTCTCTCGTTGCGGCTAAGGTTTACTATAACCTACAGGAATATAACGAAAGTACAGTTTTCGCATTGGGAGCGGGGCATCTGTTCGATATTGAGAACGGCGGCGAATTTGAAGAAACCATCATCTGTAGGTGGACTACAAGTAAGAGCGGGCATGGCTTCCTTCAATACTAATTCGGTTGGTGTAGCAAAATGCATAGATACATTTGTGTCTATATCTGCGATGCAAAAGAGCAGTCCAAATGTCGATGCGTCGGGTAAACCCCATGTCAACACCTCGTTCCCTCAACAAGTTAATGGAGCTGCAAGCACGTCAGCCGGTCTTACGTCCCCCATTACACCATTTTCGCAATCTACGTTACCATCCAAGTCTCTTCTATCCCGCCCCGAATCATCGGCTGATAGTAGCTATCAGAGAGGTGAGAGTGATGACGTTGAAGGCCCGACTGAGGTGCCACTTGTGATTCAACGTGGAGTCCAGAAGCAGCTTCAAGCAGTCATCAACCGCCTCTTTGAACGGTGCTTCCAGCAGAAGAGATATCGCCAGGTCATTGGCATTGCGGTGGAAGCAAAGAATTTGGACATTCTCCGAACGGCTATATTACGCGCTGCTGAAGATGAAAAGAGCCAGGGAGGTGAATCGTCACGTCGCGGGGAAGAATTAATGGAATATGTTCTCGGAATTTGCATGAACGTTGTGCAAGAACGGGCATTTAGAAACGAGGTATGTCGTGTCTTTTGTGATCCCATGGGAAATTAGCGCTGATAAAAGGGTTCTCTGTGAAGATTTTAAAGTTGATACTCGAGCTACTGAGCGAAATTCCTTCCCCCGACTACTTTTCCATTGCTAAGTGTGTGGTGTACCTGAATGAGCACACTATGGCCTCCGACATTCTTCGACAGCTTGTGGAGAAGGGAGACGCGAGATCTCTGGCAGTCGCTTATCAGATTTCTTTTGACCTGTATGACAACAGCACACAAGAGTTTTTAAGGAAGGTTCGTCAAGAAGTGGCTGGATTTTGCCCTGAGGACGACCCTACGTCGGAAAATCCAGATAAAATGGAAGAAGAAGCAAAAGAAACGGATGCTCTCCTTCAAGACAAGGACGAGGCAAATGCTTCCAGTTCAGGGCTTGGAAAAAGTAACCTCTCATCGGAGGCGCGTTCCGCGTTCACCAATATTCGCAACATCCTAGACGGTGTTAATTCGATTCAGCTGAATCTCGAATTCCTTTACAGAAACAACAAAGCCGATATTGCGATATTGAATAGGATTAAGGATAGCCTTGAAGCTCGGAACTCGATTTTCCATACCGCCGTGACTCTATCGAATGCATTTATGCACGCTGGAACTACACACGACAAATTTTTCCGAGACAACCTGGAATGGCTTGGGAAAGCTGTCAATTGGTCGAAATTCACAGCCACCGCTGCCCTCGGTGTTATTCATCGTGGAAATCTCACACAGGGTCAGAAACTTTTGGCACCCTATCTACCTAAAGAAAATATTGCGGGAGTGGGCAGTTCGGGTTCTGTTTACAGCCAAGGTGGATCTCTCTATGCTTTCGGTTTGATCTATGCGAACCACGAGGGTTGGGCTGTTGATCTTATCCGTGAGCATTTCAACAAGGCAACCGAAGAAGTTGTCCAGCACGGTGGCGCACTTGGTTTGGGCGTTTCAGCTATGGCAACCGGTGATGAGGACATTTATAGGGACTTGAAAAATGTTCTTCACACGGACTCAGCTCTAAATGGAGAGGCTGTTGGTCTTGCAATGGGGCTGGTCATGCTGGGGACTGGAAATATGAAGGCTCTCGAAGATATGATTCAATATGCACACGAGACTCAACATGAGAAGATTATTCGAGGTCTTGCGATGGGGATGGCTCTCATTATGTACGGCCGCCAGGAAGCGGCGGACGAGCTGATCAATGGTTTGCTGGGTGACCCGGATCCCACTCTACGCTATGGCGGTATTATGGCCATTGCTTTGGCTTACTGTGGAACTGGTAGCAACAAGGCCGTTCGCAGACTGCTCCATGTTGCTGTCAGTGATGTTAATGATGATGTCCGACGAGTTGCAGTGATGAGTCTGGGATTCATCCTCTTCAGAAAGTATCACAGTGTTCCCCGAATGGTCGAGCTCCTTTCAGAATCCTACAACCCGCATGTCCGGTACGGAGCTGCTATGGCCCTTGGCATCTCTTGCGCTGGAACGGGCCTAGACGAAGCGGTTGATCTCTTAGAACCGATGCTAAAGGACCCGACTGACTTCGTTCGACAAGGAGCTCTGATAGCACTGGCCATGGTTCTCGTGCAGCAGAACGAGATCATGAACCCCAAAGTCGGGACGATCCGAAAGGCAATGCAGAAAGTGATTGGTGACCGCCACGAAGACGCGATGGCTAAATTCGGCTGTGCTGTCGCCTTGGGTATCATCGATGCGGGTGGACGCAACTGCACCATCAGCCTGCAGACACAAACCGGCAACCTCAACATGCCCGGAATTGTCGGGGCTGCCGTTTTCACGCAATATTGGTACTGGTTCCCGTTGACACATTTCTTGTCTCTCAGCTTTACCCCCACCGCCGTTATTGGTATCGATCAGAAGCTAGAGGCGCCAGTTTTCAAATTCCATTGCAATACCCGACCTAGCTTGTTCGACTACCCACCCGAGCAGCAGGTCAAGGCCGACGAGGCCCCGGAAAAAGTGAAGACTGCGGTCCTCTCGACCACCGCGCAGGCCAAGCGGCGAGCGCAGCGCAAAGAAAGGCAACAGCGCCGAGAGAGCATGGATGTGGACCAAACGCCAACGACGCCCAAGGGGACTGGTCAGTCCCACGACAAGATGGAAGTGGACGAAAGCCAGCCCAAGGGTGAGGATGAGGGCAAGGCTGCTGAGAAAGAAGCCGAAACACCCAAGCGCAAAGTCGAAAAGGAGAAAGTGGGCTATGAGCTGGCCAACATGTCGAGAGTTCTTCCTGCGCAGCTAAAATACTTGACGTTCCCTGATCCACGATATGAGCCGGTGAAACGGGTAAGTGAATAATTGGAACAGGGGGCAAAACTAAGACTATGATGCTAATGATGTCTCTACGAAGCCCACTGGCGGTGTCACAGTTGTCCTCGACAAAAGTCCGTCCGAACCACGCGAGATTATGGAATTGAAAGCCAGCAAGGACGTCCGGCAAGCCGCTGCGCCGCAGACGCTACAGGATCGAATCAACGCTGCGATCTACGGTGCGGAAGGAGTTCAGGCAGCGGGTCAAGCAGAAACGGCTCCTCAAGTGCCTGCCGTTGGTGGCAGCGGTGCTGCGGCGGCGGCAGGAGTCTTAACCGCTGTAGACGAGGATGAGGAAAGCGGCGAGGAAGCTCCAGTGCCCGATGAATTCAGTTACTACTCTGATGCGGAGTGATGATCAAGTATTTAGTCCAGCCACACCCTCCGGCCCACTCCTTATTTTCTTGTTTGTCCCTGATTTCCGCGTGTTAAAGATTCGTGTGATCCGCGGCCGATCTTGTGTCTTTTTCTTTGGATGTCTTTTTTACTCCATATTCTTTTTTTCATCTTTCCTGATAGCATCCCAAGCATCTAGAGAACCTCGTGTACTTCTATTGTCTACTAGTAGTGTATGTACGAAATTATCTGTGAACTCATGAGCCTTCCAGCATTTTCAGAGGGCCTAGCCGCTTCATAGGTTGATAATTATATCAGTCCGTTGGTTGATTGGACTCCCGTGCGTGGACCAATGGGCTCGTAGGCAATTTGCAACTTGTCAGACTCTCAGACTCTCAGACTGTCACATGCGTCGCGATCGCCCGCCATGCGCAGAGTATCCAAGGTTGGAATTGGAAGTTTCCCGCCGCGTCGGACAAACTCCTTCCGCCGCCGCCTCCCCGCTAGTTAAAGGGAGCCGCAGTTGCCGAGGCTCCTACCGTTTACAGCTTAGCGTGATACCAAATTAGCAAGCTTAGTAATAGAATCGGTGCCACAGGACGAAAGTCGGCGAGCATGTGAAAAGGATGTCGAGAAAGCGGCATCGCATGCGACAGTCGATGCTGAGAGATAGCTAAGCTACGAGACTGTGGATAATGCCCTTGGAGGAATCTACGGGAGTGAGCAGCCGTACTCGCACCAACACCAGTCCCTTTAGCTTGACCGGAGAACACAGAGAGAGAGAAAACCGCCAGCGTGGGGAAGAGGCAACAACCATGGGAAAGCTCAAAAAGACATGTGAAGACACCTATGTCACCATCGCAGAAAAAGCTGGTAAGTTAGCCATGTGGGCTGTGACCATGAGACCAATTACGGCCGCCGCCAGCGAGCGTTTGAGCCTAGGCAGTTTAACCAGCTCCCACTCCCTCAGCTCTGTCACACAATATACTCGCAGAAGGGCCACCCTGGTCTGCATCCGCTACTTATTTCTCCTTCACAAGCTCTTTTTTTTTTTCTCGGGGCCCCGGATTTTCACTCCTTCACCCTCCCTATCCCTACTTTTATCCCACCGTCCGTAGTACAAAATTTGCCTCATCCGCTCTTCTCTTTTGTACTTCTCATCTCATTCCCGATTTGCATTACTAAATATATATTTATATATACCTTGTACGAATATAGACGCATACTTGTTATAGATTTCGACCATGGCGGCAAAGTTCTCCAAGGACGCTGTTGCGTCGCACAACAACGCTGGCGACCTTTGGGTTATCATTGATGAGGATGTTTTTGATTTGACCAAGTTTCAGGATGATCACCCAGGTAAGCATGCCATTCCGATCAGAGATTTCGCGGCCTCCAGACACAACTTCGAGATGCTGACAACACCTAGGTGGGAAGAAGAGTACGTTGCATGACTTGGCCAGACGATCTCGAGTGTCTGAACTGATCGAATTACCTTAGTCCTACAACGAGTTGCGGGCAAAGATGCCTCGAAGCAATTTTGGAAATACCACAATCCCGCCGTGTTGAAGAAATACCGGAAGCAGCTCCAGGTCGGATCGTTAGATACTAAGAAGGAGGCTGCTCCTCCTGCTCCTGCTCCTGCTCCCCAGACTCCACCAGCTACTCCCCCCGCCGAGAAGAAAGAGGCTACCACATCTATCGCGACTCCGGCTCCCAGCGCTCCCTTGGAGCCTTATGGCGACTTGATCCCATTCGCCGACCCGGCTTGGTATCACGGTGTATGGATTCACTCATCATTCTGCTACATGTTGTAATTGTACCTTTCTCGGCTGACAGTGAACTTCCATCCAGTACTATTCCCCTTACTACAACGAGACCCATGCTGCCCTCCGTGATGAAGTCCGCCAGTGGGTCGAGACCGAGATCGAGCCCCATGTTTTCGAGTGGGATGAAGCCAAGAAAGTCCCCGACTATATTTACAAGCAGATGGGAGAAAGAGGATACCTTGCTGGTTTGCTTGGTGTCGGATACGACCCTTCACTCTCAAAGAATACCGTCAAGAGCGTTCCTCCCGAGAAATGGGATCTGTTCCACGAGGTGATCGTGACCGACGAACTTTCCCGCTGTGCCAGCGGAGGCGTTGTCTGGAATCTCATTGGTGGCTTCGGTATCGGCTGCCCGCCTCTTCTCAAGTTTGGAAACAAGGAAGTCGTGAAGAGAGTTGTGCCCGGCATCCTCTCTGGAGACAAACGTATCTGCCTTGCCATCACTGAGCCCGACGCTGGAAGTGACGTGTCGAACTTGACCTGCGAGGCCAAACTGACCCCTGACGGGAAGCACTACATCGTCAACGGTGAGAAGAAATGGATCACAAACGGTGTGTGGGCAGATTATTTCACCGTGGCCGTTCGCACCGGTGGCCCTGGCATGAACGGCGTCAGCGTCTTGCTTATCGAGCGGGAGTTCGAAGGTGTGAGCACGCGTAGAATGGATTGCCAGGGAGTTTGGAGCAGTGGCACTACATACATCACATTTGAGGATGTCAAGGTTCCAGTCGAGAACTTGATCGGCAAGGAGAACAGGGGCTTCAAGGGTAAGCCATCTACTTTTATCCATAATCGATTCATCGCTTCTAATACCTTATAGTTATCATGACCAACTTTAACCACGAGCGTATCGGAATTGTCATCCAATCTCTGCGCTTCGCTCGCGTCTGCTACGAGGAATCCGTGAAATACGCCCACAAGCGCCGCACCTTTGGCAAGCGCTTGATCGACCACCCCGTTATCCGTATGAAACTCGCCCACATGGCCCGCCAGATCGAAGCGTCGCACAACTGGCTCGAGAACATCATCTACCAATGCCAGAATTACGAGGACATGGAAGCGTCCCTTCGCCTCGGTGGTGCCATTGCCGGCCTCAAGGCTCAGTCTACCACGACCTTTGAATTCTGCGCGCGCGAGGCCAGTCAGATCTTTGGTGGACTCAGTTACAGCCGCGGCGGACAAGGTGGTAAAATTGAGCGCCTGTATCGTGACGTTAGGGCGTACGCCATTCCCGGAGGCAGCGAAGAAATTATGTTGGATCTCAGCATGAGACAGAGCTTGAGAGTCCACAAAGCTTTCGGCATGAGCTTGTGATAAAGGAAAAAAAAAAAAAAAAGAAAAAAGAAAAAAGAAAAAAGCAAAAGGCAAAAAGGAAAAAGGCAAAAAAAGGCCTTAAACGCCACATATGCGCATAGTCTTCTAGGGTGACTAGAAGTCCTACTCCGTATAATAAACAGAATTACTCCATAATATTTCTTTCTTTCTTGACTTTGCCTATTATGCATGCATCATACCATGTTATCAAGGATGGGAACTGGCATGGGGGAAGATACCTGGTTTGGACATGTGTAGATAGTATATACAGAGAGTAGCTGTGTCGTCAAACAATCTGTTCCATCTCCCTTATCACACCTCTTCTTAAGCAGGCCTTTAATGCGACCCGTGCAACAAACCATCTCTCTCGCCCCTTAGCCCCTTCACGCGGTAACCGGCGGTTTGTTTAGTGGATCACGTGCTATACAGATTACTCAGCAATTAGTAGAGGATGCCACAGGGACCAATAGCGCAGTCGGCTCCATCCGACCTCAAAGCTGACTCTCTTCTGCTAAGTGGATGATAAGACCGCTCGTCCTTTTGTAACATCGATCCTCTTCTAGGATTGCCTCATACAATACCCTCTACAAAGCGGTTTTCACTTGGTTTCCTTTCCTTTTTCTGATTTTTCTTTCCCCCCGAGTCCCGCTAAAACTCCCAGCTCGACTCTCGACAGCCGATGCGACTACGATAAAGTGAGCTTTCCCTGCTACACCACAGCTCCCATCACGATCTCCCAAATCTGTCAAATTTTCAACCCACGTGCAACCAGCCACAATTCTCCGATCTGAATCTGTGCCCTTTTGGGCTATTTGAAATCGGTGGCGATAGCCCTTCGACGTTGGTTAATAACCAAGTGCCCCCCCCCGATTTACCTCCGCGCAACTTAGCGACAACCGGATTTTCAAATAGAACGAAAGCCAGAATGTCCCACCATCCGGCCTCATTTATTGACCATGATTTCGGTTCTGAAGAAGAAGACGATGACTTCAACCCGGCACCGGTAGAGGAGTCCGATGCTGAGGATAAGGAGGTGACAGGAGAGAAGCGCCGCAGCGCTGATAGAGATGTTGAAGATGCCGATGGAGAGGGCGTTGAAAATGCTGGCGGTCTTGTAGAGAAGCACGAAGATGAGGACAAGGATGGCGAGGATGAAGAGCACGTAGGCGATGAAGATGCCGTTGGGAAGAGAGACGGGAATGGTGAAGATGAAGAAGACGAGGATGAGGACGAGGAGGAGGAAGAAGAAGAAGAAGAAGAGGAAGAGATCACTGTGAGATATCCCTCCATTCTACTAGGTATATCTGACGAGCCTCTAACCACTATTCGCCGTTAGGGTCGACCACGAAAACGTAGACGAGGCGGACTGAATAATTTCTTCGAGGAAGAAGCAGAAGTTGAGGAGGAAGAAGAAGATGTCGAGGATGAAGAAGAAGAGATGGAAGCCGAATTCGTTCATCCTGATGACGATGCAATCCTGCCCGCTGGCGCCGAGACCGATGATCGAAGACATCGTGAGCTCGATAGAAAACGAGATCTTGAGGCATCCATGGATGCAGAAAAACAGGCTCAAGCCTTGAAAGAGCGATATGGACGAAACCGTGCCGCCGCCTCTGACTTGGTAGTTGTTCCCAAGAGATTATTGCTGCCAAGCGTCGACGATCCGAGTATCTGGGCTGTCAAGTGCCGGCCTGGAAAGGAGCGGGAGATAGTCTTTAATATAATGAAGAGAATAGAGGAGCGTCATTCTGCTTCAAGGAACCCCATTCGGATTACATCTGCGTTTGAGCGAGGCGGAACTATGAGCGGCTACGTTTACGTTGAAGCTCGCAAGCAGGCGGATGTCATGGACGCTTTGGACAATTTATCGAACGTGTTCATTAGATCCAAATTGACTTTAATCTCTGTCAAGGAAATGCCTGATCTTTTGAGGGTCCAGAAATCGGAAGAATTGCAGCCCGGAGGTTGGGTCCGCATAAAGCGAGGAAAATATCAAGGCGATTTGGCGCAAATCGAAGAGGTCGAAACTAATGGGCTCGAAGTTACCGTCAGGCTTGTACCTCGTCTCGATTACGGTTTAAATGATGATGTCCAGATTCCAAACGGCGATACAAAGCGGAAGCGACCTGGCGGCAAAAGTGCTGTCGCCCGCCCACCACAGCGCCTGTTCAGCGAAGCAGAAGCGAAGAAGCGACATGGCAGATACTTATCTGCTGCCGCTGGGCTCGGAGGTAAATCATGGACTTATCTTGGCGATACCTATATCGACGGGTTCCTCATCAAAGACATGAAAATCCAACATCTTATTACCAAGAATGTTAATCCCCAGCTTGATGAAGTTACCAAATTTGCACGCGGTGCTGATGATGGTACTGTCAACCTGGACCTTGCTTCGCTGGCAGCTAGTCTCAAAGACACTACGGGTGAAGACTCCTATGTGCCGGGAGACACGGTAGAAGTCTTTAGCGGGGAACAGAAAGGTGTTGTTGGCAGGGTTATTGCCGGTCGCGCAGACATTGTTTCCATCAAGGTCGTCGAAGGTGAACTGGAGGGTCAGAGGCTTGAGGTTCCTGTTAAAGGTTTAAGAAAACGATTCCGAGAAGGCGACCATGTCAAAGTTATCGGTGGCAGCAAATACCGTGACGAACTCGGAATGGTTGTCCGCATTAAGGATGACCGGGTTACTTTGCTCACTGATATGAGCATGCAAGAGATCACAGTTTTCAGCAAAGATTTGAGGGAAGCGGAAGATGTTGGCGTCGATGGAAAACTAGGCCAGTACGACGTTCATGATCTTGTACAACTTGAGTAAGTCTCTCATGCTATGTCTTAGGACTTAAGCTAACGTTTTAATAGCCAAACCACCGTTGGTTGTATTATCAAACTCGATCGGGAGTCGATGAAGGTGATCGACCAGCACGGATCAGTTAGGAACCTTCTCCCATCTCGAGTTTTGGGAAAGATCGAGCATCGTCGAAATGCAGTGACTACTGATAGAAATGGTGCTGAAATCAAATATGGAGATACTGTCCGCGAGGTTGCAGGCGAGCAAAGACTAGGTGTGATTCTTCATGTCCACCGAGCTTTCCTCTTCTTGCAGAGTAAGGTGGTCGGTGATAATGCCGGTATTATCGTTTCTAGAGCGTCTAACGTTGTGACTGTTGCTACAAGCGGAGGAAGTCTGGCGCCCCGAGGCCCTGACTTGTCGAAAATGAATCCCGCGCTGCAGAGGAACGGTATGAATGGTAGTGGTATGCCGCCGCCTCGAACTGTCGGAAGAGACCGGACGGTTGGCAAGACGGTCACTATCCGAAAAGGTCCATACAAAGGACTTCTTGGTATCGTTAAGGATACTACGGATGATATTGCGAGAGTTGAGTTGCATTCGGTCTCGAAAGTTGTTCCTGTCGAGAAGGAAAACCTCACAATCAAAGAGTATGGCTTTGATATCGGTTCATTTTCTTGGATCGTTCTTACTAACGGCCTATTTTAGCCCGATAACCGGTCAGCCAATTGATCTTCGCCAATTTGGGCGAGGAGCCGGTCGTGGTGGCCCTCGAACCCCTCAAGGCACGTCTGCCGCCCCTCCGAGGGCACAGAGTGCTTGGCAGGGCGGCAGAACCCCTATCGCGGCGAACGATTCTTCTCGAACTCCTGCCTGGCGTGCTTCATCATCACGAAGTAAGTATTATCTTGGTGCTATGCTGATGGATTCAGTGTCTAATAATTCTACAGCTCCTGCATGGAATGCAGCCGCAAGCGGTGCTCGCACCCCAGCATGGAAGACAGACGGCTCCCGAACAGTGAACGCCTATGATGCTGGATACAAGTCAACTCTTGGAAGTCGGACACCTGCTTGGGCTGCCGGCAGCAAAACTCCTCATCATGCGTCGTCTGGATTCGGTGGATCGTCTTCAAGTTCGGGTTTCGATGCCTTCCTTGCCGGGGCGCGTACTCCTGCACACACAGGCGCTCTTGGCGGTTCTCGCACACCCGCTTGGGGCCATAGTTCCGGTTCTAGTGGCAAGGCCTTTGATGCTCCCACTCCGGGTGGTGACTACGCAGCCCCTTCTCCTGCTGCCTTCGGGACCGCGCCAACACCCGGTGCAACTGGGCCCACGCCTCGTCCATGGAATGACGCCGCCCCAACCCCCGGAGCAACAAGCGCGCCCACACCGGGTGCTTCAGGGTACCCTAGCACTTCTACTTCTGCGGGTGGGATGGGTTTGCCTGCTACACCTGGTGCACTTGATGACGGAGGACCACGATACGAAGAAGGGACACCCAGTCCGTGATTCGGCATTTCTCTTCCTTCGTCAGTAGCGGCTCTTGTCCGCAAGCCTTCCATCGCTTTCACGAGGACATTATGGCTAGATTAGAAATGAAGAATATTTTCCCTTCAGATTTCCTTCCTATCTCAAAAATATCGCGGGCGCCTTTTCCTCTCCATATTTTTATCCTTTTTTTATTCCTTCAACTTCGGCGCGTGGACGTTGCATTCGTTTCTTTATAACAATTTGTTTCCCCGAGGTTGGGTAACGGCAAAGGACACGGAAATCAGGAAAATTAGCCATTTTCTCTTCAATTAGATATTACTGTACACTGTTTTTTTGTTTGCAATTTGTATTTTTAGCAATGATTAGCCAATAGCTACTATGTCTACGAACTGAAGCTTCAGCTCTGAGCGGGCATATTAGTAGGAACGCTGCCAAGTGACGGCCAAGCAATACGACATGTTTGCACTGTTTGCTTGGAAGCTCCCCGCCAAAAGACAGGAAGGTGGGATGTCGCGATCTTCGACGAAGCGATGGCAGAACAGAGCGCTCAATATTCAAGATTCTCTCGTTTGATTATCGTATTACTTTCAGCCTACGCCTAGAAAAGGGCTAATAATCGTCCCTGTCTTATTATTTTCGATTCTTCTTCTAGAGGTAGCGAAAACTCGAAATTAAGTACGACGACGGAAGAATGTCTTCCTCTGACCCCTTGGAATCCGAACCCTCTGTCGCGGAGCGCGAACGTCAGGATCGAGAGCACAGAGAAAAGGAAGCTGCAGAACAAGCCAAGCTACCCTATAAATGGACGCAGACCGTTGGCGATGCAGACGTGACCATTGTAGTCCCGGCAGAGGTCAGAGGGCGTGATCTAGATGTTGTCCTGACAAAAACAAAGATCAGGGTTGGACTGAAGGGAAAGGAGCCCATCATTGATGTGCGTTAAGGCCCATTCTGCAGCTATGTTTTTGAAGAATTGGCGCTGATTTTTCCCTCTTATATATCAACAGGGTGACTTTCCTCACCCAATTCATGTTGACGAATCCACCTGGACGCTTGAGCCCACTTCAAACCCTCCCGGAAAGGAGGTATCCATTCATCTCGACAAAGTCAATAAAATGGAATGGTGGTCACACATCATCACCTCCGCTCCCAAGATAGATGTCACCAAAATCCAACCAGAAAATTCCAAACTGAGCGATCTAGATGGTGAGACCAGGAGCATGGTTGAGAAAATGATGTACGACCAGAGACAGAAGGAGATGGGAAAGCCAACTAGCGATGAAGAAAAGAAGATGGAAATGCTAAGAAAGTTCCAGGAACAGCATCCAGGTATGTCTTTTGGCTGTGACGCTGCTGTTACTGCCATGTGCTCTTCTGCTAACCGCCCTGATAGAAATGGATTTCTCGAATGCGAAAATTGGATGAATCAAAATTAAGTCTCTGGATTCAAAAGGATGATATCAGTATGTAAGCGACTATTTGAAATGGATCTCTTGTGGTTAAGCATAGCGGGTGAAAATCTATTGTTTTATGTATTCTCATCGTATGTGATTTCGTCGAGGCGCGTTGCGCGAACCTATAAATTCGAAACTCGCTATCGTACATTCTATCATGCAGGATCTTTATCTATTATGAGGAATATGTCAAGGAAATACTCCTAAAACCGAGCAATATCACAATAAGTGTGCCCGGCCCACAAAGCCATTCCAAATTCGTGTTTTGCTTCACACAGCGAAGAGACGTGTGGTCTATATCTTTCGTCGTAGTTGCAAATGGTAGGTCTCCAGGGCTTCCTCGGTCATCTCGCTTGGCGTTCTCACCATGACATCCTCGCCTTTGCCAGATTTAGGGAAAGCGATAACATCACGGACGCTTTCCTTGCCCAACATAACGGCGATCAGCCTGTCGAATCCTAATGCTATCCCGGCATGTGGAGGACATCCCGCCCTCAGTGCGTCCAAGAGATGGGAAAAGTCAGCCAGTCGAGATTCCGGCATTTTGAGGATGTCACGGAGAATGAACTCTTGGACTTCGGCAGAGTGTATACGTCGACTGCCGCCCCCTAACTCAACGCCGTTGACGACAATGTCATAATGGTCTGCGGTTGCTTTGGTGGGATCGGTAAGGAGGAGAGAGACGTCTTCTGGGGTGAGAGGAGCAGTGAAAGGATGATGGGTTGATGCGATTCCAGCGGTGCCGCCTTGACCCGGTTCAGAATCGGAACTGGGAGAAAACAGGGGGAAATGTGTCACCCAGAGGAAATGGAAGCCGGTTGGTGCAGCTTTAAAACCGGTTTCAACAGCAGCTTTGTGGATAGCTCTGCGTAGATCCCCGAGGGGTGTCGACCCACCTGAGAAGGGAGCATTTTGGCGGGCTTGGAGAATAAGCAAATCACCGTCATTTAGGTCCAAATCGTTCTCGAGTGCCCACGTTGCTTCAAACCCAAAGGCCTGAAGCCCGGATAAAGGTTTTGAGGAATCAAAAACAAAAACTCCCGGCCCGCCCTCAGGGTTGTTGATAAACTCGCTCGCTTCTGGTGAGTCCAGAAACGACGTGACGAACTGCCTGGTTTCGATGGGATCGCCGTTCCCTTTCAGCTTGGTAATTTCCACAATGGGCGCGCTCAAATCTGTGATCTTGTTAACGAGGTCCACAGGTATCATATAGTCAACACGACGAATTTCCATCCCGATTCTTAGGTCCGGTTTATCGGAACCATACTTGGACATAGCTTCGTTGTAGGTCATCCTAGGAAAGGGACTAGCATCGAGTTGTTCCGGCATGAGTGTTGACCACAGTTTTCGGATCACCTGTTCAATAGTACTCATCACATCTTCACCTCTCGCGAACGACATTTCCATATCAAGCTAAGTGATGGTGTAAGTATATAATTAATCATCCAGCAGTGGCCTGCAGATCTTACCTGCGTAAACTCGGGCTGTCTATCTGCTCGCAGGTCTTCGTCCCTGAAGCAGTGGGCAAATTGATAATATCTCGGAACGCCACTACTCATGAGGATTTGTTTATACTGCTGTGGACTCTGAGGGAGTGCATATGCTAGGCCAGGGCGTCGAGTCGGAACAAGAAACTCTCTCGCACCTTCAGGGGTGGACTTAAAGAGCAATGGTGTCTCTACCTCCATAAACGGAGGATCGCACTGTTCCAAGACCTCTCGAAGAACTTTGTTCGCCCGTGCTCGAAAGGCCAAGGCTTGCCTGAGGTCCTTGTCATTCCTTATCTGCAGATACCGTTTCTCAGCGGGAAATACGGTTTCCGATGTCATTATGATATCCTTGGGAAAGTCGTTGAGACATTGGACATCCTCCAAAGCAATTTCCACGCTGTTTATATTCCCTTCAGTGTCCACCGTTGGTTCTTGTGTGTGTCCTTTGGAATTTGCAATTTTCGACTGCAGTATTCCCCGAACTACAACTGGGCTATTCGCTTCTATGGACCTTAACTTATCGAACGCTTCGCTCTTTGAAAAAGAAATGACCTGCACCGTCTGCGTCAAGGGCGGATTTGACAGTCGGACAAATGACATTTTCTTTCCTATATCAGTTCTCCTTCCTAGGTAACCATGTAGGGTGACACGTTTTCCAAGCCCCTGAGTGTCGAGAAGGGCCGGGAAATTTGAATTCGAAGAAGGAAAAGAAACTGGAGTTACACCAACACTCATTAGCTGTATAAAACTTAGGTGCCTCAAATCACACATCCGAGTCCCTTACTTGTTTTCTTATATTCCTCAAGGAATGGATGCGACGACTGGAGAGAAGCATCCTTGGTTCCCAGCGAGTTCGCAGAACAAAACTGTCTTTTGCCGTGGAATTGACATTGTAAACGCGGACGCGGAATCACGTAGACACCCCGGAGATAATTTGATATCTCGATATAGCTTTGTCTGCGAGCAATCGCTCCCCGTACGATCATGTCCCTGAGCATAGCGAGAGCTGGCGGAGAGAAATGGCCAGACAGATGACTTTCACAGGGGCAATTGGGACAATATGCAAGGCATCTTCCCTTGAAACCAGAGTTTAGGTATGTGTTTTTTTGCGCGACTCGTTCGAGCCCCGATCAGTGTCCGATGGTCTCAACTCGGCTGATTGCCGGAGCTTTGTTTCTCCGCCACACCGAAATACTTCTAATTTTGAGGTTCTCTTTTTTCAGCTCTTGACTCTCTTCTCTTCTTTTCTTTCTTCATCCTTCCAAGTTTTGAACATGTGAGTATTTTATTTTTCCCCTTTACAGAGTCCTTTGGCGTGCTATGGAATCATCAGCTAATCGATAATTTTCTGTGTTGCAGATGATGAAAGCCTGGCGTGTTCGCTTTGATTCTACTTGCTCCTCTCCGACATGGAAGCTCTCCCTTTCAGGGCCTAAGTGGCTTCCATGAAGGAGCTTGGAGGAAGGATGAAAAAGGCGTTCGGCACATCCACCTTGTTATTTTACGGACGCGATGATGGCATCTCTGATCCTCAATCCTTGGAAGGTGTCCGTGTATGTACAAACATATAGTGCATACATACATGCCTCCGATGACGAGAACAAAGCTTTGGTCCTATCAGTTGTTTCTTTTGTTCTGTTATTTTGGCTGGCGAAGATTTTTCATTTTAGTTTTTAAATGAGACCGGTGTGCAATACAGTCCTTGACTCTTGTTGATTTTCACTTTAACAGCAATATTTGTTCGTTCGGGCCGCAAACACCCGTAAACCATTGTGTATTCGCGCTCCTTGGCTTCCATGCAGTCCTTCTGCTTTCCCATCGTTGCTCCGTTGATGGATCAGATCACACTACGATTGATGTAAATGCGATTCCGCGACGCCCTTCGAAGCAGCATTACCCATCAAGGCGTGGCGCCGTCAGGGTACAAGCTACTTCCTCGTATTTATGACAAATCTCATCCTTTATCCCAAAGTTTCATTGTGGCAAGCGAAGACCAGCGAGCTGGCCCCTCCTGATCGCCCACCGCTGCCTAGTTGTATTCCCCGCGGCTCCACCAGACTCAAATCTACATGACTCCGAGCAGTTGATACACATTCTGATCCTTAACTATATAACCATCGAGACCATTCTGTTTCAACAATTTCTAAGAATATTTACTCGCACAATAAAGTTTCATTCTTTCGACCCCCGATTGTTCGCAATATGTCATCCGCAGATGCCAGAGCTTTGCAGCTCCGACAGCTTCATACCCCCGGCAAACCCATCGTTTTTGCCAATGTCTACGATCCTGCGACAGCTAAAATTGTTGCATCCAACCCCTCCTCGGCAGCACTTGCTACTGCTAGCTTTGCAGTGGCTGCTGTCCACGGCCTAGATGACGATGATATGGACCTAGAGACCAACGTAGCCGCGGTGAAGCCCATTGCAACAGTAGCAATCAAGCACGGCAAGCCTCTGACCGTTGACTTACAAGACGGATACGGCGACCGACTCGAAGAAGCCATCGAACAGATCATCATCGCCGGTGCTTCTGGCTGCAATTTGGAAGATAGAGATAACACGACAGGCAAGCTCTTCCCGTTGGATGTGGCAGTCGACCGAGTGCGCCGGACGTTGGCAGCCGCCGCGAAAGCCGGAGTGCCCAACTTCGTTCTCAATGCTCGAACGGATGCTGTTATGGCCAACAATGACATTGAAGATGCCATTGTTCGCGGAAAGGCCTTTCTTGAGGCCGGCGCAACCACAGCCTTTGTTTGGGGCGGTCCTCGGCGCGGTTTGACTCGAGATGAAGTTGTTAGATTATCGAGCGCTTTCGGCGGCAGGCTGAATGTTATTGCTGCTGAGAACGGACTGACGATTCAAGAATTAGCGGACATTGGAGTAGCAAGGATAAGCGTTGGCCCTCGTTTGTGGAGAAAAGCAACAGCAGCATTTACAGAATCAGCAAATGAGCTTTTATGCCAGTACCAGGCCATGAAGTCGCATGCGGAGTAAACCTAGAAATTTATCTGCATCCCACAAATACCTTGGACTTGCATGCATCGATTTATTTAAGAACAGCAATAAAACAGGTCCTTGATCCGTATCTATCTTCTTTTAGCCCTCTATCCTATGGTCAACTAAATACATCTTGAACGGATTAATATGCCTTTCAATCTTCTCGATAGACCTGGTGTAGCACTTTTGGGGAACATTTATTTTCATCTGAAACTAAAGACCAAGAGGTTATACTGCAAGTAGTTTTCAATCTATAGGACTTTGGAAAAGTGAGTTGCTCTGTTATTATTCTTGCTCGCCAAGGATTACCTTCTCCAGAGCTTCCCTTTCTCCGCTTTCTTCAACCAAGGATCTGAACACACCTCCCTGGATCTCCATCAGCTCTCTCGGTGGTCCAAACTCCACTGCCTTGCCAGCATCCATCACCAGAATCTTATCGAAGTCAGCAATTGTGCTTAATCGATGTGCGATAACCAGCAATGTAGTCGAATTGCGTCCAAACTCAGTGCGGATAGAGCGCTGAATAAGCGCGTCTGTTGCCATGTCCACGGCAGACGTCGCCTCATCGAGCACCATGATTTTAGGCTTTGAGACGATAGCGCGGGCAAGGCAGAGAAGCTGTCGCTGGCCCTGCGAAAGGTTAAGTCCGCCTTCGGAGATGGTGGAATTAAGGTTGGTAAAGATGTTGACGTTGTTGTTAGGGGCCTGGGTGGATGTAGCCGCCGTTGTGTTGGTCGTATCTATAGTATGGGCGGCTGTGCTACCATTGTTGCTTGACAACGTCGGGGTTGTGCATCCTGACGTTCCTGAGGCTTGAAGAGCCGAGTGAGTAGACGAGTGAGGCCCAGTGCTTTCCTCGAGCACATCGGAGATGAGGTGTACTCGCTCGAGTGCGTCGCGCAACTCTGCATCAGAATATTCCTCAAATGGATCTAGATTCGATTTAATCGACCCAGAAAAGAGGACGGGATCTTGAGGGATAATGGCCATCCTGCTTCGTAAATCGTGGAGCTTAATTTTGGAGACATCTATGCCATCAATGACAATGGAACCCTCCCATGCTTCCAAAAAGCGAAATAATGCCAATGTCAAAGACGATTTGCCGGCCCCCGTACGACCCACGACGCCCACTCTTTGATTTTTTGCTACTGTGAAAGATAGGCCCCGTAAAACCGGAGGCAAATCGGGGGCATACCCAACAACCAAGTCAGTGACTTCGAGACGGCCTTCTGTTGGCCACGCCGCTGGCACTTCTGCTCCTTCTTGGTTTTCAATATCGATCGCGGAATACTCAAGGACTCGTTCCGTCGCATTCATGTCTAATTCGACATTTGTATACTGACGTAAAGCCCACATGATCGACGCGGTGTACTGCAGGGCGAAACTGAGAGCAAACCCAGCCAAAGGTGCATCTATATTTCGAAGTGAAACAACAAGGCCCGCAGTTAACGTCGAGAACAGCGCCCCCACAACATTCATACGGAAGCTCAACCACCTGTTAAATAGCCATAGATTCCAATACGCCTGTGCGTGATGATCAATCTTCCGATACATTCGCTCAACGTAGGTTTGGGCTTTCCCGAACGCACGTATAGTTGTTAGGCCAATTAAAGCAGACCCAAATTGTTCAAAAATAGGACTTTTCGCGTTGCTCTCCAACCTCTTGATTTCTCGGGCTCCGGAAAGAAAGCACTGTGCGAAATACATGCAAATCGCCAAAAGAAGAATCGCGAAAACTATCAGCAGTGGCGAGACGAGAAAACCAGCCACAGCGATACCGATGACATTGAGGACGTTATACAGCATAAATCCTAGCTCGTACGGCAGCTTCGAGTCAACCAGATTGAAATCTGCCGTAAAACGGTTGAGAATTCGGCCAACCGGAACAGTGTCTAGCCACCGAAGCGGTGCCCTCAATACCGTATATGTGAGTTTCTTGAATAAGTTCCGCGACGATCGGATGGCTGCCCTGAGAAGAAACAGGTATCTGAGAGTACCCACTAAACATGACATAGCCGACAAGCCAAAGTAAATTCCCAAATAGAACCACAGGCCGTGATCGGAGTTTGACTGGGTCGATTTGGCCATGACATGGGATATCATCACGAGGTTTTCGCCTGAAGCAGAACTTCCGGAAGATCGAGTCCAGATGCTGACCCACCAAGACTATAAGAGATATTAGTTAGTTGAACAACGGGTTGGCTAAGCGTGGGGACTAAATCGACTGTCAACTTACGCGACTAACGGCCAAACCGGCATATGCACAAAATGTAAAGAAAACAAAGGACCAATAGAGGAGACCTCCGCCGTTCTGGAAATATTGGATGTAGTGGATAAGTTTGATAGCACCGGTTTCACGCTTTTCTTCCTGCTGAAACTTTTTCGGGGCCTGAGGTTTAAGGGATTCGTTGCCATGTCCTTCCACGGTGGTTCTCTGCGACCTGTGTGGTATGATTTTCTGCAGAGCATTTGACTCTTCCGCCTCATCCTCGACTGTCTCTTCAGATTCATCTCTGCCTTCAAGGTTTTCACCTTGAGGGTGTGTCAGAATGTCTGCGAGGCTCCCAGTTCTTCTTAACTCCACCACAGATCCTGCATGCTGAACGATTCCACGTTCGAGATGGACCGAATAATCAGCCTGAGGCAGACACAAGCCGACGTGGTGAGTGACTAGGATTCGGGTTCGTCCGTGGCATAGCTCCCCAGTTAGAGCATGGACGTGGAGGTGGCGGCCAGTATGTGCGTCCAAAGCGCTAAAGAGATCATCCATAACCAGAATACCGGCTCGCGAATAGAGAGCTCTCGCAAAGGAGACACGCCATTTTTGCCCACCGCTGAGATTGATTCCGTTCGCACCAATATCTGTTAGTTCTCCATCTGGTAGCATTTCAAAGTCCTTTTCGAGTGCGCAAGCAAACAACACTTTCTCGTATCGTTCAGCGTCAAGAGGTAGCCCAAATAAGATATTATCTTTTATAGAGGCATTCTCTATCCAAGGTACCTGAGAAACATATGCAATCGCCGAGTCGATGATCCAATTTGCTTTCGTAGCGTGGTCATCGAATCTGTCTTCCAATGGGGGAGCCACTGGAACGTGAACTTCTCCATCAATTATATCTGCTTCACCAATAATCGCTGCAAGAAGCAGACTCTTGCCAGACCCAGTTTTACCGGAAATGACACTCAATCCTTTTGGCGGGAACGCTAAATCAACTTCCTTGAGTGCGAATCGCTCATCGTTTTCGTCAACCTCCTCAGTAGGCCAAGCCACTGTTGCTCTCTTAAACGTAATATTATCCGCGGGAATAGTGGTCTGAGTACGGTCGGCGGATGCCAGGTGTTTCTCGACACGCTTTGCACTGACGAACGCCTCAATAAAGTCCGCAATCAATTCAGGTAAAATTGCAAGAGAGAATTCAAGTGATGAAAATATTGCCATCGTGGTAAAGGCGACGGACGCAGAAAGTTCTCCATAAATAAGGGCATATGTGCCTAGGGAGACGACAGATAACATAATTGGCCCAAGGATCCAAATAGATATGAGGCAGACATCATAAATAAATGCCATCCATTGCGCATGGAGCTCTGTATTCCTAATCGCAAAAATTTTCTGTTCCCATTGGCCCTCCAGAGCAGAGAACTTAATTTGTCTGATCCCCTGTAAAGCTTCTGTAATAACCGCCATTTTCTGGTCTCGAAACTTCATGAGAGACGTCTGTGCCGCAGAATACCTGCTTGCAGTCATGATGTTGAGAGGTGTAATAATAAGAGCAACCAAGAGCCCGGCGCAAAGACTCTTCCATCCAATAAGGCGAATTAAGAAGGCAAAGGCGACCGCGAGCTTGACAATGGTTTCAATGATAATGCAATTAAAGGAAGCAAAATCAGAAATTCTTTTAGCGTCAACGGCGATAAGATTGATCGTAGCCTGGCGGGTCTTTCGAGTGTCTTCATCATCATCTTCTTCGTCATTTCTAGTATCAACTTTGACTCCTAAGTTCTCTTCACTCGATTTTTGGGATCCTTTAACATCTTTTCGACGAAGAGATTTGGCGAAGACGACGGCAGACAGTTGTTCGTAAACAGGAATAGCCAATTTATAGTAGGCAACCCAAAATAACCAAGACTCAACCGTACTGTAGAAGATAATTGACCCTCCCAAGGCAAAGACCCAAAGCCAGAGGATTACCGGATTCCATGAATCCGAAGATCGAGCCTCCAGGGAACGCAGGATCCCCAGAAGCGCGACCTGAGGAGCGAAACTGACCACTGAGACGAACGACGAGAAGATAAACTGCAGGACGAAGGTAGCAAAGTATTCGTTTGCCAATACTTTCCACAGGCTCTGTCCTTTTCTTCTTCTATTTTCGAAAGATTCGAGCAAAGTCTGCGAGCGGGTGGCGTAATCCAATTCAGGGAGATCATCAATACTCAAACCCTGATTGTATTTGGCGTAGCGCAATAAGGAACCCGCCCAATCAAATGAGATTCTCCCGAGAAATGAAGTTGTGAACTGGCGGTCGACGGCTTTATCATTCCTGAAAACGTCCGGACGACGGGGCAGGAGAACAGACACACAACAGATTAGAAAAGCGGCTATGAGCTCGGCCTGGACAAGAATATCTGAAGCGGAGTTGAGGGACGGAGATTGCAGCCAGGCACCGATGATTGCTACTTGGGCGCAAGACACCACGATAAATATGGCACAAGCCGTGGCATTGTAGAGACCTAGAGAGAATCTTTTTTGAGGGGAGGGTTCTGCAAACAGGGACACCGCCTGAACTACGAGTAAAGCCTGTAAATCTGGTAAGCATGTACACACACATATATAAATGTGGTTGCATGATAACGAAGGGGGGAATTCAAACGTACCCAAGTCGCAAACTGGAACCATTGTTCGGTCGGCCCTGGATAATATCCGTTTTGGTGACCAGCAGTTGTAAGGACAGCCAGCGCAAGTGACACCAGTAATCCGCTGAGCGATAAGATCGCAATTGAAGCACGTCTAGTCGAATCCGAAAAAGCCTTGGTCGATTCTTCAGTCGCCCGTCCGTCACGGTCATGGTACAAGTCTTGCAGGAACAGAGAGACATTGTTTCTCTTCTGTAGTCGCCATCGATCCACAATGGATTTCAGGGCCGGAATAGTAGCGACAACGATAGACGCGATGCCAGCGATGCCAGCCACCAACGACGGCCTCTGTGAAGTCTCCATGATGTGTTCAGATTTTCTTGCTCTTGCAGCTTATAGGCAAGCTGTTCCTTGACATTGCCTTGGGGGTTATGCGCTCGCTGGATGTGAAATCTAGATATTGGGGGAATTGTGATGTCCCCCAAAAATACACACTTCCTTTGCGCGAAGCCACTAGGCTACCAGCACGCAATCGTTGACAGGTCAAACCCCTGAGACACAAACCGAAAAAAAAAAAAAAAAAAAAAAAGAGGATTAAAATTAGCCTGAGAGAAATGGAGAGCCAACAAGAAGAGAGTGCCAGATTTCACTGGAGTTCAGCTTTCCTCTGCAGCTCTCCACCGTTCCCGCCACCGATCATCGCAAGGAGCAGATCCATATTTTCTTTTGTCCGGAGTCCAAATGAAGGAAAGCACTTAAGATCCGGGCTACGTTGGCGGCATAGCTCCAAAGTCAATTTCCACCCTCCGCGCAAATTCCAACGAGACAGCAGGGTAGCATCGGATTGATAAGCAGAAAAGAGTCAGATCGGGAGGCGGGAAGACGTTCGAAGTGTCGTCCTAAACTCGTTTCGGGCAGTTGTTACGTCCGACCACGCCCGGGGAGGCTTCACTCAGTTAATGACGAGAAAGGCGTTGGAGCGTGCGCCTGAATTGGCAACCTTTGCGATACGAGCGGTCGTCACCGTTTGGCTTGACGTCGTCCCGGTGTTCCGTTTGGCGCCAAAGCTATGACAAGACCCTAGTCGCTTTGTTTGCGGAAGCTGCAATGAATGGTCGGTCCAATCCCAACTCCGTCCCCAGGGTCGGAGTTTTGAGGTTGATAGATTTGAAGAACCGAACGCGTGACGAGATCGCCGCATCTCAGGTGCACCAGCGTTGCAATATCGAGCTCCAGCGTTCGATAACTACCAGCTTGAGATACATGGTGCCATTAAAAATCGCACCTCAGATTCCGTACAGCACGTCGCCGGCTGTCTTTCCAGACCATTGCTTCAGGACCTCATCCCACTTGTGCTTTCGGCCCCCAGACACAGTGGGGTTTGCAAGCTTCCCCCCGCCATTTGACAGCGGCTTACGATTGGCGCAAGATGCGAAAATCTTCCTTTCTTCGCTCGTATCTGCGGAAACGGTTCGCCCACCGAATTCTTGAGGGGCCTTCTCTGGCTGTTCAGATGACCATCCAACCGCCACTCACCTTGTTCGCCCATTTTATTGAGATTGGGGCCCCCCAGCAAAAAGCAAAATTCCAAATTTCGAGGGCATGCTGCCAATGACTCACAGTACTTGGCACCGAAAATTCTGGGCCAAACACTTCTGTTTCAATGCTTGCTGAACATTCGTCGCAAAAGCAACTGCGCGCTGCGAATTTCAGATCCGTACCACCCTCCCCCCGGGGGGCTAACCAATCCGCTAGTCCTCGATGGGAGGGGCGCGATGAGTTCGTGAGTTAGGCAGGGCGTTCCCTTGCAAAGGGCAAGTCAAACAACAGCTCCGCCCTAAATTAGAATCGGCCTCCAACCGCTCCGTCCGACAAAATTCTCCACTCCTTCATCTTGGAAGACATCACCTCCCAACCGTCCTGTGACAACACTCCGCTCAATTTCCGGCCCATAAACGGTAAACGGCTCGAACCCTAACAACCGACGCCCCCCATCATGCTCCTCAACGGTCTTCCGCACCCAAGAATACCGTCCGACAGAAGAATCGAAACGATGCTCGAATCCAGAGTTCACGCGATCAAGTGATAAGAACCATTGTCTCTGATGAACCGACGAGATCGAGTTAGTCGCACCAGGATAAGCATTCGTCACTCGAATTGTTTCATCCTCTTCATCGGAATGATGTGCAAAACGGGTGTTGTGGTTAGATACTCCGGTGTCTTGGTTGGTCGAAGGCGAAGATGAACACGACGCAGAAGATCTTTTTCCACAACACGCCACGTTCCTTCTTCTCTTTCGTGTTTTGCTCCGCCTTTTGGGCCGTAAGGAGATATCGTTGTCAGATGTGAGACGTAGGGTCACGGTATAATTTGGTGGCAGGCGGGTTCCATGCAACCTTAGCCGAATTTTTCGCTTCACAAAAGCGTCAGCGGCGTCCTAGTTCGGAATTATGATGTTCTCACCTGTTGAAACGCCTCCTTTAACTTGTCACTCTCCGACATCCCGTCGATATCAGACGCATCACTGGAATGTGAACGAGAATAATCTGTTTCGGTTGCGTCTTTGGGCGCATGATACGGAAGTATAGAATACTCTCCTGTGTCCCATATTATAAGGCTTCCCGAACTCGTTGATGCAGACTCTATCAAGTGGTTCTGCAAGATTAGAATATGCCTCGTTTGGAGCCAATCGCAGCAAACTGGAATGCATTCCGCGAATCCACTTACCCACAGGTTATGAACTCGTGTTTCTATGGCGTTTCTATTCGGTCTCCTACTATTCGGGTTGCCCGGTAGCCCGTACATTATCGCAAAGCTTATCGAGCTAGTATCTGAAAACTGTAGACGCAGATCGTAATGGGGGCCGGTAATCGGATGGTCGTGTTGATGAACCACAAAGTGCCTCCCATTTAGATGTTGATTCCGTAAATACAGCTCGATCCAGTCTCGGTGTGGGAGACGAGGAATAGAGGGAACCGGTTCCCGTGTTGTCTCAATAAGGCGAGAGGAGAATATCTCCAGATGGTTGTCTACGTGGGCCTTGCCCGCCTCTATGGCAGCAAGGCTAGGGCCTGACCTTTTGCCAGAAGCAAGGAGACCTGTTCGAGGGTTGTGACGCCGTCTCTTTCGAGGTGGGGATACGGGCACGTTTAAAGATGCCAGACCGGACACTGGCCATTCCCAGGTCTGCGGTCTAGGCAACGGGCTTCCTCTTGCACTCGGTTCCCGCTGGCTCTCCATTCCTCAGCTCCCAATTCTTTTAGAAGTTCCAGCAGGCCACTGGAATGTCCTATCTCGGAAATACGCAGCTTGTCGTGATTCTCGTGACCATGCTGCGTGCGAAATCAGCTTTTCTCAAGTCCCGCTTTGTAACTACGTGTTTGAACAGATACGGACTGATGAGAATATTGTGTAGACTGTCCAGGAGACACTGATACTTGGCGCGTCGTTTCGAGATAAGGTGTGATTTAGCTCTCCGTTGAGGCGTCGAGATGTCGTGCATTGATCTCCGGCAGCAGAGCGTTGGAGTGACGTAACTAGTTAACTAACTTAACCAGACGAAGCTTCAAGCTCGCCGCTCAGTCGCCGATCGCGGAACAAACGCGGCCACTTTGGTAAGCAGGGCTAGTCGACAATGCCCCGGCTCTATTTAACTCTCGGTGCATTTCGGAATAAAGCGAAGTACTCCCTCCTGGCGCCATCGACTGGGCTCAAATATGAGCAAGCCTCAGCGTGGAAGCTTGAACCGGCCTTACAGTCGAACTGCCCTTGGGTCTATTTGACTAGGTCTCGGGATAAAGGTAGCAGAACCTAAAATGGCTTTCTCCGATGACGTTTCGGCCTTCGCCTCTCCGTACCCACAATTAGGAGGTAATCGGCGATTAACTTCTCGCATAGCTTGCTGATGAACTGGGCGGCAAGATGCAATGGCGTTAGAATATAACTTGCGATCCATCTGTCAAAGGCCGTACATGTTGTGAACACTCTCAAAAGTAAACCTTTTTGAGGAAAGGTCCACATTGTCTTTAGCTATGTTCACGCCTGTTGATACCGCTCTCGGAGCCTTGCTTCTATACCAAGGCTCATCTGGCCTACTCCAACACAATGGCCGTGTCTTTGGCATATCTGGCCTCCTGTCGGGCTGTGTTGGACGCCCTGGAATGGACAATATACCTATTGTGCTAGGAATTGCGTCCAGCATCGTTCCAGTGTCACTGATCGCTCCCTCCTTTCTTCCGTCTTATCCGCCTCTCCCAGCGGGACTGGGCGCTGCGCTGGGCATCGCAGGAACAGGTTTCCTAGTTGGATGGGGAACGAAGGTAAGAAATCCTCCTCTCTGCCTAAGCTACCAACGACATTACCGTTGGCGGTGTTAATATCCGAGGGCTAATCAACTGATCTTCTCCTTTCGGTACAGAACGACAACGGCTGCACATCTGGCCACATGCTCTGTGGAATCAGTCGGCTCTCTCCGCGCTCCATTATTGCTACTGGCATATTCTTTGTCACTGCGCTTATCACTGCTAACTCGGCAGTCGGGGCACCGATTCCAGCCTGCCCCGGCGGCCAGCCATGCTATACTCCGTCCTACCCATCCAACCATGACCTTGGGTTCATCTCTGCTGCCGTCATCATTTCGCAGATCGTCAATTCCATCATCGTTCCACGCTTCCTCCGCCGCGATGAAAAATCCGCTGCCATATACAGCTATATTGCAGGCTTACAGTTTGGTCTTGGTCTCTTGATCAGCGGCCTAGCCAATCCAGCCAAGGTCCTTGGGTTCTTTAGCTGGCGTGATCTGTCGCGCTTCGATCCCTCTCTCGGGCTCGTGATGCTTTTCGCCGTTATCCCAGGTATCCTGTCATATATTAGAATGAAGCGTGAATACGGTAACGAGAAGGGAAAGAAACCACCCACTCTAACTGAATATTTCCAACTACCCACCAAGACAGTGAAAGACATTGACTGGAGATTTGTTCTCGGCGCAATGTCTTTTGGCGTCGGGTGGGGATTGTCTGGTGTGTGCCCGGGGCCTGGGCTCTTGAGATCCTTCTTGCAACCGGCTTTTGGCGCCTTATGGATGGGCGGTTTTTGGTTGGGTAGTTTACTGGGCTTGTAACATCTTGTACCTCCTAACTGGTTGTCAAAAATATTATGTTTATATCATAAGGTTAGAAAAAAGTCCTCCACAGGTTCTTGGATTTCAATCATTCATTTGGATGTAAGTCGTTCGTTTCTTTCCATATCGGACTGAATGCGAATGTACACAGAAAGAGGGTAAATTCAGTCAATAATTTATCATTCAGATAAGAAGTCGGATATCTAGCTAATACCAGGGCATATAGACTTGCGCCTAGGGAAGCATTGCATTATCCCTTTCGTCATTAATATTAAAAACAGAAAATCTATAGAGTCGCTTGCCTCGAGGAGTAAAGCATGAAAAAGGGTGAGAAAGGTACAGGGGTGTATAAAAGGTATATCAGGGATTAAAAGGTCATAGATGAACACGGGAGCCCGCTCCATGTCACTACATACCGTGGTGGGAAGAAGAATCCTATCCGTTTTATGATGGTACGTCGTGAAGCAGTCGGCTTATATCCTTTAAGACATAGCGATGTTAGCGTCGCTTTTGAAATATACATGTTACGAGCCCAAACTTTCCTTGTCTCATATGTACATACATGCAAGGAGTTTGGGGTATCAGAGGACGCTTACAACTCTGTTTTCCTTTTCTCTCCCTTCCATTTTGATGTCCTTGCGTCCTTATCAAAATATCCCTCCAGGTCAAGCCATTCGGCAGCGAATGCTGTAATAATAGTGCTCCAATCCTCCACTGTGTCCAGGTGTAGATGATCCGCATTATCTTCTGCCCGATGCCACACACGCGGGAATGGAGACGGAATGATGTGGAGAATATCAACACCACGTTTCATGAAAGGAACATGATCATCGCCGATACCAAACGGAGGGAAAACCTCGTTATCGCCCTTCAGGGCATCAGAGAGCCAAGGCTTTTCGGTTTCAGGTTTCTTCTTGCTCCCATCCTTTTGGGCTTGTTTCGAGGACTTGAAAAGATTGAGGCTCCGGAGCCGCGATTCCAAAACCGCCATATGTTGGTAAGCCCAATGAGTCGTTTTGTAGTAAGAAGGGACGTTTGGATTTTGTTCTCCGAGTAAATCAAGCAACACGAATAATTTTATAGCACCTAGAGGGCTTTTATAAGTTGACAAAGCGGGATACACCGTGTTTTCCATGTGTTCGGCAAGGGATCGGGCGCCGTAGAGTGAGTCCTCCTCTGTCCACTGGACGAAAGCCTCTTCCCCGTCAAGAAGAAATATCTGGATACCCTGGTACTCGTCCAAGCCTAGCTCATGGACTGGATCGTCTTTCATAGCCTCCCATTTCTTCGTCAAAGCGGCATCAATGCTGCGTATCGCGTGTAATATCATCGCACAGGGAGCGGCGCTGTCTGTAGCCCCGATAAAGCCTTCTGGCTCAAGTTTGCTGTCATAGTGTGCTACAAGAGTCAATCTACCCACATTCCCGGGCTGGGTGTTTGGAGGATCTCGAGAGGCAATCAGATTAACGAATGGGATCTCTTTGTCTCCCGTCGCCGGCGTCTTCGACGTGGAATTCTGGAATTCGATTTTCCAGTCCGGCAGAGTGGTTTGGAAGAACTTGACAAAGTGTTCAAGGACGGCTCGCGAGCCAGGTGAGCCAGGAACACGCGGCCGAAGGATTGGTGCAAGGAGCGCCCCCTTGTGGACATCGAAATCGTTGCCGGGGCGTGGTAGGGCTTTGAGTGTGTCATCGGATAAGGCCGTGTATGCATTGGCGACCGAAACAAGGCACGCTATCCATATCAGTGATAGGCACCACGGAAGAATCCAGGGCACCCGGCTGGTGGCCATCATTTTGGACAAGGAGCGATGCGCAGCGTTGTCATCCCGAATCGATCAATGCCACCAGGAAGTTAAAAGCGCATCGGCGACGCAAAAGCTGCTCGCCGTCGCGGCCACAAAGCGGAGGCGTGCCTGATGTGTCTCAGAATATCCGTTCCGCGGCAATCTGACCAATCGGCGTACAGAGTGCGTCTATCGCGAAGTTTAAATGCACGTGATCGGAAAAGCTTCAATCAACCAAACAGCTTTAGTTCGCGGATTGGGATTCTCGAGGAGGAACAGCCCACCCATTCAATTGGCCAGCTAACAGTCTCCCGTAACGATGAGCAGACCTCTCCTCCTTCTCAGACCTCTAGGCAGGTGTTTGACCCGGTGTACGCGGAGAGACCGGGTCGACAGCCTTTGTATTCGGAACAAGACAACGGACAGCGGGTTCTCCCAGCGAGCTTCCTTGAACCGCTCAAAGACCCAGGGTTCGTCTCGCGGTCTTCTCCGAAATCCTATTCGAAATGCACCGTCGCGGCCTCAGCCAAATTTTTCCAAAGGTATGCACGTATATTCAACGGACTTTAAAAAGGAGAGCCCTGAGCTAATGGCCGTGACGTAAAGCTCATGCAAGGCCCCAGCAAGTTGTTATATACCACGCCGGGAGTGGGAAAATTGCTTTTATCGGAATGATGCGCTTGTCCACAATTTTGATTTTCGTTGTCTCTTGCACCGTGGTTGCCCCCGCATTCTATGCCGCCGAGTACCCCTGGTATATACCGCCGGCCAGTGAGTGTTGCCCATTGTTGCTTCTACGTCGGAGAAACTAACAGGCGCTGGGTAGTTATTGCAGCGGGCGCGTTCCCAATGTTGTTCGTTTCCTACACTGCTGCCCCGTTCGTCAACTTGGTCTACCTAGCATTGCCAGCATTTGCGCAACAGTCCAGGGAGCACATGTTATCCTACCTACAGAATGTTCCCCGAACAGCCACATTAAGCATCGAGACTATGAAGTTTAACTTCTATCCTCGAAGAACCCAGGTCGCAATCTCAGACCTAGCTCCTGGAAAATCACTCACCCGGCCAGTTAGCTTCATCAATACCAACCCTCAGCCACAGCCATGGTGGAGAGGCAAAGACGGTGTACATTTCTATACACCAGAGGCAAACAGACCAGCTAAATCGACTCCCAAGTTTTTTCCAGAAGCTTGGGAGCGAGTATTTGCCCAGATTAAGCAGAACAGCCTTTTAATGAAAAACAAATGAGCCGATATTTGACCATAATGTGATATACCCTACTGTAATCTCTATCAAAGAAGAGATACAATGAGCCTTTGATTAGAGCTATTCTAGCTTGTTTGTGGATGCTTGCTAGTTCCACAGATTTCAGGCCATGTAACATCAATGTTGAACTAGGCATATGTGCCATTTTGTCCGCTAGCTTTGCAGCAAGGATTAACACGTTGAGCAACACTTTGGATGAAGCAGCACTTCAAAACTGAATTGAAAATTACAATTCGCCTAATTACAGTTACAATCGTGTTGTATTTGCCTTTCTGTTTTGTTTTGTTTTCATGCTCTATTTAATCATCTTCTCCGTGCTCTTTGCCCTGATCTTTCATTCACATCTCCATCCCACTTCAGCTCAACTACAGACTCAGTTTCTTTACTCAAACTTCACACCTAGGCTGTCACATTCAGGGATCACTTCATCTCAACTCTACTTTTCGTCGTCATTTCTCGTTCAATCTTTCGAAATACAGTACAAGCTCCTTCAACTTCCACCATGGATTCATTGTCTGCCAGTGAACAGCGCATCTTTAGCAATGGCATGATTTGCGCTTTTGAAGGCTTGAACAGTATCAAGGTATGTGTGTTTCCTGAGCATAAATTCCCGTCCAGTCTCTATCCCCCTCATCCCACATCAAGTAGTGTACCCGACACTCCCCACTTATACCCTGCTTTTGCTTTTTTATTTTTACTTTTGTGAAAGTTTGAAAGTTATACATTATTCTTATACTTTCCATAGGTTGACTACGAAAAACTAGCTGCTATGTCGGGCTTGAAGAATGCTTCTGTCGCATCAGTTCTTTTCAACAAGGCCAAGCGTAAACTTGTCGCGCTTCAGAGCAATGGCGACAGTGCCGGTCCCGTCAAGAAGGTAAGCACGATGTCTTCCCAGTGTCGGCCAATCGCTTACATCGTTTGAAAGGCTGCTACCCCCGAAAAAGTGACCAAACGCAGTACTGCTCGCAAGAATACCGGGAAAGGAAAAGCCAAGGCCTCGGAACATGCTCCGGTTGCTGCCTATCCTGAAGCGTCCCATGCCTCGAATGGGAATGGGAACACAGAGCCCCCCGTTAAAAAACGTGGTGGAGGCAGACGCACTGCCGGCAACAAAATAAAAAATGAAGAGGAAACCAAGCCAGGAGCGCCCATTGATCTTATGTGAGGAACTCTCTTCGTCTATATCGCTACCAATCCAATTATTACTAATAACTTGTAGCAATGATAGCATCAAGCTTGAGGATGGTGTCGGTTATGGCGACATGCTTAGCGATTTTGGTGAAACTGCTATTGAATCTACCGTGTACTGCGAGGCTGAAGCACCTGCACCCGCAGACGAGGACGATGACGATGACACTGTCATGCCGAAGAAAGAATTCGATGACAACTAAGCTGGATAATGACTGAGACACAATTCTGGACTTTTTTCTCTGCATTGGACAGTCTTCTTGTGATTATTCTCTTTGATGTTACCTATGTCACTACTCAAATCAGGATGTCATTTCGATGACCTGCCGCACGATCACTGATTGTCCTATTCATTTTCTCCCGTTTTGTGTCCATTGTCTTGGTTCGATGTTCTTTCGGCAACTTGTCATTGGACTTGGATCGTTGATTAGTTTTCCCTTGCGGCCGGCTCTTGAAGATTTGTTTCGAACATTGGGTCGTTGCGCCAGCGCGCCACCGGTTTCCTCGGAGGACCACCTTTGCTCTATGATTAGCATGCATATCCATTGGCTCTTGAGATCTCGGGTTTAACTAGATGAATGCTGAAGGAAGTAGTTCCATAGTAATAGGCTGTCAATTCTAATGGGACAATTTCAACACACATCATGTTAAAAATTACCAAGTATCACAGCGATATCAGGAACACTGTTAATATGGACGAAGTTTAAAACAAAATGTAGTCAAGAAAAGAGAGCAGATGTTGGCATCCTCAACTCTACTCCAAAACAACTGGAGGAATATAATATAAGGTTTGCAAGCTTGTTCTTTTCAACATCCTTCTCTAGCCCGAAGTGATTCAGGACCGCGAAGGTTGCCCCTCATCGTCTCTCTTGACCCCACATCTCATCAACCAGCATCAAACAAAATGGCCGCCACAGACGCAGCTCCTCCACAAACAGAGGAAACACCATGGTATGCCGCATTTCCGGCCCCTAAGCTCAAGGCCGACGTTATCTCCCGTACCGAAATTCTCAAGTGGCTTCCCAACAAGCCTGCAACGCTAGACTTCGTCCTGGTTGACGTACGACGGGCTGACCATGAGGTATGCCTCCAGCTATATATCCCCATATCCCTTCATGAGGATGGATTATATCCGTAGAAACAGAAAATAGTACGATATGTCCTTGTGTAGGCTCCCGCTAACCCGCCAAAACGCAGGGAGGTACCATTTCAGGGTCCTTAAACCTACCCGCGCAAAGCTTTTATCCCTCTCTTCCAACTGTATATTCTATTCTCAAACAAGCAAATGTGAAGAAAGTGATATTTTACTGTGGTTCGCATTAATTATCCTCTCTCATTGAGCGTTGACCAATTTCGGCTAACCGCCGCATAGGCTCGTCAAAGGGTCGCGGAACCCGTGCCGGAGGATGGTTGGCTGACTATCTCGCGGAACATGACTCCACGGGGATGCAGAGTCTGGTTCTTGAAGGTGGAATTAAAGGCTGGGTAACAGCTGGAGAGGAATATGTGAAATATGTGGACGGCTACGATGAGGCAGTCTGGAAGAAGCTGGGCGTGCTTTAGAATCAAATGTCGAAGACAGGCTGTTGAAATGATACAAATGCAAGGCGGTATAAGGTAATCATCCCTTATATTGATAGGTCACCGTTCCCATTACCCACTATCCACAAAAAGAAAAAGAGGGGAGAGGGCTTTGGGAAAAAACCCATCTGAACAGCTGTCGGATATTTGATAATACACTCAAGGGTATTAAACGGTTAAAAGTAAAAGTCAGACCTCACAGTGAAAGGTATAAAACAAAGTAGCCACGCCATCTAGGAATCACATAAAACAAGATCCATCCCCAGAAACAGAACCATCTCAAATTACAGCAAGGTACATTGCTCACATATTCTCAATTGCTTTCAGTAGAACTTCCATGCCTTTCCCATCGGCTGAGTCCCGTACAAAGTCATCATCCTTCAGGATCCACGCAATATCGCTCCACCAGCCCAAACCAACGAGTCCACTTCCTTTTTTCCTCTCGACACTCTCCTTCAATCGACTGGTGTGCTCCCACTCTTTGGCAGCAACTTCTGCCGTTTCAATAACCTTAGTAGGAATCCCACACATGGATGCACAATGCATCCCAAAACTTCCTTCAGCAACTCCATCCTCCAATTTATATAAAAATGTAACTCGTCTATCCTCCTCGTCTACATGAATACGCATGCGGCGAGGGGAGATCTCCGGATGCCCTTCAAACTCCGCGGCAAGGGAGTGATAGTGTGTTGCAAAAAAACCCAGCGCGCCAATATGTGTTGCAACATGGTGCAGCACAGCCTGGGCCACAGCAACACCATCATAGGAGCTGGTACCACGACCAAGTTCGTCCAAGATTACAAGAGAGCGCGATGTCGCTTCGGACAAAATCTTTTTCGTCTCTGATAGTTCCACAAAGAAAGTAGATTGTGCACCGAAAATGTTGTCGTTTGCTCCCAGCCGTGACATTATGCGGTCGACAGGGGTAAGTCTAGCTGACGCACAAGGGACGTAGCAGCCAATTTGAGCCATGATCACGGCCGTACATGTCTAAAATGTATTAGCATTTCATACTATAAATAAGATTGGATAGGGGCAATCCTCACCATTCGCAAGACAGTTGACTTTCCGGCTGCGTTGGCCCCGGTAAGAAGGTTGATACTGGCAGTATTCCCGCCCAGCTTTACGTCGTTGGGAATGAAATCTCCAACAGTGGCAAGCATGCAGGGATGGCGGAGTTCTTGGAATTCAAGGACGCTACGATCACTGTCAACGAAAACCGGGCGGCAACTAGGGTACCCGATAGCTGTGGACGCCTTTGCCAAACCGATCAAGCAATCGAGCCGGGCAGTGATCTTAACAGCTGCGAGCCAGGTCTGGTAATTCTCGTCAAAGCGAGCATAAAACCGACTGGTCACTTCCTTGACAATTTGATTGTGCGTTTCTTGTGCCTCCTGGAGCTTTCGAATCAAACCACGAAGCTCAGGGAAATAGTATCTCTTCGCCTGCTTAGTCGCAGACATCTGATCCCAACTTTTTGGAATATTCCTCACTTTAACGGGGACTTCAAGCTGGTATATTTCTTTACCATTGTCCCGGTATATTATTGCAGAGCTGTTAAGTTCCCTTCGGACCCGCTTCAGCAGTTGATCCAGTTTAGCCTCAATTTCTTCAATTCGCTGAGTGGATGCATCAAAATCTTCTTCCACTCCTGCCTTCGGAACAAAAATTCCACTATCCTTGGCCTTTACTCGGTCAAAAGCAGTTTTCCAGTACTGCAACAAGCCATCCATATCGGGCATTGAAGAAATGAGATGCCCGATAACTCCATCACCTGAACCGGTTTGCTTAAGAAGGCTCATAGTATAATCGATCTGTTCGAATCCTTCAAGAACACGGACAAAATCTTGACACTTGCAGGTTCCCGCATGGACACGGGAAATGAGTCTTTCCAGGTCCGGCATTTTCGTCAGTTGGGATGAGAATTGATCTCGTATGCTGCTATCCGCGTTTAACGCGTCGACGGCATCGAGTCGAGCATTTATCTTCTTCGAGTCCATGAGTGGATGACACACCCATTGTTTGAACATTCTTTTCCCAAATGGCGTTATACAGCGGTTGAGTAACTGGAATAACGTGCCATCCTGGCCACCATCATAAGAGTTCGCGAAGACTTCGAGGTTGATCAATGTCTGTCCGTCAAGGACCAGACTAGACGCCTTTCTGATAGGATCATACCACGTGAAGTTGCCAATGGTGATGAGATCCCGTTCAATCTTCAACATCCGCAAATATTGAATCAAGGCACCAAAGGACGAAATCACAAGCTCATTGTCTCGAGCTTGCCTCAAAACTTCCGGCCACGCTTCAATATTGTCCTGGTCAACAGAAACAAAGTATTCGCTTGCATCAAGTTCTCTGCGAGTAGTAGATGCATCCCAAAATTCTCTCTCCGGCTTTAAATAGTTCCAGATAGTCGTAGGATTTGTATTGTTTTTCAAAATTCGGAGGGCTTTGGGGGACATGAAGCCCTTCTCTAACAAAAGCTCTTGTGGTCGTGTCTGGGCCACCAGGGTCTCAAATTTTGTCATGTCCACGTCGTCAGTGAATTCCGTCAGGAAAAATTGACCGGTGGCCGTATCAACGAAGCTAACTCCGAAAGCTGGCAGATCGTCAACCAAAGCCTCCTTGACGGCTACGCAATACGTTGACATGTCGTCCTGAAGCATGGCACCGTCAACAAGTGTGCCGGCCGTAAGGACACAACTCAACTCTCGCTTTATGACTTTGTCTCCCTTTTTCTTGTCGTCCCGCTCTCTCATCTCTTTTCCCAACGCGGATTCTGACTGGTCGACGCGGGCTATTTTGAAGCCCTTGGCAACAAATTGATTTGCCCAGTACTCTAAACTGGATTCTGGCACACCCACCATCCGCATGTTAACTCTATCAGTAAGTTTAAGATCGAACAACTGGTGCCCGATGGTGGCATCGTTTTCGTAAAGCTCATAAAACTTCCCCTTTTTGAAAAAGACAACGGTATCCCAGAACTTTTGCTTGATCTCCCAGTACTGTTTCTCGAAAGGAGAAAATCTACTCCATGCCAGAGGGGGAATATATAACGTCCGAGGATCATAATCGGGATGGCCCGGAGGGTTTTTATCCATATCGAGTATATTCGCAAGCCATGGGTATCGCTTTTCAGGCTCGGTCAGGTGTGCTTTCTCCTTTTTCTTCCCCAAAGATTTGGACGAAAGCGGTGCCAATGTTGTTCTATGTTGGCGGCACTCGGTGTCATTAGGATCGTAGGTCCATTTTTTCGCGGTTCCAGAGGCGGAATTAGGGATATCTAGGTCGACGTCCATATCATCTTGTGGTGCAGATATCGGGGTTGAAGGCTTGGTAGGTTTGGGATTGGAGGATCTCTTGCGTTTCCTAGATGGTCGCATCTCTTGATCGGATTCATCAGGGACGATGAAGTCGTCCAAGTCTTAAATCGTTTAGTATGTACTAACCCAAATTACGCTCTCAACAGGTATCTTACCATCGAAATCTCCTATACTTTCGTCTGGTTGAAATTCTTCCTCGTCTTCAGATGTGGCAACTGTTCTTCTTTTCTTATTTGCCCGGCCAACAGCGGACCTCCGTGTGGGAGGTTTAACAACGTCTTCTTCATCCGATTCCCAATAATCTACGGTCTTCTTTGCCTGAGGTGCGTTGTGTTAGTGGAAGTATTCACATAGGTCTGAAGCGAAATAATTGGAAATACGCAGCTTACACGACGAGAAGGAGTCGCTGAAGGCAATTCTTGATTCTCAGCCTGCTCCCCATCACGCCCGTTAGCAGACGTAGCAGGAGAGGGCAAGCTAACGTCCACAGCTTCAGGACTTCCCTTCAACTGTTGTACGGTCGACTGCTCGATGTTGAGATCATCGGAAACTGGTTCCACCGCGTCGCTGCTCGGGGAAGGAGTTAGATTAGGGGCACGATGGCTTGACTGCGTCCCGCTCAATTGGCTCGCTTTTGTTCTGTTATGCGATGGCCGTGGAGCTGGAGACGAGGCTGGCTCATCTTTGACATTCTGCGTGCGAGACGTCGCCGGAGGTGTGCAAGGCGACGACTTTGGCTGAAAGAAGCCCAGGATAGATTTCTGGCCCTTCATGGTCTGTGTACCCGCCATCGAATTTTTTGGAACCCGAGAGCTTTCAGGCATCACCTAGGAACAGGCTCTGCAAAAAGAGACAGAGGTAGTCGGAAAAGCACAGGGGAAAGTCAATGAATCGCCATTGCTCGGAAGGGTGGATGATCGAGATCACCTCAGGGAGGGAGCAAGACGTGACCCGCGTAGACAGTTAAGCTAGTTAGCGTGTTTGACGCGTCGTGATCAGAATTCCGAACCGCCCGTGACCACGCCAAGCCTTTCCCAGGGCAAGCAAACGAACTGATAACAGGCACTCCGTACTCTGTGCTCCATACGAATCACATCAACTGCTTATTTATGTAGGTCAACCAGAGCAACGAAAACAATTCCCGGTCTAGAGTGTCCATGCTCTAAATAATAGTAATAGTAATCGTAATGCTAATAGTACAGGCCACAGAATACACACATACGCGAGATGCGCTTGACAGAAGGGCAGATCCATTTATAGTACATATCATGAATATTTCTCCGCTATTCATCACCATCTTTGGGTAGAACCCCTATGGGGTTTCCCGGCGTCCAATGTTTGATTTCAGGCTTCGGGGTTTGAGCAAATGCCGGCAGTTTGACACGACGTCCTTTAATCTTCCGCCCGGTGAACAATTTTTTATCGTTTGCGCGCTCTTCCGGCGATTCATGCTCCTCCCAACCAGGCGCATTCAGTCCCATCTTCGCATACTCACTGTCGGGAACAATCTTAATGATCTTTAGGTTCCATTTTCCAATTCTCAAAATCAGCAGCCGTCCATCAATAACGAACTTCTCTGTAATATCCGCCGGCCAGGTCTTGACAGGAATATACGAAACGCCATCCCCCATGACCTCACGGGAATCTGAACGGCTTGCGACGTGCACTCCATTATTAACAATTAAACGGAAACCTTCGGATTTGGAGGATACCATTCCAGCAGACCATAGTACTTTGTGAAAGAACTGATTTATAACGAGGGATCGCGGAAGTATAATGTGTGGCGTTGCCGTCTCGAACGCATGCAGCTTCTGATGTTTTCCCTCGGCGTTGTCCGTCTCTGCATGTTCTGTCTCTGCAGCCAAGCCCTCCGGGGCCCCGGCTGAGGCTTTTGTCATAAAGAGAGTCCGGTGATCCTTGGCTGCTTTCTCAGCACTCAGGGATCCGTGAATGAGTTCAACGAATTCACGCGCAAGTTTATGCTGGGCTACTCGCTTAGAAGGGTCCTTGGCGTGTTCTTCCATAAGCTCTTTAATCGCGGGGGTTGGTACAAATGTAAACATTTTCAGATACCGCTCGACATCACTATCGGCAACTCGAACAAAGTACTAGAATGCCTGTTAGCAGGGAGTATAAAGTACGGGGTCGATGCTCTCGCCAGTGGAGCATCGTTGCTCATCAAACACACCTGGTAAAGATCGTAGCAAGAAGTCATGTCTTTGTCGAGCCAAACCGCATTGCCGGCTGACTTTCCAATCTTCTCACCAGACGCAGTGGTAAGAAGGGGAGTGGTGATTCCGTAGGGATTGGCAAGGTCAGGATCTTCGTCTTTCTTCGGAGCCCATTCACTTTCTGGATTCGCTTTAAGGATTCCCTTGATAGCATCCATGCCGAATAGAATATTGCCATATTGGTCCGATCCTCCAACTTGAACTTGTACCTTGCGTTGGAAAAGGTACCAGAAATCCCATCCTTGCATAATAGGGTAGCAAAATTCCGCGATTGACATGCCCTCGCCACTTGCTAGTCGAGATTTCACACTAGATGCATGTCAATTACTACCCTGTCACCATTCCAAATCAGGGTGACGTAGGATCTTACTAGTCACGACCTAACATCGGCCCCAGTCTCAAAGAAGTGCCCAATACTTCCATCACCTCCTTGAGTGACTGTTTATTCCACCATGTGTTGTTGTTTTCCAATGCCCGTCTCCAGGCCCATTCCCATTCAAACCCATGTTTCCGGCCGTACTTTTCGAATGAGAAACCAAGCCTTTTGAGTTGGAGATGTATATTAGCTATATTTGCTCTTCGGGTGGCACCATCCATGAGTGGTCGTCCTTCTAGACGTCCTGTTGGATCGCCAATTTTTGCAGTTGATCCTCCAATCTACCAAAAACAGAAAATCAGTCTTTTGAACCCTACAAAACCAAGTAGCAGCAACTCACAAGGAAAACTGCTTTCAGCCCATGGACATATGCCCACCCTAGTATCATAAACGGGAGCATGTGTCCGATATGAAGAGACGGTGCGGTAGGATCGACACCAGCATAAAATCCTACCCGTTTTCGCGTTATTAACTTATCTAGTGCATCTCGCTGTCTAACCAACATTCACGCATCAGCAGATTTTGAACGAGTAGAGGCCCGTGTAAACATCTGATGGTATTATAACAAGGGTAAACTTACCCAACAACAGAATTAACAAGCCCTCGCTCCTCAAGGAATGATAGGAAGCTCTGCTTTCTTCCGGCTTCGATTTCCTTTGCCTGAAGCTTCCATTGCTCCTCAGCTTCAGCCGTGCGACGTAAATGTTGCTGGGTTATGTGTCTTTTCTGGGCAACAGATGCTCCATTAAGCTGCGCGTGTGCAGCATTTCGAATCGTCGTGCACCTTGTTGAATATGCTCTAAGTATCTCCCTCCGGCAGGATAAGCAAGCTGTTCGGTGGAGAGTACTCCGGGATAACTTGCAGCGCATTGTGACAGTTTATTCCAAACGGTCACACTGGCTAGCAATGGTGGCTCAAGTCCGCAAGCTCCCACAATCTCTTCAGCCTGAAGTGCATCGACAGCTGAGCCTTCTGGTTGAGCATCAGGTTTGACATTCCAACTCTTTCTAATTGTCCGAATTTCGACGCGCCGGAAAATTTTAGTTTAACGTTCGGAATAAAGATAATACGTAACTAGCTAGATAGGAGTTAAAAGGTTATTAATAATCGTTAACCTTAACTAGAGGCAGGCGAGGGATTACAGCCTGCCAAACAAATCTTCAACCTGGCTTTGCAAAAGAAAAATGAAGAAAAGAAAAGCAAATGAGAGAAGAGCTTTTACACGAGATATTATGACGGAGGGAGTAAATAATTAATATATCTATCCAACTGTTTTCCAAAAACGCATGTGGTCAGTCCATTAAAACTTGGACGACAACTTCATTGCTCCACCCACGCTCCAATCTCATCTCTCTCCATGCTGTCAAAATATCCACCGACAGCAAATTGGGTCCCTGCACCTTAATAGTTTCAACCGGGACTGCTCTGCCTGATATCATCACCATAAAGTTGTCCTCAACGGTTCTTGTGCCAAGATCGGATATATATATTCCTAATTCTCCAAGCGCCTTAAGGGTAATATCGAAGCGGAGTCGACCACCATGCGAGATAGCAACATCAAAACCGACTATAGCTGCAGCGCCAGTCATTTTGTCCAGGAGACCCAAAACTGCAACCCGCGTCAATTCAGACCCCGAACACTTCCTATCCAAAGAAAAGGCGTGAACAGGGTATGCTGTGAGGATTTCCCAGCCTCTTGGCTCGAGACCAACAGAAAGCAGAAAACTTTGATCACATGGCCCTATCGCCACATTCCCTGTTGAATGTGCGCGAACGACGTATTCGGTTTCAGTGCCGGAGTTAACTCCGGGGAAGTCGAGGATAGATATCAGAGAGGATACATCTTGGCAGCTGATGTTGAACAGACCGAGCATCCCACTTCCAGTGCGTGCTTGTCCAGTGTAGCTTCCTACTTTCAGAAGCTGTCCTTCATTATAGTTGTGATAAACGTCAACCGTGGATCCCGGAACGCTTGGTCGAAGAATGACGCTAGTTCCATCAATTGACAGCGCAGTCATTTGGTTAATAAGTTCAAAGTCATGCTTTCCCGGCTCATCCGTGATATATATCGGTCCGCCTGATATGCATCTGGCTGCTCCGTGAAAGGAAGCATATGGATGGTTTGTTTGGAACATGTCCCAGTCTGGAATAACATTAAGATGACGTGTCAATAGCGAGTTATGTGCGTTGCAAAATATATGCCAGGGATGGGAACTAGGAATGTCCGGGAAGAAATCGTCAGAATTGCGCAGTAAGATGCGCGGTTTCGTGGTCAGTAGGTACGAATGAAATATTATTTGAGGCGTTTGCGACATGCAGGATATACCCCTTGCTTGGAAATACCTCAACAGCGAGATTGACCACGCATCTTGGTACGCCGTGGTGAATCGAGCTCGGTCAGTCGCATTGTCTAAAGTGTCAAGAAAGAACTGCGCATCCGTCTTCACGGAGTCGACCCCGGCCGCTAACAAGAACGAGTAAAAATCGTCATAGAAGCGATGAATGTCATCGGGGTCAATAGCAAGCATGGTCCCTCCCGCGACCCGGTCGACCTTTTTGACTACCTTGGTTTTGTAGTTCCGTACTAGCTCTCCATTGGGAGAAATCCCTCCCCAGTACCCCATGAGAGCATGCCAGACGGCAATATGCTTGATGTTTGGGTGTTTTGCACGGACGCTATTAATGGCATGTTTTAATCCTTTCGGGAATCCCTCTTCATTCGCTTCAAATCGTGTCCAGCCTCGTTGGAATTGAGACTTGCCTTTATTGTCCAAGGATTGCCAGTTATCGTCGATGATAAGATTGACAACGTTGATGTTGTTGACCTTTAAAGTGTCCAATGCATTGAGAATCTTCTCTTCTGTCAAGCTCTGACCCAGTGAGTTCCAGGTGCAGTACGCCAAGCCGTCATACCAGCTTGAAAGCCACTGAGCGCTGAGATCATCGGGTTCTTTTGAAAAACTGTCTGAGGTCAGCGTTTGGGTCGGTTTACCAAGCGATTCGGCAACGAGCCTCTCCAATTTTCTCGCCTCATATATTACGGCAGCAATGGCAAGCCTGAAGGATGAAGCAACCGCGGCGAGTACCTTCACATCAACTTGTTTCATTTCGTCATTTCTCGCAGAGATGACGACCCCTGACTCGCTCGACTGCAGCGTTGTTGAGATATTAGCCGGACCGCTCACGGCGAGAAGCACCAGTGACAGGCCATCCTTGCGCAGAAACGACGACAAAACAGCGTCTTCTGTTAGTCGATAGGTCTCCATTCCATGCCTCGGAGCCAGCCATGGGCTCCATATGCGAACAAGTGAAAAGTTTCTCACAAACTCCCTCGGGGAACCAAGTGCCAGTGTTGCACGTCCGCTTTTACCATCTGTTGCACGAGGGGCTTTCCCGGCGATGCTCCATAAAACTGCACCTGGGGTTTCGCTCGCACGACGTTGCACATCCAATTCGGTATTGAAAGTCTCAATAAAGTTGTTCAATTGATCTGTAGGATGACCATCGCGGTATTTATCGATCCAAGTCTGTGGTGGTTCAAAAACAATTTCCCCGTCTTTGGTCCCAAACAGTTCTTTCACCCATTGCCACTCCGTGTCAGGGCCGATTCTATATTTAACCGTGAATGATGCATATTTTCCTTCCTTGGGGAATCCAAGTTCTCCGCTAAATGTATGCCGATGGTAATCCCCACCAGTCTTTCGCCCAGAGGCCACAGGAACCTTTTGCCCAGTGACTTTTTGTAGGGTAAGTTCTTCCCAGTCTCCGTAAACATTATGCCAGATAGAAACTTCCCAGCCCTGCTCTGGAAATGAACTGCTTGCCTCAAGTAAAATGGTGAATCTGGCCTATTAAGAAAGTCAATCGCGAAAAGAAATGAGGATTTGACAAGTAAGGCAAATTGCATGGTTAACAATGCCGTACAAAGTAGATTGCCCACCTTATCTCCAGAAATATCGTTTCCGTTTCTCTTCAAGAACGTAACTTGCCCCAACGGCGGCCATGATGATATGTTTGCAAAGAGGCTCATTTGCGCCGCACGTATGAATTTGATCTGTGATGGCTTTTTCTGTTGCAGCTGCTCAGGAGGGATGCGATGAGAGGATCGCATCGCGTTCATGTTCCAGTTCCAGCAGGGAGGAAGGCCAAATCGATAGTGACTTAATAGTCTGGCCCTGAAATGTATTGAAAATATGTATTGGGCAGTCGTTGGTTACTATCCCTAAATGTTGGGATTAGTACTGCAGCCACTCAACTGTATGCCGTTGTGAGGTGCAAGACGCGTGTGACAACTAATATCACGGAAATTTGTCGGTAGCTGCAAACTTGTATTTGCAGCCTCATATAAAGAGAGTAACTCCTGCAGAACTATCTAGTTTGTTATGCTTGTTTAACAATGACTGCCTGTCGTTTGAGTGGGACAGAATAATGATGAGAAGTTGTATCCAAGCCCAGTTTATGATGTTTAGCTCAACAGGTCAGCCGGGCCACATCAGTTAACCCCACCCCCTTGTGTAGTCACTCAGCACGGAGTAGTTAATAGGACAAGAATATTACTGGATACATGGGCCAAGGGGTTGAAGTGAAATAACCAGTGGTACGGAGTATATTAACTCTCATTCATTCACATTTACTCCAACTCCAAGCCAGCTTATATTCATCCCATACATTTCAATTATTCATCACTGTTTTAAGATGTGAAGAGTTAACTACATCACAAGTGCCCTTGAAGTTCTCCACCCATGCCTCCGAAAGTAATTGTTTTGACGCTTAAGAACTCATCGATTCCATACTTACTGCCTTCACGGCCAAACCCACTTTGCTTAACTCCGCCGAATCTAGATGGAAATGTCAGCACGAGCATTTAAGTCGGGACAGGGAACCGGTAGACTTACGGCGAAGCAGTATCACTGATAATTCCGGTATTGACGCCAATCATGCCAACCTCAAGGGCCTCAGCAACGCGATAGATCCGTCGAATATCCTTACTGTAAAAGTATCCGGCAAGGCCCACCTCAGCCTTATTAGCCCACTCGACAACGTCTTTTTCCGTCTCGAACGGGAAGAGGCCTGCTACAGGACCAAACGTCTCCTCGGATGCCATCAACATATCCTTGGTCATACCCGTGACAACCGTCGGATGGAAGAAATTCGGGCCAAGTTCGCTCGCTGGCTTTCCGCCCAGGATAACTTTCCCTCCCTTTGCTTCAGCATCGCGGACGTGTTGGGTAACCTTGTCAACTGCGCGGGAGTGGATGACCGGTCCATGAGTGACCCCCTCATCAAAACCATAACCGAGCTTGAAGCCCCTGACCTTCTCAGCAAATTTAGCCGCAAACTCATCGTAGATTCCTTTTTGAACATAGATACGGTTGGCACAGACGCAAGTCTGTCCCGAACTACGGAATTTGGAAGCGATGGCGCCAGCAACAGCAGCGTCGACATCAGGGCAATCGTCAAATACAATGAACGGGGCGTTCCCACCCAGTTCGAAAGACAGCTTCTTCACTGTAGATGAGGATTGCTTCATAAGAAGCTTTCCCACGTTGGTGGAGCCGGTGAAAGAGACTTTGCGGATGTCTGGGTGGGTGGTCAAACACATCCCAAGCTCCTGGGTATTTTTCAAAGCTGTCACAAGGTTGACAACGCCTTTGGGAATTCCTGCGCGGCGACCTAGCTCCATGATAGCGTTTGCTGTGAAGGGTGTCTCGCCTGGAGACTTTGCCACAACTGTACATCCGGCAGCCAAGGCAGGGCCGATTTTCCTGGTGATCATAGCAGCGGGGAAATTCCATGGAGTGATGAATCCACAGACCCCAATCGGCTCCTTCAGGGTCATAACTCTGTTGCCTGGGACGGACGATGGGATGGTGTCTCCGTAAACTCTAGGAGCCTCTTCACTGAACCATTCGAAAAAATTGGCGGCGTAGACTACTTCTCCCTTAGCATCCGCATATGGCTTGCCGTTCTCCCATGTGATCAGCGTCGCCAGGTCCTCCGCATTATCCATCATCAACTGGTACCATCTTCGTAGCATACGAGCCCGCTCCCGGGCCAAAGTTTTGCGAAACGAGGGAAAAGACGCAGATGCCGCGTCGACCGCCTTTTGTGTTTCTTCGGCAGTGAATTCGGGGCAGGTTCCAATGAGCTTTCCCGTCGAGGGATCTGTAGAGCACGCAGACGAGACAATGATATCAGCTGAATCCATCGCCACATACCCGTGTGTTCGTCTAGACGAAAGCACGCTGCTATTTACCGGTCACTTCGAATGTTTCCCCGCTTTTCGCATCCACCCATTCTCCATTGACAAAACACTTGCCAATAAGGAGGGATTTATCTTTCAACTTGGATGTAGACGGACCGAAATCAGCAATGCTGCACAGGAAAAGGTATGGAAGGGCGTCTCAGGGATGAGCTTAGCCTGGCACTTACTGTAGGAATTGTGTGCATTGCGTATCGTCGTCTTCCGTATAGGGTTGGAATTGTAAAGGGATATCTTGCGCGTGGGCGGGACAGCTGCTGAAGAATAGGCCGGGCGAGCTTCTCCATCTTGAGTGGAAGAACGGGAATAAATAAAGACACAACGCACGCACGAGGTTCGGATAGCCGGGTTGGGAGATGCGGGGAAGGACGATAAGTAACAACCGGGGGATGAATTATCTCCGTCCGTCGTGCATCTGTATTTAATACGACGAAAGCACGCTGCAATTGGGGTGGGAGAAACTATCCCTGCGGTGAGGTGAACTGCGAGTTTAAGTCCAAGGGAAGTCGAGATGCTCCGCGCCAGTGATTCTCTTCGCGATTGAGCTAGAAAACATCCTTCACAGTGAAGACATCACCGAGAGTCCACAGCTGTTCGGCTCTTCGGAGCTTCAGCAACCACGTCGCCGGGAGGTAGCTAGCCTATTAGTCACCCTCCCCGCTCGGCAATCCTGCTTTTGCTTCGGCTTGCAGGCAGGATGTTCGCCACGGGGCGTTAAAGATCTTGAATCTTGAAAGCAACTCCTTGGTACCGCCAGAGAATGTTAGTTTTCATGTCCATGTTCGGTTGCCGCTGAGAGTCAACACCGTATGAACGACCCCGAAATCCAACCTCAAAGAGCTTCGAGAATCGCAACATTAGAATCCATCATGCGTTTGTAATATCGTACACTTCTACGGTGATGTTATGAGAACTTTCGACTCCTCCGCGGCTTCATCTCCCTGGACGCCCGGCGGCTAGCCCGAAGGCGCCTGGTATATTACAGGAGGCTGGTTTTGGAATATGGAACAGAGTGGCCGTCAAAACCTTTAACGAAAAATGTGAAAAGAGAAAATGTATGTATTACTTGGAGTGCAGCAGATTATTTCCGTTTGCACCTTTCAACTTGAAGAAGGGTTCCAGATCCCTGGGATGATCCCCAGTTTTGGGGGTTCGCCCAATTGCTCGGCTGGGACGGCGTCTAACGGGCGTTGAATTGTGTCCCTTGATGCTGTAGAGTTCGTGCATAGCTACCAGTTCGGCCCCTGGAGGGTCAACGCCCGACACTTCGAAGGACTCTCTGTCCCTGATTTAATAAATTTTGAATTCCTCTGTTGCTTCTCCCTTCGTATGTAACCCTAACACTCTGAGCCCCTAACCGTTCACCCTTAACCCACGCTAACCATGCCAAACTTGGCTTACCCTCATCGGCATCTTCAGTGGCTGCATGGATGCTGTCCTTTCATTTCTCCACAGCGGCAGACGCTGCTCCGCACCAATCTAGACTTTCCCAAGTCGCCCAAGACCTTCACTCCCTGAATGGACTTGGATTCAGGTCAACGTGGTGGCAAGGATTTTATTCTTGCCCAGAACTGCTGTGCATAATGCATTTTAGCACAACCCATCCACATATTAACTCATTGATACCCAAAGCATTCCGTACTCTGTCCAACTTGAGACGGTGGAGAGTCGTTCATGGCTTACATATCAGCTGCTTTTCAAGCTTCGGCCTAGACGCCAAAACGTGACGGGATCGTCCGAGGCGTGGATTCATGCGGTGCGCAGAGTTTTGACCTTGACTATTTTGGTCTGCGGAGTGTTGACCGGCTAAAATAGTCAAACAAAACACGGTTTTCTTTGTCAATGGCATGCCAGTGTTCGTGCGGTCGGTCTCACGGTGATTCTTGACCTCTGCATTTGTCTCACCAGCCAACTACACATTTAACCAACCAACTACTCTGTACAGTGTGCTCCCAATATGGAGTTGGTTGCGGCTGATGGTTTCTGACCGAAGAGTTTCCAAACATTCGACAATTTCTCTCCAGATCGGCTTGAAACTTTGACTCGTGGCCGTCGCCAACTTAAAACCCCAACTCCCTGCAAGTAGGTCCACGCAATGGACTTCGGAAGTTGATCGCAGCCAATCGTGTTTCACCAGGCCTCTTCGCCCCGATGGGCGCCCGTGTCTTGATCGATGGCTCCCCGCTAGTCATGCTCGACAGCCATCGTGAGCATGGTGGCGATATAATCATGCGGCTGGCCTCCAGCCGGGGCCGTCTTTTGTCAATCGTCTCGAATTCCTGCTGCTTTGCCCAAAATTTTCGCTCCCTACCGCCAGATAGGGAGCATGTTGTCCATCGACTGAGCAAAGAGGCCACACGATGCTACGCCAGGCACTCCCCTTGACCATTTCTCGCCCGTGACATCCTTGGTTCTCTTTCTCAGTCATCTCCGTTGAACGGAGATTTGATCTGCTGGCCTGGAGGATGGCTTTGGGTCATCCCGTGGCAAGCGATTCCGGCAGAGGAACGCAATTATGGGTAGTAGCTACCGTCATGGTTGTTGTTTCGGGCTTTTTTGTTTCTCTGCGTTTAATCGGGAGATATTTTCGGAGTATGCTTTGGGTGGATGACTGGGCAATTGTTGCAGCACATGTATGAAACCTTGAAGGTTTACTCTTGGTATTGTTATACCCCCCCCATTGCTGATAATAACCTAGCTGTTCTCAATCGCATTTTCCGTGTGCAATATTATGTGTAAGTTTCAGGACAATGGAATGAGCCGCCATAGAAAGACTTCGCTGACGGCCCCTAGCTGTAAAGCATGGATTCGGCAATCACACTTGGGAGGTGCCAAAGCCCGAAAGAATTCAGGCGTTGAAGGTGAGAGCCTACAGCATACCATTCCCTCTCGCCTCCGTGGCCTGCTCTAATCTTTTTTGATTTGCTCCTTTTGCGTCGGGTGCTATGGTTATATACAAGGGCTTACGTGAGATGCAGTGGTCACTCATAGTGCAAGTGATATACAAAATCGTCATCTCGCTCACCAAGGTTGCAATCTTGCTACTCTACCTGCGACTCTTCTCTGTGCAAAAGGTTTTTCGCTGGCTATGTTACGCTCTCATTGCATTAACTGTTTTGTCGGGTATTGCGTACACGCCTCTAACAATCTGGCAATGCTCGCCGGTACAAGCCTTTTGGGATCGTTCCATTCCACACCAGTGTATCGGAAATCAGCACTGGCGACTGTCGTATTCAGTGATAAACATAGGCACTGACTTTTTAATTCTGTTTCTCCCGATACAACGGATTTTTTGCCTCCAGCTAGAACGAAGGGATAAGATTGCGTTGATTTTTATCTTTTCTTTGGGTGCATTGTAAGTTTTGCCCTTCCGATGCATGTGTGAAACCCACAAAATTAACCGGGCTCCTCTAGTGTGTGCATCATAAGTGTTATCCGAGTGACAACCATTCGCAGGGTTGGCAAGCGGAAGGACCCGTTGTGTCAGTCAAGCTACCACCGATCCCTGTTTCGGCTGTCTTATATTCTAACCGACTCAACTCCAGGGAACACATTTCCACTCGGCTTGTGGAGTGTTGTTGAAGTCAACACGGGCATTGTCTGCGCCTGCATGCCTATGATTCGCCAGTCACTTTCCGTACTGTTTCCGAAGCTATTTTCACGCAATAGAACTCGCCCTAGCGGCCGTTCCTTGAGCAAATCTGCCAGCCACAGGTCCTACGGGCTGACAAACGGTGGGTCGACAATGCCTACTGCTGCCATATGTTGGACCAAGCATGAAGAAGAGAATATTTATATGGCGTCTATAAAACCAGGGAGAGAATCGCCAATTTTCCGGACAGAGAGTGAAGAGAGGATTATTGGGCCCGAAAATGCTGATCCGAATGATATGCGGATATTTCAGCGGACGGAAATATCAATAATTGACTCGAGTAGAGCATAGTAATGATTGATTGTTGTGTTTTGACGTTTAGGGAACTGAGAAGTTCAACGCTTTCACGATATTTTTGTATATGTTCGATATCTAGGAATGGCTTGTTTCTCAATTTATATACTGGCGCCAAGTGGTTCCTGTGTTACGCTGTGGTGGTTTCAGCAGGAAGGAGAGTATAAATGACTGTTAATCAGCTCATGAGATAACCACTAGTCAGTCTTTCCTCTCTCTTCAACCGCCACCAAGGTAGGATGTTTTGTTTTCAAGTGTTGATTCAAATTCCACGTCCTAGAAAAGCCCTGCTTATGACGTTTACATTCTTCCACCGGACAGAATACTGCATGTTCTTTTGGCCTATCAATATATTTTGGGACCGGCGTATCGTCATCGACCATTGCTGCGTCATTCTCTTTGCTATCTTCAACGTACTTCCAGGACGCTGACCCGTCCTTGTCCTGTTCAAGCTCCACTTTGCCTTCCTCCAGAGTTTGGAACAGCATATCCTGACCAAAGAGGTCTGCACAGCGCCGCGCGGTGCGCATCACGGCTGGATTAGGCCATCCCGCCAGCGATGCAATCCCTAGAACATCACTCCAGTCTCGGAGTCCCAACCGGATCTTTCGTGGATCGCTACGTTTTAATCGTTTTCTGCTCTTTGGAGGGGTAGGCGAGGGGCCCGACCCATCTCCATCAGCATGGGAGCTATTTGGGTGAGAAGCCGTTCGTTTACGCTTTCTTCCTTCATAGAGTGGGGTCGGGGTTCCCTTCGTATTTTCGTCTCCAGTTTCGTCTCCAGACTGAGCCATATCAGTAGCTGTAAGATAAGCTCTCCGGGCATGGTAAAGGTTCAAGAATAGATCGTCAAGCTTGCTAATAATGTGACGAGCTTCCGGGCGCATAATCCGTTTTGATTCCTCATCGTCAGCTTGTACCACCGGGCGGAGGGTTCCCGCAATGCTTGTTGGATGACCTCTTTCATCATCTTTTTCTGATGGCATGGCTTCGCTATCAGAGCCGGGATTGGTGTCCTTTCCTCGATAGCAAGCCGATTTCTGGAACCATTCCCGGTATTCAAATCTTTCCTTTGCGAATTTCATCATTTGGGCCATAAGACAGTCCTCCAACTCTGCACTTGGCCGCGAATCGATTTCGCCCCGTAAGGTCCAGTCTTCATCCTCGTCTCTTATCACCTTTTCCACAGTCCTGGGTACAATTTCTGCAGGCAAGGGCCACGCAGTCCACGTCCTACTAGGCGCAAATATAGAGAGCAGGTCTTCACGGTAAATCTCGTTTGCATTGTCGATGCGATCTTCTTCCTTGTTGTTTTGAGATCGTTCCACTCTTACTTTCTTTGCTCTTCTCTTCAGCTCAAAAGCATTATAAAGATGCAGTGATAGGTCTCTTGCACGTATAGTTTCTAGAGCGGTCACTTCCTGTCTTTCACTCTTGGTCCACGAGAGCCAGGACCGTCGTGAACCTTCGAATCTGTTTGGCCTTTCAAGAGAGTCACCCTCGGATGACAACGAAGTTTCTTCATCGCTGTTCCCTGACCAATCCTGAGGTTTGCTGTGTACTTCGCGTTCTTCGACAAAGACATTGACCTCGTTGTCATAGTTTTCATAGTCTAAATCATCAGGATCATCTTGCTCGGGGGGAAACAGAGACTGCAATGGAGCATCCTGAGCATCCTGAGTATCTAAGATGATTTGTTCTTCTTGGGTACCGCATGACATTATCGGAAGCTGAGTTGTTCTTCGTGGCCGGGAGTAGGGAGCTCACACGAAGATGAATTAGGCGGGCGATCAAAGCTGTTGCACACAGTCACAGCTAGTGAGTCAATGCAAGCATATTCGTGGAATCTGCAAAGCAAGTTTTTTTTTTTTCCGATCACTATAAAACGGCCCCTTGTCTTCCCAGATAATTGCCCCGTGATAACTCCCGGCGATCGAGGACGGGGATCGAGGAAAAAAGTGCCGAGACTCTTGTTAAGACTAGCGCAAACCCTAAATAAAGCTTTAAGTCATGTGATGGGGGGGCTGTTTTTTGTCGACCTCAGTTTGCCAGAGGTTCACTTCTAATATCTAGAAAACAAATGGAAGCTGGAATTAATCGAGGGCATTGTCACGGACGGAGTATTTACGAAGGGAACGGCATTTCGATCCTGCGGAGACATACGGAGTACAATTACTTCCATTGACCAAACCACTAATGACGCCTCAACGAGCTTTTCTAATCTGGAAGAGCAACTATGTAATCCGAATCCGAGGTATCATAAACTAGATTCCTCAGACACTTCTTTATCGGCCTTTCGTTCCCTGTTCAATCTTTCGCCTCTTCCGCCTTAGCTTCTCTGCTTCTTCATCCTTTTTCTTGTTAGAGTACAACATCTTGTCGAGCAGCTTCCGCTTCTTGCGACTCATCATCATCTTTTGACGCTCAAGTTCTTCCTGTTCCTTCTTCTTCTGAGCTGCATGTTTCTTAGCCAGGGGTTTCTGTTTCTTTGATTTTTTAGAAGAAGTTCCAGTGCCGTCTGCCCCTGTGAATGGAAGTCCTGCGGCTTCAGCTTCAAGTTCCATTTGGTGTTGATTCCGTGCGGCTTCCTCGTCGTCCTCTGACTCAGACTGAACATCCGCCGCTTCATCCGAGCCACCAAGCTCTCGAAGCGCATTGTCCTCTTCACTTTCCTCCTCCTCGTCATCAGAGCCGGGGATATCCACATCCATACCACCATCAACAGATTCTTCATCCGACTCGCCAGCCTCCGAATTTTCTGTTTCCACCATCTCCTTGTCCATGGAGAGGCCTTCGACCTCAGACTCTTCTTCCTCATTCTCCTCTTCAGCTTGTCTTTCGGCCTCGCCATCACTTTCTTGTTCTGCTAAACTGAGACGAGGATCGTATCCCCCCTTAGAAGCTTTGACCCAAGGACTGAGATGTGGAGGAAGCGTGGCACCGGGAGCATAAAGATCGTGTCTTAAAAGCTTGCCTTCATTTACACAGTCCCAAACCCACTGCGGTTGTATGTACATTCTGCCGGGCATCCTTGTTCCAGGTCGTACTCTCGGCGCCTTTTCGGCCCCTTCGCCGGGATTTTGGGGCAAAGGGGGGAGAGCAGACTCAGGAAGAGGGGGCCTGTCGACGATTTGATGTGTTATTCGAGGGTCTGTTTCGTCATGTGTGAAGGCTCCTTCACCTAGGACCGCATCCCAGCCAACTCGCTTGCATCCGAATGCTCTCAGCAAAAATTCCAAAGGTCCCCGTGGTGCTTCTCTAGAGATGAAGAAAGTGAAAGAAGCGAACAAAGAAGCCACCTCATTCCCACTCATTTGTGGCTGTGGCAGAGTATCAGCCTCTGGCGCTGTTGTTTCGAACTTATCGATTGCATCGACGTTATCCTCCACATCGACCGCTTCATCATCAGGCTCATTGTTGCGGGTCGTTTCCTTGAGAATATTATCAACTTTGGCCTGAATGTCATTCGCAGCTGAATCACTTTTCGCTAGCTGTCCATTTGTTTGCGGCTCGGATGATATAGCCTTCTGCATTTCACCAACTTTTCTGCCCTCGAGGGTGAAAGCGGCCAGCTCGGCACCGCGTTCATCGCTCCTCGAGTCAAACTTTGGAGGGTATACCAATCCAATCGAAGTGTATAGACGGAAATTAACGAAGCCGAGAAGCGTGGTGTAAAACTCAACAAACGTAGCCATAATTCTGTAATCCACATCCCCCGTGACTTGTTGAACGAATCGATACGGTACCAGCCACAAAATATCCTGCCCTTGAATTGTCGCCTGATAATATATGCCCTTAATGGACAAGAAGGATTTTCTGAGGGAATTTGTGGCGATAAGATAGTGTTGGAACTCGTGGCATAGTCGCTGGCACAAGGCAATTGTTTTGGGTGGGACATTGGCCGTCGAAGGTAAGTTAGCGAACAGGAAGAGCAACGATAAAGCATCGTCGAGATCCCGGAGAGCATCGATGAAAGTTGGATAGCGTTCTTTCACAATATGATCTAGCGTGATTTTCGGAGCATTGTTCTTTTCCAACCGAGCAGCATCGCCCACATCTCCACGTCCTAGGGACCTGGCAATCTTTTTTGAAAGAGCCTTTTGGTCCCTAAACCTCTTGAGAAGAGGTTCGTGGAGCAAATATTGAATATCTCGCGTGTAGTAGAATGTCGTGCTCGGGGTCGACGTTTTGGATGCTTTCTTCTTGTTTCGCGGCTCGCGAGGATAGATACCTGCAATCCAAATCCTTAACTACATCCCACCAAATGTCTCATCCGAAATCTACCCACCTTTAAAGATACATAGTCGGCGGAAGTCAGGTAGTGAGATCTGAAGCTTGCGCACCGCTTGAGTTCTGGTGATATAATTTTTGGCCGCTCCGGAGGTTCCTGTGATACAGTTAGCTATCAACATCCGCCCCAAAAAAAATAACAGCCAGATGCGACAATACCCTTCTTTTTTATTTTCGCCATTTTAGCAACTTGAAAAGGCGACGGAAGCCTTGAGTGCTACAACAACCGGTGAAAATGCACGATGCGCAATGGACGGCCACGGCGAAATAAATTTTTGGAAAAGCTTTTGGTGGCCCGTGCCCTGCCAAGCCCTTTGCTGCTAGCCAGGTATCGCCGGATCAACATTGACGGAGATCATCATCAGCGAGCGGCATGAGATCGCGACGCTTGAAGAACTGAACAATGCCGGTCGACAGGAGAAAGGTTTGGGTATTTGGGAGTGCTTTTCTTCTGCGACTCCTCCTCATTGTCTTTTTCCCCGGCCTCCCCGATCTTCTTACAGGTCGGGTTGAAGTTTCAACTCCAGTGAGCAGCTTCAAGAGGTGTAAGCCTAAGATGCTCCGTGAAGCGCAAAGAATTGCCGTTGACGCATTCGCATTGTAGTACAAGAAGGCCTTTTTCTATATAAACGCAATGTCTCCCCTTATGACGGCGGTGTTTTTCACCAGGTATCTCGACCCTCCATATTCTGTACCCATAGGAGCTAACTCAAGCTTGCACGCCAGGCACCCATCCTCCTCCCAATCTTTTCGCTGCTGCCTGAGCCTCGCGATTACCAGCTTGTGACTGGACTCGTGTATATTGTTCTCGATCTTCTGAACGCCAATGCTTTAGGACGTATTGCCAATTCAGACGAAGCTGTTGCTCCGAGGTTGTACACCTCTCCAAGGAAGCATATAAGATGGGATGGGACGGCAATTGCTGCTGGGTATGCTCCTATTTTGCGCACTCTACAAGGCGACTTACTGATTTGCTCTCACAGATATCTGTTTAATCCATTCACGATCGCGTCCTGCCTCGGTCGCTCCACGAACGCGTTTACTAACTCCGCGATTATTTCTTCTATCTCTAACGCCATCGCCGGCAATAGCTTCAACTCGATGCTGGCTTTGGGATTGGCTTCCTACATGTCACTCTACCCGGCACTCCTCTTCCCACCAATGGCCCTACTTTGCTACGATCGATACGTCAGGAATGGAAAGGCCACTAAAGGGGCTATTTCATATTCGTTAGAACGACTCTCAATCCTTGGCGGAAGTATCGGAGTCCTCTTATACATTTCGTATCTTATCGTCGGCCAGTCGTGGGAGTTTATATCTGCAACATACGGCGTGCAACTTCTGGTTCCAGATCTCACCCCTAATGCTGGGCTCTGGTGGTATTTCCTTATCGAAATCTTCGACCCTTTCAGGGAATTTTTCTTAGGAGTGTTCTGGTTGCATTTGTCTGCATACGTCGGTGGTTTGACTGTTCGCATCCGGCGCCAACCATTATTTGTTATCACTACTCTTTTCGGAATTTTCGCTATCTTTAAACCCTATCCCAGCATCTCGGACGTTTCGATCTATTTTGCGTTCCTGCCGCTCTACCGACACATATTTCCTCGTAAGTATTATCTTCTCTGTCAACCTTGCATTGCTAATCGATTAAAGTTATGCGATATACGTTTTTCGCGGTTTCCGCCCTGTTGTATGCAAGCCTCTTGGGTCCAATATTTCACCATCTTTGGATCTACGCGGGGTCGGGGAACGCAAATTTTTTCTATGCGATAACACTTGTATGGAGCCTGGGGCTTTCGATCGTCGTGGCCGATTCCCTCTTCGCGGTATTGAGAGATGAATGGGAGCAAGAGAGGCCCGAGATGAGAGGAAAGGACGCGAGGCAGATTTAGATGTCTCGCGGTTTGGCTTAATATAGTGTTCTTAGGCAGACTTTCCGATCGCTTTTTCCTCGTTAGTCCTTGAGCGGTTTGGAAAACACCATATAATCGAAGTCTTTCACATGGCCATTTCTCAGTTTCATAGGTCTGGGAGAGAACTCGTCCTCAGCATATCCCAGTCGCTCATAAAATTTTATTCCGGACTTGTTTGACTTGTATACCGTCAACATTGCCTTTTCAAGCCCAATGTTTTGGCCAATGTCCTCATATATGCGCATCAGCTGCTTCCCAACACCCTTATGCTGGAGTCTCGGTGTCAGATGAATTTCATAGCAATAAAGGACTGGTAACCCGTCCTCATATGTGGTCATAAATGAGAGCATTCCTCCAAGATCACTATCCTCCACAGATTGCTCCTGAACTTCCGAGGTCTGGCCTTCATTTTTCTTACGAAGCAGTAACATGTAGCGCATATCGACGAGTTTCATTTCAACCTTCTTTTTCGCCGGAGACCATCCGTTGCGTGAATTCTTATATGCCTCAGCACTGGTGAATTTGATCAACGCAAAGCATGCGTCGAAATAGTGCTTTGGGAGGGTAGATGATGTGTGTATTTCAACGGAATACTCTTCGTGTGGTTCATCCTCCACTTTGCCGACCGCGTTTGTTACCTGGGCGTCGGTTTTGGGAGAACACTGCACTCGTATAGTGTGTCCCAGGACATTGGGAGGAACATAACGGTTGATAAATTCGTCTAGTGATAGGGAGTTGATGGTTTCCACGAGACAGGGCTTTTTTGCTCGTCGTGGTCCTGCATTCGTTATTAGTATTCCACGGCGGCCTTTAGGCATGGACAGGAACACACTTTTAGTCGTAAAGGCTCCGTTCATTTTCCTTGGGGTACACGGTTTATCTATATCTAGACTGTCAGCAGAAGCCGAATGGCAAATATCCTCCTGGTATTTTCGCTTTCGCGTTGACAACCTGGCCTCATTCTGTGGAGTGATGTCAGACCCTGCGGCAAGGGCCATGATGCTGAATAATGTGTGCGCGTTGGCTCGATGTGATGTCGATCGCATGCTAGGCCTTGAATATGAAGAAATCATTCAATTGTACTGAACCTGGAGGAGCTTTTCAGAATAATTCTTCTTCCGCAACACACGCAGTGGCCGAACTTAAGCTCAAACGAAAGTAGAGTTCGCGTCACGCGTCTTAAACTGCAAGAATAAAGTTCTGTCAAATCCAGCAAACTCCGCCCAAGCACTTCCAGAACGTTTTAGCTTTCCATAGGGTCACGTACTCTTGGGATCATACTCCGTACATCAGTAGTCGAATCTCGTGGGACAATTGACGACAGTTCGCTATGGTGGGCGCAGAGATTTTATATTCGAGGCATTGTAGATAATTTCCAGTTCCTCATGCGCGGAGCAAGTTTCCTTTCCGCAGCTGTGGCGAGACCGTCCCGGTTAAGAAAGCCAGCAGTAAGCTTAGAACATGTCTGACACTCCTAATCTATTGCACCTTTTAGGCCTAAAATCCACTGTGCTAATTGCCCATTGAGGTACAGTTTATTCAGCGACAGCGCGCGCTTAAGCTATGGCGGGATATAGTACGGGGCATCAACAGTGTGTCTCCCCAAGGTCCTACAGAACATTCTAATCTGTGTTAAGAAATTCCCCCCTCTACGACCAGAGATGAGCTACGGGTGTTCGCCCGCCAGGAATTTGAACGTAATAAGAATGTAAGAGACTTGGTAGGTATGCCGTGCTTTGTGCAATTTCTTCCGAGCTAACTGGGCAATAGGCACACATCAGGTATCTTATATCGGTATGCTGATACTACACACTCTTAAGGAATGGAAGCGTCCCGGCTGACAGTGGAAATGTAGACGGGAAAGACGGAGTTTGACGCGATGAGACGATATATCGACGAGCAATCTTCGTGATTATCCCTATTATTAGCCTCGAGGAAAAGCAACACTGGGAAAACTGAAACGCCAGCAAGGTTAAGCGGTTCCAAGCGCAACCTTCAATATGGGCGACCATGCCAATCTAAAAGAGATGGAATAGCGTCCAAAGTGAAAGAGAAGAATTTTTACCCATGTCATACCAACGCCTACCCAATGATGTATAATGTACAGTTACTCGGGGAATATATCCAACCAAAGAATGAAAATCATTTCTCCTTCACCAAGTTCTTGACAGCATCAAGGACTCCAACATTTGACTTCGCGTCTCCCTCTTGATTCCCGGCCGACTCTCCCGCAAGTCCTTTGGACACATCTTTCGGCTTCATCCCAGCTTCTTTTGCCGCCCTTTCGACGGCAGCATGTCTCTCTCTCCAATCTCTATCTTCCTGATCTCTGATCTCCAGTTCTCTCAACCACGCATCACGCTTAGCCTGGCTCTTCTTCTCCTCCATTGCCCGTTCTAGCTCTTTTCGCTGCGCCCGCTCTGACTTGTAGTATATCCCACCAACGACGACAGCGACGAGCGTGAATGCTTGCGCGTAGATACGATAGCGGAACATGCGATTGAGCTGATCAGAGTCGCCGGCCTTCATCGACTTGTATGCTCGCCACAAGGCATAACTAGTGGCAGCACATCCTACAGACGTTTTGAACGATCGCCATGATTAGTCCATTGGAGTAAAAGATGTGAATCGGGGACCATCAGAAGAAGGACAACCGGGGCGAGGCATGGGAACGATACCTAAAGGGATGAGAGGCTCTTCTCGCAATCGCCGTCTTAGCTTCACCCACGGATTCTCCTCGAAGAACTCGCTGTCCAATCAAAGTCAATTGTTGGTCGGCTTCCGCAAACAGAGATGTGATGGGAACATACGGGTCTGAGTCAAAAGATGACGGCAGAGGCTTGTCGCTCATGCTGAAAAGAAAGGTATGTGTGTACAATCGATAATCAAAGCTGGGGAAGAATGCTCGTTTTCTGTGTGTTGTGTGCTCTGTTGCAAAATATTTAACGGGATCGGGGACCAGAGAGTTTAGGTGCGGGCGGCGGCGAGGTTGTCGCGGAAGCCCAGTTCGAAAAGCTTGATGTGGGGGCCACGGTCCAATTAACCAGGGAGAGCACGACGCCTTGTAGTTTGTATGTACGGAGTACGGAGTATGTATGTCTATAATTTTTGAGATGAGGGAAAATTAGACATACAATCCAATTAACTATGTATGGTGTGCCAAAATACCATGATAGTTACCAGTTAGAAGATCATCTCTAGCTAGTTACTGCGTGGTTATTTACTAACCAACTAAGTAACTACCCCGTACTCCGTACTTCGTAGTGAGTGCATTCCCGGCAGTCAAATCGGGTTAACCACGTACTTTAACAGAACAAGGCGATCTGTATCCCCGACTAGTATTTCTCCAAATGCCTTTGGGATTTCTCTTCTTGTGGGAGAAGCCTGATTTACTTGGGCGAACCCTTTTGGGCCTTGGCTTCCACTTATACAGCATCTGATCTTGGGCTTCCGGCTTCATTGGTCAACTTGGCGGTTGTCCCGTCGGAAATGTTGTCTAGCAGCCCCCCGGAGCTAGCGTAACACCTGCCAGTCACAGGAGGATGACTGAACATACTGTCCAGACGCACTCGACTATAGGGCTAAAACGCGCAGTTGTTCACAATTGAAAGCCGAGCTATTCATTGTACTGGGTTGAGTAACCATGGCGCGGTTGATCCAATTGCTGAACCATTGCTTATATTCCCGGAATTCAGTTTTCTAGGACACTCGAGCAGGAACGGGATTGGCTAGCATGCCTTCGATAAATGGTAAATCGGGGTGTTTATTCGCAAGTTTCTTCGCCGTCCTCAGGTCATGCGTACCAATTCCGAGCGGTCTCTAATTCTATCGTTACTACGGAGTATAAGGTAGTTCACCACTAAACAAGCCACACCACTAAACGAGCCAAATTTCGCCAAATGCTCCATGCAATGAATTTATTAAATATCTCAACAACCAGATCTTTATTATTAAATAGCTATTAAATATTAAATGAATGTGTTCTTTGAAGCATAGAAATTAGTGTAGTTAGGAAAATAAATGGGTGGACAGCCTAATATTGCAGCCAGAGTGAGAGATTTGGGGGTTAGATAGAAAAGAATTCAAAGGAATGTCAACAGTAGATTTCTCAGCTAGAGAGCCTAATATCTTGCTAGAGAGGCTTGTAGAGCTCTTACTTCTTCTTTTGGAAGATTGTATAGGCTCTCTGTAATGAGACTTTTTAGTAGAAGAGTCCTTCTGACAGTGCTTTGAAGCTGGTGCTTGAAGTCCTGACTGCTGGTGTTTAGTAGCATGTTCAATCATCTGTTTTTCCTTCTCTGCTAGTTATAAAGTCTTCTTCTTCTCATAAGCAACATGTTGTGCCTCTCTTTGTCTAGCATGTTTGATTTTTTTGATCTCTTGTTGCTTGCAGGCCTTTTTATGAGCATTCTTCTGTTCAATCTGTCTTTCTTTAATATCTCTAGCAGCCTGCTTCTTTTGAAGCTTCTGTTGAAGCTTTATCTCTTGTGTTTGAGCAATTTTATCAGCTTTTTCAGCCTCTATTTTATCCAGGCACTCACATGTCTTAAGAACTTTTGTTGAAAATCAGAACTGTACAAAAAATTCATCATTGCTCTAATCATTTGTTAAAGCTGCAAAGTAGGCTATCTGGAGATCTTATAATTTGCTCTGGTAAATAAGAGCTGAAGATAGTGTAATTCCTTTAGCAGAGACTAAGCAGAGCAATAAGAGGAATTTCTAACTATCATTCTGGATGGCAGTATTCTTTCCAGCTTGTAGAACTTCAATAGAGACTAATTGCTTTAAGGCATGACAGGAGTCTAGAAGAAATCCTTTTTTATTAAAGTTGTAGATATTTAAGAGCTCAAGATTATATTAATTAATTTTCTGCTTCAACTGTAGTTAACTAGTTAGGCAGTGTCAATAACTGCAATTACAATTAATCAAATAAATCATCAAATTACAAGCATATAGAAGTGCTTAAAGTACTGATAGTTATCTGCTATCTGTCTATTTTGATTAATTACTTTGAGATAAATGCATTTGATCTTGTTGTTATGCTGCTTGTGAAATTAATTAATTCAGTTGATTCCAATATTCTCTCCTGTCATCTCTTGTACAATATTTCATAGGATCTGAGATGTAATGGCAAGACTGTGGCTAGAGAGCTTGTTTATATAATTCAGAAGCTCTGTCTCCTGTATATCAGAGAGCTTTTTCTTATATCAGAAGGCTGCTTCATCCTGAGCAAGTTGCAAGTCTTTATGTTATTGGTGCAGGGTCTCTTGATTAACTGAGTACTTTCTCACAGTTGCAGCATAATTTGAGGTCTCTTGTGATTCAAGATCTTCAATTGCAAGCCTAATTGAGGTGTTGTTGACCATATTGTTGCATATTGAATGTTGAATGTTGAAGGAATTTGGTGGTGGAAGATTTGGCTTGTTTAGTGGTGTGGCTCGTTTAGTGGTGAACTACCTTATGGGATACGGGACACCTCCCGATGCCTTCAAGTCGAAGTAATCACTTCCCATCTCAATGAGGAAACTCGATATTAAGGCCAACTCCAGATATAGAAACCAGGAAACAGGGTTTCCATGGCTTGGATTCACCGCGGAGAAATACTTTGTACCCACAACCTGGAATTATATAGGAAAGAAAAGAAGGTTAAATAAAGTGAACTGTCATTTCTGGGGCTCAGACTTCTCGTGTCCTGATCCACAATAACACATGATGTTTCGCTTGTTTCAAGGATAACTACCTATGGTTACATCTGCAAGGACTGTGAATAAGGAATTGTTCACCTCACGCAAGGCTAGGCAAAGGAGAGATTACATCTTCTTCAAGCTGTGATCATTCAAATCAATGGCGCACATGATCTCAAGCAGTAACTCAAAGAATAGATGGGATTCAATTGCTGGGCCCCGTCATCAAAGATAGACCACCGCATCTGGACTTGGGCAAAGGAAAATATGATACGGATGCGAGCAAGGCCTGTCGAAGAAGCTGCTAGTCTTCATTATACAGTTCTCTTAATACTGCTATGAGATTACTACCCCTTTATGAAGAGTTAACTATCTGGCTAAAAAGGATAGTGTACTCCGTACATACATTGGCCTTCCACTGCTTCAATGGCTTTGTCTGGTGGAGTCCGGGTCGACGAAATTAATCACGCAAACCCATCCAGTTGCCGAGTATTCTCATGAAATGGAGTAGTTACATATGTTTGAGCCTGAAAGTCTAAAGATGCCACAGAGCTGTCAGTTGCAAGTGAGGTTGAAAAAGAATGCTCACTTGACTCCTGATTGCATACACACTCTCTAACTAAGTACGGAGTACTCCGTAGTTAGCTAACTTTTCTGCAGTGGAAGGCCTAGAGCCAGCAATAGTGGCTGTTCTTGTGATGGTGTACCCTTCGGGGGCGCGAGCATGGCTGAGATGCGAGCATGATGATGTTCACGATGCCAGCCATGTTGCACCCTTCCCCCCACCACCCGGAAGCAATCGGTGCAGCTCAATTGGCCAACAGGCGCCCCTTCGGCACTTTCTACGGTTTGGCACAGGGGCCAGGCCCGACCCGGCTGCAGCCCGACATTAGGTAATCGCAGCGAAGCTTCAAAAATGTGGAAAACCACAGCCCACCGAGTCCAAGTCATCGGCTCATGAAGCTCTGGTCTCAGTTGACTGGCACATGTATATAGATACGCCGTACTCTGTATATATACTGCCAATCCCTCCCGCCGCTCTCCGGCGGACGAGCTTACGGCTTGGTCCCGAAGCTATCTCTCACATCGCACCCAATGGCCGGCGTCACTACCACAAACGGGGCCTCAAGGCCCAGCACCCCTGCATTCAGCAGCTTGTCCTTGACTGAGTATACCGCAAATCCCACCCCCCCTTCCGAAAAATGCGTCCACCAGCCAGACTGGGATATCCCTGACAGCCTTCTACTGCCCAATGGCTATCCAGATGTACTCTTCTTCTCGAGTCCGTGAAGTAGGTGAATTTCTTGGCTGATCGGATATAGTACTTACGACTCATCCTGACCTCCCGAGTCTACGATGTTATCAAAGAATCACCCCTCACCCATGCGGTGAACATTAGTAACCGCCTAGAGTGCAGAGTTTCATTAAAAAGAGAAGATCTGCTGCCGGTCTTTAGCTTCAAGCTCCGCGGCGCATATAACAAGATGGCCCATTTAAGCGATGAACGGCGATGGAAGGGAGTTATTGCATGCTCAGCAGGTAAACCATTGTCCATATTTCCTCTACTATTCTGTTCTTTCAAGCATTAATGCTGTATAGGGAACCATGCTCAAGGTGTTGCGTTCTCCGCCAGGCATCTGAAAATCCCAGCAACAATCGTGATGCCATCTTGCACCCCAGCTATAAAGCACAAAAACGTCTCAAGATTGGGGGGAAATGTGGTGCTCCACGGATCAGATTTCGATGCGTCAAAGGAGGAAGCTCACAGGTTGGCTAAACTCCATGGCCTTACGAATATCCCGCCCTTTGACGACCCATATGTGATTGCCGGACAGGGAACCTGCGGCATGGAACTTTTACGCCAAGCAAACGTGCAGAACCTAGAAGCAGTGTTTTGCTGCGTCGGTGGAGGTGGCCTCATCGCCGGTGTTGGAGTTTATATCAAGCGCATTGCACCTCACGTCAAAGTAGTTGGCGTCGAAACATGTGATGCAAATGCCATGGCACAGTCGTTGGAAACAGGCAAACGAGTCACCTTGAAAGATGTTGGTTTATTCGCCGATGGCGCTGCGGTCAAAATCGTTGGCGAGGAGACGTTCCGTCTTTGCCGAGAGGTTGTAGACGAAGTGATTCAGGTTACAACCGATGAAACATGCGCCGCAATCAAGGATATTTTTGAGGACACCCGGTCGGTCGTGGAACCAGCCGGTGCCCTTGCTCTTGCCGGGCTTAAGAAATACGTCGCTAAATACCCGTCATCGAACCCTAATCGTGAGCTGATCGCTGTTGCGTCCGGAGCCAATATGAACTTTGACAGGCTGCGGTTCGTTGCAGAGAGAGCTGCACTAGGCGAGAAAAAGGAGGCCTTACTGAGCGTCACTATTACAGAACAGCCGGGCTCGTTCGCGAAATTGGTTGAGATTATTATGCCGCATGACATTACAGAATTTAGCTATCGCTGTGCCACAACAAGCTCTGCAGACATCTTAATGGGCATATCCCTTTCTGCGTCAACGGGGATGGCTGATCTCGCCGATCTGAAGTTACAGATCGAAAGGGACGGAATGAGCGTAACTGAGGTAACCGATGATGAACTGGCCAAAACACACATTAGATATTTGGTTGGCGGAAGAAGTAACGTCTCAGATGAACGCGTTTTCATGTTTGAATTCCCAGAACGACCAGGAGCGTTGGCCAGGTTTCTTACAACACTTCGCCCGCATCAGAACATCACTCTATTTCACTACCGCAACTATGGCGGGGATGTTGCAAATATCCTTGCCGCTGTCCAGTGCCCACCGGACGAGGCACAGGAGGTTGAATCATTTCTTCGAGACCTGGGCTACCCCTTTAAAGATTGCACCGGCTCGCCAGTATATCAAAGGTTTCTGAGAAACCATTGATATCATACTTATCGCAAAATATGACCCATTGGCTTTATCTTAATTGTGTTGCAACATCTGATATGACAGGGATGATTTTGGCAAATTCCAACTTGACCTTCTTGGTATGGCGTTGGCTGGAGGCATGTCGTACTTTGATATGCCAGCGGAAAAATAGAAGCGGACTAACCAAACGGTGCGGTCTCCTCTCCTTCTTTCAACCGAGATCACCAATAGCATGGATAGTCGAGGGAGTTACCGGTAATTCAGAGCAGCATTTTTCATTTAACTCCAACTTGTTCAGGGACCTCGTCCTAAGTATTTGTTGACTGCATCATATGTGCGCAGCCCTCGCGTATGTCGGTCCAGATATTGACATACCCGCCTAGACTTAAAAATGAGAAGTCCTCTCAGTAATCCCATAGCCATACAGTACCAACGATACCAGTGCCTCCTCTTCTTGGGATGACCTACAAATAATCCAAAAAAAATAAAAATAAAAAATAAAATTCTCATTTGTGTATAATCTCCCATCACGCGCCGAATCCGCTATTATTTCAGACCGTGTAAATGAGCCCGCGAGCGATGGAACTAGGTTTCTACTTCGTTTCGGAATAAGCTGGAGGGGGATCTGGCATGCTCGACTGCAAGGGAACATGATCGCTCGAACCACGCCTTCTGCGGCGTAGGAAAAGTACAACTGCAGCGGCAAGCCCAATCATTCCTACGGGCACACCAATTCCAATGCCGGCCTTGGCGCCTTTTGATAGAGGCTTTTTCGGGGGCGGCAGGTTCAACGAATCCGTGGGGATGGGGACAACAGAGCTGTCGGTTGCCTGGAATCGAACCTGGATTGGGGTCGCAAACACTAGGTATTCGGATTGCACTCTGGTCGTTGAACCGGTGGTGTGTGTGGTCACCGCCGTGGGGGTGTTCAGCTGGCTCAGACAGAATGGGTACTCGACGTTGTCTGGGCAGTCGAAATACCTGATTATTGAGCAATGATTGGTGAGAAAAGGGATCTCAGCTCGCACGTCAACAGAGTCTCACCTCGGGCAGCAGAAAACGGTCGTTTCATGTCTTTGTCTTGTGGTCGGTAGCGTGCAGACTCGATTGCCTGAGGGACACATCCCGGGGCTGAAGTACCGGTTGCTCGCCCATCCCTCTGGACAGCATTCATTGCCGCTTGGGCCTTCACAGCCCAACTCAAGGTCAATACCCCTCTTTGTACGGATTTCCTCGAAGCATTTCGATGGAGCACTAAACTGGGTGGTAAGAGGCCCGATAAGGGTTCGGACTGTATCTGGGGGGGGCTCCGTCGTTTTTCTCGAGTGAACGGTCACCGTGAAGAAGAGGACAAGACACCAGAGATATTGCATCATGAAGGGTACAAAGATTTCTTGCTTGAACGCTGACGACGGTCGTATCCGCGCAAAGAATGTCAGCGCTGCATTTCAGGTGAATCCAGCTGAGTGGATTGCAAAGTGCGGGATGCACGGATTCCAAGTGCATTCCAAATATCCATATGGGGTACTCCGTAAGGCGGTGGGCTTTCTCCTCGACGTGGAGTCATCACCGCTAGGTTGAAGAGCCCGGCTTTTAGTTAGTTAACTAATATGGGCCTCCGCACCAATAAAGCAGCCAGTCATGAATCCTCCCCACCCCTGCCTTGGGTCTGTTGCTCGATAGAACTGGACTTATGTAGCATAACTGATTGTGCATTGCAAGGGTCGTCTGGGACGCATTTGTCATACGGAGTAACTGCTCCGTACTTTGTTTGAACACGGGTGGATCCACAAAGACGGGCCACAAGAAGAGGGTCTCAGGTATCTCAAAGCGCTTGCGGCTCTGAGCTCTCTGTGCGAGGGGTCTCAAATGCTCCCAGGATCTCTCCGTACACCGTGTAATCATTTCTCACGTTCCTGGTTCACAATGGATCTAGAAAATTAGCAGTTAACCGATCCATTCTAGTGTCAAAGCATAGTTGATGATCTTTGACTTTGTACTCTATGGCTTTATTACCAATTAGTGAGAGACGGGGTATTTGGAAGGAGAGAAATGGGTGCGGCACATATAAGCCAATGGACATTTCTGGCTTTTTATGAGCTCTTCTCCGTATCGGTGGCTATTCTATTAGTGGCTCCTACCATCCAATCGACCTGCAGAAAGGGATCGCGAAATAGAAGACGGTACAAGAGTCAACTGCAAAGAAAACGGGCACAAAGGGGACCCGTAGGCTCGTTCTCGACCATTTAGGCAGTTTAAGGGGTCAATTCCCTTCGCTTTCCTCCCTGATGAGAGTTCCGAGGAGGATTTGGTGATATAAAAAAGATCTTTGTGGTGGGATGGCATGTAGCGCTGGGTATTCATGGCGGGTACGCCGGCTCTTTCTTTTCATTTCGGGGACTTATACGCAAGTATTTGCTTTCCGGGAGAATGTCTTTATCCATCATCTTGACTGTCTCAATTCACTGTTGCTCTCATCTTCAATGTGATCAAAGGTGTAGGTACGGAGTACTCCGCACTCCGTACATGGTTACTGGGCATGGCTGCGGCGATGGCACTTCTGGGCAGCCCAAGTGGTTACTGGACTAACGTAATCCACCACCGAGTCGGCCACCAAAATCACTGTATAGTAATTAAATAGATTTTAATCCAAATTATCAATGTTCAACAACAACTAATTAAATTAGATTAGATTACACTGGGATTAGGGCAGCTTCTTCTTGTATGGCCCACAATTTGGCAGTTCGTACACCTTGGTGGAGCCCGTGAGCGTCGTGCAGACTCAGAAGCTGGGGCCTCAGAGGGTTGAATAGCAGGCAGTTCAACTACCTCAGCAGGTGGAATAATAAGAGCCTGAGCTTCTTCTCTAGTTAAACCTCCTTCATGTTGAATCTGGCGCCTAGATCTCTTGCGTTTTTGCCTTTCTTTCTCATTTGCGGCAAATATATCCTGATATTGTTTCTTCATAATGGTTGCACTGACCATCCCATATTCACAGGCCTTGATAATTTGATCAAATCCTTCCATCAAGCCTTGAGGTGAGCTCTCAAGTCCCTGCCCTATAAGATTCTTGATCTTATCCACCTGCCTATGCAAATGCCGGGGGTTGCTTGGTGTTTGTAGGATCCAGGATGACTGGGAGTTGCTAGATTGGCTAGCAGGGGGAGTAGCGGTTCGGAGTTGAATATCCAGCTGCTCAATAACCTTTCTATCCTCACATTTTGCTCGCTCGTAATTATAGCGTCTGGAATAGCAGCATTTGAGCTCCGTACGGCGTTTAATCAGATTCGACACCCAGTTCTTGCCAACACAGGGGGGATTGGAGGTGGAATGCCGTAGAGTAAGAAGATGATTAGCCATATTTTCAACAAATGCCGGCCGCGGGGGTAATCCTCGTTTAGCTAGATCTAGAATCCACTGAACTAGCAGGTTCTCTTCAGCCTCTGTCAACTTGGTTGAATTTGCGCGTAGGCTGGTTCTTGCGGGCCGGCCATTGAGTCGATAGCATAGAGTTGAATATGGGACTTCAAATAAGCGAGCAGCTTCACGAATTGAGGGAACTTCTTGCTTTTTAATAGCAGATATCGCGAGTTCAATCCTTCCCTCTATCTCTATAGAGTTTCTTGCATTTTTACTGCGAATTGGTGGCATTCTCACGCGTTGAAATGGGCTAATTCGAAAATTGAAGATGTTTTGAATTTGGTGGCCGACTTGTTTGGGTGGCCGGGTCGTATGTTGGATTAGTTACGTTAACTAGTTAGTTAGCTCGGATGGTACCTTAGGTAAGCTTCTTCGGCTTCGGAAAAGCTAACTTCCGATTGTCGGCGAAAATCGACGCAGCCAACCTCCAGTGGCATTTGTGGTATGCGATTGACACTGCCACCGCCCCCGTTTCCTCTCTCATTTTGCGCAATTCTTTTGCTTGCGTTTCTGTTGCTTCGGAAGCTATGATACGATCCTTTTTCTCCTCCGCGTCGGCCCAGTCGCTCCGCCAATTACACTCGACCCTCTCGAACAGAACATGTCCCTCGGCCTTTTCACGGTCGATTTGGCACTTAAGCACATCAGCAGCGAGGATATGGAGCCCCCTTTCAAAATTGGCTAGTAACGCCGAAAGAACATTGAGATATGGCCCAGGGAGCCAAAATGTGCTAGGGCAAGTGCGGGGAATGAAGACGCGGTCGTCCGTGAAAAGATTATGTGATGGATGCAAGGTGCGTGGTCAAGATCTGCTTTCCTATCTATTGCGATTGTGGCGTCGATCTGTCTGCAATGAGAGGGTGGGATGGTCAAAGAACCGGGCGCAATCACTTATGGCTCTGGAACCGAAATTGGCTAACTGGGAATTTCAATACTTTTAGCCCGTGAGAAGAAAGAACCGTGTCTATATCATCTGGTATGCTCTTCTTAATCTCCAGCCTCAAGTGCGTGCTCCTTCACATAATCTAACAAGCCTTCGCATTACAGCTCGAAGAACCCGAAGCATAAGCAACGACAGGGAAAATAAACAGGCGTGATTTCAATTGTATTATATGACTATTTTCGCCGTATAAGGGCTACGCCATCGATACCGGTTCATAAAAAAGGCATGATTTCGGCCGATATAAGCCATGGCTAACGCCAAATGGGCATCTACTTTTGTTTTCGTCTCGCATATCACGGGGATTCTGGGCGCTTGGTTGTTACGGTTCGATTTCAGAATACGAAACATGTACTATACTTGATATTTTCTGTGATTTGCGGATGGCTTTGGGTGTTGTGAGAACATTTTACTCCGTACTCCGTGCAGTGTTGTTCGAACTCCATCGAAAGACTGCGGGATACCCTCGGGGCAGCATTTAGACATTCTCTGCGTTCTTCACTAGGGAAATATCACTCTTCATCCCATCACGATATAGCCAGGGCTTGCCTATGAAGTCCGTAGTACGGAATACAGACAAGTTATTTCTCACTCTATTAACTGGCGCCGCGACACGCGCGCGCAACAAGCATCTTGAGAAGCCTAAAACCACGTGATTTTAATTAAGTTCCATACCGGAAAAATGAGCTTTTTGGGCAACTGTTGGAAAACATTTATCTGACGCGACCCATTGAACCATGGGTCGCAAGCTTGAAACTGTAGATCAACCATATATTTACAATGCATGTATAAAGGGTCCAAAACATATAGAATTCAGAACATATGATGCATCAATTAAGGGTTTTGAACCCAATTCAGAAGCTTTTTAATTACTAGGAACTAACTAAGTATTACACAATCACCCACACAACCCAAATCATAATGAAGTTTTTTTTTTTTTTTTAAATGTTGAGAGCCTTCTCACCAGTTAGAGTCTCTGATTTGGGGACAGGGCATAAGACCAGCACAGAAGAATCATCAGAGCAAGCCCATTTAAGCTATCTGATCATACTTTCAAGCAAATCAGCTTTACTGTCTCCAGTTGAAGACAGGCCTGATACAGATATATTCAGCTGCAACTGAATAAAGAGAGAAGATATGATTAGAGTAAAGAAGAGAAGAGAAGAAGCAGATACAGCAGAGAGCAGAGCAGCAGCAAATCAGTCTATCTTGATTACTGATTCATAAACAGTTTCTTCTGTTTTTTGCTTTTTCTGTTATCAAATATCAAAGTCAGTTCAATTCATCCTAACATTACATCAAGTATACTGATTATAGAAGATAAATAATTGAACTTTAAGTTCTGGCAGATATCAGTCAAGATTCTTTCAATATTCTATATATATAACTACATTAGCATGAGTTGAATGTATAATCTCCAATTAGTTTAATCTATTTTAACAGAGCAGAATGTATGCTTCACAAGCTCTTTTTATTTGACTTGAATGAACACAAGCTTTTCCAATACTGTTAAAGTGGCAGCACCAACTTCAGTATTAAAGAAAGAGAAAGGGAGGGATTTGTCAGTTCAGATTAATAAAAGTACTATTTTAACAAGCAATTTACTGAGATTAGCAGTCTGTTTCATTATACTGGCTTTCAATTCTTCTTGAAGCATTATGTTCTTAAGTCTAAGAAAATTATTATGATCAGACAGTAATGCTATTACTTTCTTCTGCAGCTCTAAAGAGACAGAAGTACAGACTTTTTTATCTTCTGTATAATTAATGCAGGTCTTTATAATTTCTTGCTTGTGGAAACAAGACTTTTTAATGTGTACTGTATACACAAACATCAAATAGTAGTTACAGAATATATCACTTATTATAACAGGCTCTTCTTTAACAGTTAAGAGCTTTTGCTCTGATTTCTTCTTTATGAACATCAGAAAGTGCTTGTTCTGAGCTGCTGCCAATTTATGTGTTTATAAAGTCATTTTTTGCTATTTTTGTATATATTGTTCTTCAGTTTGCTGCAGTTTCTTATTTTATTCTGAAATCCACCACTTATCTTAATATTGAAATAGAGGGAGAGAGGCAACAAGAAATATAATGAGCTCAAGAGAAGAAAAGAAAGAAAAGAAGAGAAGAAGAGAGAGATTTTATGTAGAAAGAGATTATTATATCTAGTGTGTCTGCTTGATTGTTTTGGATTTTCTAATCAGAACATGTCTATTTATACATTACTAAGTACTAACTCATTTTGCTTAGAGCTTCTACAGCTGATTACAGTAAACAATAAAGAGATATATATTAAATATAGTGAAATTTGGCTCTTGCAAGCATTGATATAACAGAGCATTACATTGAAGTCTAGATATCAAATCCCAAAATCTATTTTAAAGCACAAACTAACAGTTAATTTTGATTCAAGAAGACATCTTTTCATGTATTTAACTAGAATCTGCATCTCTTTCAGAGCATGCAACCAGTTGCAGCTGATACAGATCTCTTTAAACAGACAGGCTAATTTGTTACAGTCTTAAAATAATTCTTCATAATGTTCTGCAAAAAATTCTGATTCTTCTTGTCTGAATCATTATTCTCTGGCTTCTGTGGAGGTTGCACTGCCTGAGCTGAACATGAATCAGATTTTCTGGATGACATACTAGATGTTAACTGAACTGCATCCAGAATTTCTGGTAAAGTCTTAATATAAACAGTCTTTAGCTTTCTTGATTAAATCTTCTGTCAGACAAAGTCATTCAAATTAACATCTCTCAGTTCTGGTTTCTGTGTCAAGCAGTTCCAGAGCTTGAGTACAGAATTCCAGATGTAGATCAACAGAGTGAATGCATTTTATTTCAGACTGTTGTCATCAAGATACAGCTTTACATATGCTGCTAAATTTACATACATCTCTATTGCCATAACTGTCAGAGCAGAAATCATGATAATTAAGATTTACTATTAACTTATGTTTAAAATATCATTTTTCTTGTGGAGCTAACTTCTCAAAATTAACACACAGCTTGATCCAGTAAAAGACTTCACAGAATTAATCTTACTTGAACAATCAGATAAAATAACTGATCAGCTTTTGTTAATCAGTTATTTCATGAAGTTCAAAATCAGAATTCTCAGTCAAGCTGAGTTCAATACATTCTCTGACATGATTCTGCAAATGAGATCAGTTTATACCATAACTAGAAGTTTAGAGACATTATTTCAATCTTCAAGCTACTTAAGATCTTACATTTTTAATCTTTACAGAAATTCAACATGTACCTGAAAAGTTTATAAAAATATGAGTCATTTCCAGCTTTCTAGTTCTCAAGACTTAGCATCTTCTGAATGATATCAGGAATCAGATCAGTATTTAATGTCAATATATAGGCTCATCACACTCAATTTCATATGTCATACTCCATCACTCAAACCCACTTTTCAATCTCTGTATGATCAGAGAACACTTCAGTTTGGGTACTTGTATTCAAACTGAATAATGCCCCTTGAATCTTTAGCATGTTGTGTAATTGAGTTCATGGGAAGATATGAGCTGTTCTTTTTAGTGCTGGCATGCTCTGTGTCTTCAACATTTTGGCTATCAGATTGCTGTTGAGAATGAATGAGAGTGAATGCTTGAATTTTGGAGGGGTTCACTATCTATTATATAGTTAACTTGAAGTATATTTAACTGCTCAAGTTGCTATTCAGATCTGTATCCATATTCTCCTACATTCTAAAATTCAATGCTGCTAAGTGATTGATTTCTTTGAAATAGATTAATTATTCAGAAGGATGCAGATCATTACTGACCTTGCATTTCTTAGAGCTAATTACAGGTCTAGATAATCAGAATATTATAGTTGGTCTGCAGCACAGTTAGCACATTTTGCAGCTGCTCTAACATTCAACTTTGCTATAATACATTCAATTCCCCAATCAAACAGTAATTTTCTTTCTAATTTCTACATACTTTATCCCAAAGAAATTCCACAGCAACCCTCACTGTTTCTGCAACTTGAAACTCAACTACTGTGGAAACCAGCATATAAACCTCAAGCAAACATGCAAGGTCTGAGGTACTTGAGATGCATAGAGAATTATATTGAAGTGGGGTATGATGGGATGCCTCATCAAAGTAGGCAAGTTGGTTGAGATGGTGAGAGTGCAAGAAGGATGAAAAATCACAACATAGTAAGGATGGTAATGACTGAGTAGTAAGAACAGAGAAGCATGCCTTAATGGATGCCTAAGCTCATAAGAAATAATAGTACTAAAGAGCCTGTACTAATACAGGCAGCTCTAATGAGGAACAGTGGCAAGCTTCATGAACAAGAGATCTTCATATTCTCTAACTAATAACCAAACTAGCAATAAAGAATGAGTGTGTAGAAAAGTACAAAGATGTGTGAAGGTATTGAGTGAGATGCAGGGGCTATGGGTGGTTTATATAGCTCAGAGATAGTAGCTGGGGGGGTTTTTGATGAAGAACTTGTATGCTTGTTATTCACTAAGCTACTTAAAGGGGAATCTCAGCTAATCTATGTGGGTCATGTGAGCAAGGTGCTAGTTGGATTACCTAACACCCCCCCATGCAATGAGCTCCAGCAGTGAGTGAGAGCCACAAAGATCCAAAGCTTCCAAATCTCTCAAATCTGCAATAAAAATTAATTACAAAATCCAGATTTATTCCTTCTTTAGGCTTAGTTCTGTTTGCTGTGATATGGTATTTTTGCTGGCTTCACTGATAGATCTTCATATTTTCTTGTATTAACCTGTCACCCCCATCACACTCATGAATTGAGTGTAGGAATCCATTGCAAGAGTCTTTATAAGTCTGTCAGCTTTATTTGCATTGCTTCCAATGTGCTTGATTGAGATTTTGTTCTTTTGCACCCAGTCTCTTAGCATATAGTGCTGAATCTCAATATGGTGTGCTTTTCATGTTATAGCTTCAGCTTTGGCTAAGTCAACAGCTCTCTTGTTGTCAACACTTAATTTTGAGCTTCTTAGCCTTGCTGAGCCTTCACTAATTATTCTGGTGTCTATCAACAGGTTGTTGATCCAAACCAGTTCACAAGCAGCTTCACTAGCTGTCAAATACTCCACTTTGGTTGTAGATTTTGAGACAGATGTCTGGCACTGTGATCTTCATGAGATTGGAGCTCTGTTCATGGTAATAATATAGCTGCTGGTGAATTTGTATGCAGGGTTGGCTCCAGCCCAGTCAGAATCTGAACTAGCTGCTGGTTTCAAGCCTTCAGGATCCATATTCCTTTTGAAGACTATTTCTTTTGATTTTGTGCTCTTGAGATAGTGTAGAATCTGCTTGAATGCTGCCCAGCTCTCCCTATTAGGCCTGCTGTTGAATCTTGCCAGATAATTGACTGCAAATGCAATATCTGGTCTTGTACACATAACTAGGAACTGTAGAGAGCCCAGGCCTTTCCTGTAATTCATAGACATAGCCTGCTCATCAACTCCATTTTTAAGAGTCTGATCTGGTGTAAATTCAATGCTTATTTCTTTCTTTATTGGTGTTTTGGAAGGTTTGCAGTCTTTCATTTCATATTCAGTCAGTAGATCCTCAATATACTGTTTCT